ATCCCAGGAAGCGTGTCCTCTCCAAAGCACCGGTTTCGGTGCGGTTGCCATGGAGACACTTTTAGCATATCAGGCGGTGTGGCAGTATGTGAAATGGCTTCACTAAGCAAGAGACGGGTTTTTAGCAGGAAATCATTCAATTCTACCTGAAGCAGTGACAGGAGAATGATGGTGAGGCAACACGTGATGAACACCTGCAGGTTTATGTAACAGAGGTGACCTGGTTCTGGTCTCACTCTATCCACACAAACAGACTAGATGAATACTCTATGAACATAAAAATCGTATGATTTATTGTTCCTGCTCACTGCGCATGGGCTTAATTGGTTTCTTACGTAACCGGTTGGAAAAAAGCAGTGGTTGAACTGGGTGCTGAGTATGGAGAGCTGCAGTACGCCCTTATTACCATTATATATTAATTCACTAATATTGTGTGTAAGAAAAATACGTTTTTATGCTAACGTCTTCGACCTGCTACTCTCCGACTACGTCATAGCTCAGATACGTACAAGGGAACGAGATTAACAAAAACACGACATCGGATCATCGAGGGAAGAAGCAAGTAAGTAAGAAATAAAGAAATCAACTAAGTAAATAATACAAACTGTACACCCTACATTACAGGATGCAGAATACGTTTCAGTGTAAACTGACGATAAAGTTGTATTGGACTGAAACGTTAAGGGGAAGCACCCAAAACTGGAGCCTGGAGCAACACAACGTGCACGTACACATCCGCCCACACAACAACTAGACGGGTGCTATCGTTTCCTCCTCATCTGAAACCGATAGCAGAGCGTCTCCTCACCCTCCATCGCTGCATAACATGAATAACTCCCGCGGCTTCACGTGTGGCGTGCAGATGATAACAGAGAGAGAGAACTCGCTCAGACTTTGATCACACAAAGAGGTCTTAAAAGCTGAATTTACCTGTAATGAATAATTGCACTGATTCAGTGTGGTGTTGTTGCCGTGGAGACAGTGAGAGGGAGTATGTGTAATAACTACCGCCACACGGAACCCACAAAACAAGGTGGATCTCGTGTACTAATACACGTGTACTAATACACGTTTAATACTTCAACACAGCGTTGACTCCACGCGGCTCTCAACATGGCGACGGCTGAGCTCACGGCGCAAACAATGGCAGCAGTGCTACCGGATGAAGAGCTCGACTTAAGACAAAAAACCAAAGAGGACACAAGCAGCATCCAGATACTTCAGCATCTGGTGGATTGAATGCACGGTACTGATCGGCCTCTGAACGGAGCACAGATGATAACTTCATCTCTCTCCGTCCCAACGTCCATTTGCCCTTAATGCCTCATCTGAGGCCAAAGAGGAAGCAGGAAATGAAATTATACCATAATTACACAGGCAGGCAAAGTAATAAAAGAAGTAATAGCAGGCATGATTCCTCCGGAGAGCAAATTGTTTTATTTTGAGGCTACTTGCAGTGATGAGACGGCCTGTCAGTCCCGAGAGAGGAGGACGGCTGACGAACCTGTACCGAATCTGGCGTCATAGAATTGGGCCTATTCTGGTTGAGAGAATGGCAGCCGGGTTCATTTGCAATCAGCGCTGAAACCGGTTCCGGCCCATTGACGGTAGTGTTGTTCATCCCGAGTCTCAGACGAGTCGGCAAACGGACTCGGCCCGACGTGCCGAGCTCAAGCCGCATCTGGACCAGGTCATTTAGGCTACCTGGGGAGCTGGAGAAGGAGCAGGCAGAAGCCTCCTGTGAACCAATGGTGAGGGTTATGTGAGACGAGGGGGCTTAATAATAATAATAATATCATACTATTCATTCTATATTTCCCTTTGTAACTTATTGCTTATTACTTCTGTTAGTTATTCAATTCTTTATCGTTTCTAAACTGGAGCCAGTTGACTTGTCATGACTTCTCTGCCCAGCGGGGCCGAACGGTACTGATCCTTGATCAGAAGTTCAGAAGCCAACAAAAACAGTCCCTCTTCTTCCTGTTCTACGTCTATTTCAGATGAGCAGTAAGATGTTTGCATGTGAAAACATCCATCCTGTTTTTCCTGACATGTTCACACTAAGATGGATGAAAACACCCGATGAATTAAAGAACTGCATTAAAGGATATAAAACAAAAACCAACAGATTCTCAAATACAACAATTATGATTGTTGATTCATCTGAGAGATAATCTTCATGATCAGAGGGTGAAATTGCTCTTTAGCAACACATAAGATGTAATATAGTCAGAAAGAGACTCACATCTTTTTTAACTGACTTAGTCAATAGTTTATTCTCTCGAGGTTATTAGTTAGTAGTTTAGTTTTATGGATTGAGAGTGCAGTTTCCTAATGAAACAATGAAGATCATAAGAGGTATCCCGATATGTGAAACACTGTCATAGTGATAGTAGAAGTATTGATCCTCGATCAGGTGTAAATGGTGATAAAAGTCTTTGTGTTGTGCGTGAATGTTGACAGGAAGTCACTTCAATCACTCGTGTGAATGTGAACGGAGCGAAGCGGTTTGTGCGCCTCCACCACATGAGTTTTTGTACAATTAGAGGTTCTTATTCTCGGACACACACAGTCCAGCAGACGAGCGCCAACAACCCCCCATGGGAGGGTCGGGGGAGAAAAAGCCTTCAGAAGATGTTATATAAATGGTTGATTAATCTAAATCGCTGTGTTGCTTCTATTGTTCAACACTTACACGCATGTATCTGTATCTACTTTGACTTTCCTCGGCCCCTTGATCCAGCCCCGACTCTTACATGTGACCCCTCTTCCGCTGAGTCCACCTGGGCTCCATGCTGGTGTCCTCTGGCCCCGCAGGAAGGGACGTCCACCGGGCCGTCAAACATAGCCATGAGTGTGCTTCTGTATGCGAGCCAGCAGCCCACTGAGGGATGTGAAACGGGGAATCCAGCCGGCGCTGCCAGTAAGAAGAACCCCCCCCCCCACCCTCCCATCCCAAACCCTGCATGGGCAGTGATGTCATCGCTACACCCGCCCCCGATGCAGCAGCCGTGACGAGTGGAGATCCAAGCTAAAGGACCAGCACCTCATATTCCTCTTTAACATTTCTTCTCTTCTCCTTCTTTCCCTCCGACAAACGCAAACAACAACAGGGAAGAAACAGCAGCAGCCGAGCGACGTCCAGTGAAAACGTTCACATCATCAGGAAGGAATAGAAAGTGAAACCTGGAGAAAATGATGATGAGTCTGCAACTGATAGTCTGACCATTATTTCACACAATCACAGTTTAGTCTTTGAGGAAAATAGTAATCTAGAAAACTAATCACCTGCGCGTCTCACCTCTATACTTTTGCAGTTATAAAGTTAAAAAGAAGAAGAAAAACAATTAGTAGAACAAACCTCCTTAAACTTCTGTGTTTGGGTTGCGACCGATTGAGAGAAACGTGTTTGGAATTAAAATGATGGCAGGTGGTTTCAGCACCTTGGTCAGCTCCACCTCCTGGTTTTTGTCCTTCTGGAGGACGGAGCTGCTGTTGTCTCCTCCTCAGACTCAGTTTGGACAATTCTGACTGGATGTGTGAAATCGACGTGCTCTAAACATTTGATTGCTGCCGTCTCAGTTTACCATCTTAAAAGACATTTTATCTCAGTCTGTTTAAAAAAGGTCAATAAGTACATTTTGTAAGCAATAGGTTCTATTAGAAGACAAGCCCGTTAAATATTGATTTAAAAATAAAACGTTTTAATGACTAACTGGGATGACCAGTCATTTCCACATGGTGTAACTGTTTGGAAGCAGCTGTAACAAAACTAAAACTGTGTTTCTGTAACAAAGAGAGACGCTGAAACATGTGTGAGGATTAAAACAAACTCCAGTTTTAAGATGCAACTATTTTTCACTGTTGGAAACCATTGCTGCACCGTTCGGTTTCCATGGAAACCATCTGAACGACAGGCTGCATAAGAGCCTTTTGCTTTGCGGTGATTTCTGATTATTTCAAGAATAATGCGAGAAACGACTCGGCGATCTGCCTCCAATCACCCACAATCCTGTTCTCCTCCTGCACTAATTGGATAACAACAAGCTGCACCCTGGTCCACAATTCACTTGACAATTTCACCTTCACTTCTCCTTAAAATGATGTGCAGCTTTACAACCATCCGCTCGGAAAACTAATTCCAGAGCTGCATCTGATATTTAAAACATGCGGTTATTTAAAAAAAATCCTACGCTCGCTTTTCTTGTCATGCACAAATATACAGGACATGAGGACAGAGCGACACATGAGGACAACTGCACCAATGGCCAAGTGTTGTAATGCGATAAGAGGAACGTTTGGAGACGATAGAACGATAAAGTTCATGCAAACAACGTTATTGAACAGCAGCTTCATGTAACGACGCAGCGGCGGAATGTCGGCTCACCTGAGCTGAAATGGGAGCTGAGGGCGAAGCCGCGGCTGAAAACCACCGCAGACATCGTCACGAGGAGCACCAACATCTTCCTATCGGCGTTTATGAAAATAATTATTCAAAAGTAAAAGCGCAGACTCGGATGGCGAAGATCGGGGCGCCGCTGGTTCCTGAACGGAGCGTCATTCCTCCTCGTGATCGCTCCGCGCGCACCTCCATCTCACACCGGCGTCACCGAGACGGACCGGACGGAACGGCGCTCCTCCTCCGGTGAGAAGTCACCGCAGGCCGAGGCCGCTGGATTGCTATCTTCCTCCTGTAGGAGGAGGAGGAGGAGGAGGAGCAGGAGAGGACTAGTCCTCCTGTTCAGCAGTCAAGTAGCTCCAGAATGTGCTTTTCCCTCTTCACGCGACACCTGGATGCATTCACATCATCTGGAAGCTGTGAGCGAACGAGAGCACGTGACACTTCGACCCCAGAAAATAGATTTCAAACAAACCGAACGCCGCCAGCTGTCAGGAGCTGTCCGAGGTGCTGACGCGCCACAGCGCCATCTTGCTCGCCAATACGCGCAAACAGAATCTATGGAGCCCGTTTTTGCGCCTGCGAAGGTGGAGAAGGGGGGGGGGGGGGGGGGCTGTGAGAGGCGGATAGGCTACCGTGCTTTCTATTTAGGTTGCAGGCTGAAAGTGGTGCATATTCCAGCGATGACTAGTATGTTCTGTACTTGAGGGGGCAGAGCCTGCAGTCGCCTCTGATGGATGAGATGTATAAATAAGCCCAAACACCCCCCATGACCACGCAGTGATGTAACAGCAGAGGAAAGGCACAGCGGGACTTGGCGCTCCACACTACTGTAATCCTACTGGTCATACATGCTGGACGAGGCCCCCTCCCCCACCGGGTAACATTCATCCTCTCCATCTCCCGATCCCCCTCTTTCCTCCTCCTCTCTTCCCATCAGATGGGATTCCTGGCAGCAGCAGTCAACTTGCCCTCTTATGAGGATCTCACAGACTGAGCGGCTAAGAAAGTAGAAAGAGATCTTAGTGCCTCTGTCTGCTTCGCCGCCAGGCGCAGTGTGGATGCTGCTCTTTGCTGCATGGATGAATAGTTATGCGATGCATCATTTATAATTAATAGATATATATTTGCAGTCTGGTGGAACAAGCTTCTCCTGAGGCTGAAGCCCAGATCAAATATGGAGAGGTGGCTTAACCGAAGCAATTATGGCAACTTTATAATATTTGCAGTGGTTAATGAATGCTCCCTCCATTTGGGCATTTTAGCTTCATAACGATTGATCCCCAATATTAACCCGCTGTGACGGAGGGTGATCCACGTGCAGTTAGAAGCATGTGAGCTACACTTACTTGTGTACTGATGCCTTTTATACTGCAGGTATTTGAATCTGCATCATATAATAATGGTTTTGAATAAACAAAATAATAATGTAAATATTTTTGTTCACGTCCTCATGGAGATGTTTCCATTTGCCGAATGACGGATTTAGAGCCGGAGGGACTTTTCAGGCCAATAGACGGAGGAATAAACCATTAGCGAACTGGTCTTTTTGTGCATTACTAAATGTGATTTTTGTCGGATGTTCATGGGTGAGGGATGGCTCGTCACCCAGTCTCTGATTCCATTTCACACCCATTTTCTTCTTAATGGACTTTCACTTTGGTGAATAAGAAAAGAACAGTTTATTTATCAGGTAAGGGTTGCTATTTTCAGACATGTGATTGAAAATTCCTCTTTAATCTTTTCACTCCTCCTCTTTCACTGTCTCATCACACTGAAAAAAGGGGGAAATGGGGGTTGTTCACTTAACAAATGAACAGTTCGTATACATAACACAATTGATTTATGTTCCTCCTCTAAACATATGTAAATCGTGTAGAATTCTTGTAATCTTCAGGGATGTTTAATTTTTATGTTTCAGTCATGTTATAAAGAAAGGAAGTTGTTATGTTTCATCTGGAAACTCCGCCCATTAGGAGCAGGTTTTTTAAGGGAAAACTTTGTGCGCCATTTCTTCAATCCAGTCGGAGGAATTCATCCGTCTGGACCATAAAAGTCTGGACAGCTTTTCACACGGTAAAGTTAATAACACTGTATCATTTATTAGTCAAAGACAGACGTAGTCCCGTTAGTCGCACAATTTTGACTAAACTGAGGTTTTTATCTGCCAGTATAACATCGAGCAGGAATTAGTCAATGTCAGTCAAAGTTAGCTAACGTTACCACTCGCTACATGGATAGTCAATGGTAATGCTAATGTTGCTACTCGCTAGCGTTAGCTAACGTTATGCTAAAGATAGTCCTGTTCGAGGCATTATTTTCGTCGAGCAGAGATTTTTAAATGACTAGCAAAAATGAGCAATGCAAAGGTTAGCTAATGTTTCTACTCGCGTTATGCTAGTGAGGGCAACTTGCTCATGTTTTCTAAACTAAAGCTGAGAAAAAGGTAATGTTAAACTGCTCGGTTATACCAGCATGGGAGTTTTTCGCGCGTCATTGACTTGGGCCCTGTCCACACGAACACGGGTATTTTTATAACAGTGACTTTTTTTACGCGGTTCGGCCTTCAGTCCACACGAAAAGGCAGTTTCAGGGCACAGAAACCGAACATTTTTGAAAACTCCGGCCAGGGTGAGCATTTTCAGAAACGACGGTTGCAGTGTTGTGTGGACAGTATAACCGTTTTTTTGCCTTGCGACGTCAGAGTGTACGCCTTTATCCGCTGTGTTTGACGTCAGAATGTGCGCCGCTAACTGCTTTGTTGACAATTCTGTGCAATGGCGGATGTAGCCCAAATCGTGCTTATAATAAGCTGTGCCGCTAACAGGGCTTCTAACATGTATACCGATACATGATCAGTTATATCACTATGCTGCCATGTTGTTTTGCCTAATGTATGCCTTGAACCTCAACTACCCTCCTGAACTTAAGTACTCGTTCGAAGTGCTCCAGAAGGTTGTGATGGAGCTGGACGGCAAGACACTGTCAAACAAAGCCCCGGCTCTCAAAAACAGACTCCATCAGTGAACTGTTGCCATTTGATGGCAAAATGGATACAACCGTTTCACCATCTTGTTTTGGAATATGGACCATTGCTGCTTTTTCAGTAGGATTATTGGAACCAGTCACCTGCATGTTCTGTGATGGGCCGCTACCAAGTGTAGTGTATTTTTTTTTTCTTTTTTTTTCTCAGGGTCATGTGCCTTTTTCATTTAAGTGTCAGCATTTGTCAGATGTGTTTAATAGACCTCTAACCGTTTACCCTGTTTTCAAATTTGGAGGTGATTTTTGGATTTTGCACATTCTTAACTGACTTATAGTAGTGGTGGGAAAGCAAGCCATAACTCTTATTGTATTACTTTATTTTCAAAACCAAATGTAGTTTTCAAGCACAAGATCTACATTTGCCAGGACAATAATGGTTGTTACATGTGTCCTTTTCTTTTGTTAAGAAATTGTAAATGTAATGTTTTTTGCACATATTTTGCACGACATTCCTGCATTAGCCTGGCTGTATAGTATTCTCTTGATGCTGGCTTGATGTAACTCAGAAGGTGTTTTAAGGACCAAAATAATGTTGTCTCAGGTTGTAGCAGTCATGAATGTTTACTACACACTCTTGATAACTTGCATACCAAGTGTTTCTTGTGAAAGAAAAAGGTGCTTTGTTCTAATATGAGATTTGTTTGTGAATGTGTGCATGTGTTTGTGTATACATTACACTGAATCTTCTATTGTTCTATGACAATACAGTTGTAAACTAAACGTTTTTGTTTTGCCTTATTTATTTTAAAAATGTTAAAGGAGTAAATTCTGTAGGTAAGAGATTAGTAGAAATCGCCATACAGAAATAATTTTAGCATGTAGAATTTATACAGAAAAGTATCCAGGATCATTATCAGACTAACTTGAGCAGGAAGCAGGAAGTTAATTTAACAGAACAACATTGCATATACTTCACATAAAAATCTCATGTTGCTTCAATAGGTGAGAATTGAATACACTTAACATAAAAGGGACATTTTAAAGTCACATTAAAATCTCATGTTGCTTCAATAGGTGAGAATTGAATACACTTAACATAAAAGGGACATTTTAAAGTAACACAAAAAAAATAAGTTGGGTTATCAGAATAATTTAATACAATTAACATTAATAAAATATTTTGAATTTACATGAGAAAATCATGTTTGTTTTACAAATAAAAATTAAGTACATTAAATAGAAATGAATCATTTTGACTAAACATGAATATAATATGTGCAACCGATGTACATATTTTTTTCATGTAAATTCAAAAGACTTTTTTTTTCAGTGCATGTTCCCCCCTCTGATACATTCATGTCTGCCGTTTCCCTGGAAACAGACACCTGAGGACAAGATGGATTTCTAGGCTGAGACGCCGTCCGAAGGGTTTGTGCTTTCTAGTCACTTCACATCTCACATCCAATGTGAAGAGCCTGAGGTTTATTATCACTGAAGCTTCATACATTGGTATGTGGCGCCTGCTCAGAAACAATGTCCTTCAATTCATCAATCTGTGCTAAATTTCTCATACAAATGTACTGTAAGCATCTCAAACGTTTTCTTTCCCGTCTGTTATTCTACAAGTTGAACACGGTGAAGTTTATTCACTTAAAGTACTTTTATGCTTGACTATTTGCTGAGTATTTGCTTCTTTCTTGTTTGTGCATTAAAGTTGTTCTAGTTTTCATGGTGTTCAATGAGAAGAACATCAATAAGAAACATGGACTCTTTTATGACCAGTGTGGATACACTGAGGACGAACCTTCGTGTCCTCCAACCGGTTTCTGCAGCAACATCATCAACGGAGGAACAAACAGACATCTGGAGCTTTTCCTACTTTATCTTCTGGTGCACTGACCTGTTTCCACCACCAGGGGGCAGTAACTCATCGGGCCTGAAGGACAACGTCTCTCTTTTGAATCACAGTTCCTTTTATACGGAGAACAAAATGCAGACATGGTGTTGAGCTGTAGGCGCTTTGGCAGAGCAGCAGAGCCGGACTCTTGCGGTCCCTGAAGCAGCGGCCATAAAGGGAAGCGAAGGAGGAACCTGACATCTATTTCACTTTAGAGAAGTTGTTGATCTTCAGAGATTTTCAGTTTCCTCAAAAGATCTGCACCATTTAACGCAATGACTGGACGTTATTACTCGCCAGGCGTAGTGGATGTCAAATTGCCTTCAGACTCATTTCGGGTGAAATTAAATGGATTTAATAATGTGAACTGAGTTCATTCCCGAGAAGTTATGTAACATTGTGCGACCAGATCAACTAAAAAAAGAAGACTCACAAATCAGATCAAATTAAACCACAGTTTATTTTATATTGATCTTATTTTTTTAATTGCTCTTTAAAGTTCTCCCTTTCCCATTTTGCACTTCATTAAAATACAATCCAACTCCTTGACCGGGTCTCTTTGTCTGGATACGTGTGGACCACATTACAAACAAAAAGTAAACTTTAAATGCAAAAGTTCCCTGACTCAGCGGCACCAGGATGAACATTGGTTGGTCATCAAACTTTTATTGATGCTAATATCCACCTCGTTTTACACATCTAGTGGCGTGAGAACAGGAGGCTGTAAAGAAGAGAGACCTCGTGCCGTATGGAGCTCACACGACACATCTGGAATAAACGTCTGATAAGCTGCAGTTTTCCTCCGCAGGAGGTGATTGACCGTTTAACAATATTTATATGTTATATGTAATATGATGGACAAATAGGAATAGGAAGCGGTTCTACTATTATTTGAAATACGTATTTAAAAAAACTTTTGAGTATTTCATAATTTGTATTTGATAGAGCCGATAAAACCAAAATACTTTAGAGTTGAGTCATTTTTCATTTAAAATACTCAAAATACTTACCTTTATTGGTCAGTGTTTACCGCCGGCGGGCAACGTGCAGGACCAGATACGGCGTGTGGAGTACAGGTTTAGCAAGGCGGTGAGATGCTGAACGACTGTACTCTGAGAAACTCCAACAACAGTTCTCAGCAAGTGACTCTCCAAAAAAAAAACTGGCAGACGAGCTGAATGAGTTCTACTGCAGATTTGATAGACTGTCCTGACTCCATCCCCCACAACTCCACCTAAGCTAAAAGATGGTGGAGTTGTCCCTAAAAGATGCACTTTCTCCTCCTGTGGATCAACAATTCAGGAAGTGTGACGACTGTTGTTATCAGTGCCGTTTGCACAGTGACAAAAAGGATTAAAGAAAAGTACATTGGTTTAGGTTATTCTACTGATATGTACCCTATTATGCTGGAGATAATTATGTGATTCTGTGGTAGTTAAAGGGACAGCACCAAAATTTGACCATCTGGTGGTGAAGTTTCAGATTGCAACCTACCAAATACACTAGATCCAGATTCCAGCTTTCAGAAAGCAGCGTGCCGAACCGTGAACCAACAGTGTGGTTGGCAGGAACGATAAAAAAAGAGGATTCTCACAGAAACCAAATCAGGTGCTAAAATGATGATCTTATTAATAAAAGCAGCGCAATGATTCTGTAGCACATACAAAAATGGTTTTGGAAACAAGTTGAATTGATTTATTTCTAAGAGTGTTTACATTTTATAGAAGCTTATTTCCAGGAAATTAAACTTATTAAAAGGGGCCTGTATAATAGACATATAAAAGACACAGTAATACACAAAAACGTGAAAAGGTTTAGGTTTTTGTAGATTTTACAAGGTGGAAAACGCGTTTTAATTAGATTTATTTGTACGACATTGATAGTTTACCTCCATCACAGACCCACTGTGCTTTTAATGAAGATACATCACATCTTTAAACAAGACTTAACGTTTTCTTTAAAAAACATGAGAAAGAGCAAGAATGATAAAAACTGCTATAGTTTTAACCAATTATAAATGTCTTTAAAGGCTGGCGCATGCTTCTGTGTCTGCGTCTTTATGCACCGTTGTGTCAAATGAATGAATTGTAAGAGACTGTTGTGCTAATTAAACCATTAACTAAGATAGAAAAAAAACATTTACAGCAAACCCATGGCTGTGAAGATACATGGGACTTTCATTGTGTTGCATCGCTTTCGACGCAAACCTAGAAAAATAGGTTGACGCACGCAAGGGGCTCTTGCGTCTGCGTTTCCTTGCGTCGCTCTGAAAAGGCAGAAGCGTAAACTAGGCTTACGCTTGAGTAACTGAAAGGAACAGTTTATTTTCTGTGTGGATTCTCTGGTGATTATTCAAAGTTCCCTTTAGTGTCTATCTTGTTCCAAAAACATCACAACTATTTGGTTTCTCTCATATGGATTTTATGATGTTTCTTCAAATGTCCCATTTCTCTAAATCCTGTTCCGCAAACATCACAACTGAATGGTTTCTCTCCTGTGTGTGTTCTCCGGTGACTATCCAAATTTCCTTTATATCCAAATCTAGTCCCACACAAATTACAAAGGAATGGTTTCTCTCCTGTGTGGACTCTCTTGTGTTTATTTAGAGCTCCAATTTCTATAAATTTTTTCCCGCAAACATCACAACTGAATGGTCTTTCTCCTGTGTGGATTCTCTGGTGTATTTTCATATATCCCTCATGTCTAAATCCTGTTCCGCACACATCACAACGGAATGGTTTCTCCCCTGTGTGGATTCTCCGGTGAATATCCAAATGTGCCTGACATCTAAACCTAGTCCCACACAAATGACAAATCAATGGTTTCTCCCCGGTGTGCATTATCTTGTGTTTTTTTACAGCTCCACGGTCTATAAATCTTTTCCCACACACATCACAACTGAATGGTTTCTCTCCTGTATGGATTCTCTGGTGGGTTTTCAAATCGCTCTTTAGTCTAAAGCTAGACCCACAAACATCGCAACAGAATGGTCTCTCTCCTGTGTGGATAGTCTGGTGATTCTTCAAATGTCTCTTCTCTGAAAATCTAATCCCACAAACATCACAACAGATTTGATTCTCTACAGAGTGTAAGTTCTGGTGTTTCGTCAAATTTCCCTTTTCTGAATAACTGAGCCCACAAACACCGCAACTGAATGGTTTTTCTCCTGTGTGGATTCTCTGGTGTCTCGTCAAGTCTCCCTTTCGTCGAAATGCACTTCCACAAACATCACAACTGAATGGTTTCTCTCCTGTGTGGACTATGTGGTGCGCCTTTAAAATTCTCTGTTCTTTAAATCTAAATCCACAAACATCACAACTAAATAGTCTCTCTTCTGTGTGGCTCTTCTCATGCTGCCTCAGATTCTTCTTTTCTGTATATCTTTTACCACAAATGTCACAACTATGTGGTTTCTCTCCTGTGTGGCTCTTCTCATGTTGCCTCAGATTCTTCTTTTCTGTATATCTTTTACCGCAAATATCACAACTATGTGGTTTCTCTCCTGTGTGGCTCTTCTCATGTTGCCTCAGATTCTTCTTTTCTGTAAATCTTTTACCACAAATATCACTAGTATGTGGTTTCTCACTTGTGAGAACTCTTGGCTGTGACTCTTTTTGCTTTACTCTCAAGCATTTCTTTTCCTTTTTCTTCTTTGTCCCAAAATGACACCCCTTGTAGCAAAATCGATTATTACACTTAAAGTAGCTAAAGGGTTTGTCGCCAATGTTACAACCTGCATGATATGCAAGGGGTTCCTTATGCTTCAGGGCAGCTGCAGCAGACTCTGGTGCCCTAGTCTCCTGGCAAACATTGTCCCCGTCCAGACTTTCAGGTCCAGAATCTGACAACGGTTCTTGACAATCATAACTCACTTCAGTCTCATAAAATTCTGAAGCCTTTTCTTTATCAGTATTTGGGTGTGAAGGACTATGTGGCTGTAGGTTTATAGCTGGTCCTGACCCACTACAGCCTTCTCCATCACTGTCCGTTTTTATCTGCGTAGCTGATCTTCCATCCAGAAGAGGCGCCTCTGTTTGGCTTTGATGAAGCTGTGAGGTTTGAGGTTCGTCATCCTCACCCTTCACAGTAACTTCAATGAATTGAAACTTGTTGACACTGGCCTCTTCCAGCCTGTTAAGGTGCTCTCCTTCTAGACTGGTCCAGACTTCCTCCTTTTCCTCTTTTAGGTGGAGGGGCTCCTGGTCCTCGTCCTGGCACTGAGAGGGAACCTCTGCTTTAATCTGCAACAGCTGCTGAACATCTACAGGGAGCACATTATGGACAACTATGATTTCAGACTGATTTGAGAGACAACCAAGGAATTTATACAAAGAGAGAATGTAATACACAAAAACACAAATACATTTTTTTGCTGGAACCATTTCCCCTACAATTGAATTCAAAACCAAAATTTCCCCCGACATTTATTGAGTTGAGAAGCTCCACACACAGTAAGCGGCTTCTCGGACGGTCTGGAATTAGTGGAGCTTCTAGGAGGGTCGGGAGCGAGCAGAGCCTCTGACATGTGAGCCGCAGCTTGAAATGTAATGCACCTCTATACACGGTGTGACCTAGTGGGGCTTGTACGGCCCGAAAAGCACAGAGACAGACCCAAAATTACAAAAATGTGTGCCCAATATGAAGTAGTCAAAAACAACACTAGATTCAATACTATAAATACTTAAATGCATTTCCTGCTGAAGATGCGTTGGAATGCAAGAAGCTGAAAGCTGAAATGAATTTTTAAAAATAGCTGAAAATACAGAAAGTTGAAGGGAATTTGAATACATTTGCTGAAATTACAGACGTTAGAAAAGCTGAAATTAATTTGAAATTGCTGAAAATACAGATATGGGAGAAGCTGCATGGAATTTCAATAGATTTGCTGAAAAACCAAAAATGAAAACAGCTGAAATAAATGTGAAATATTGCAAAAAAATACAGAAATGAATATTAGAACATTGCTGTTAATAGAGGCATAAGAAAAGCTGAAATTATTTTAAAGAACTGCTGAAAATACAGGATGTGGAGAAGCTGAATTTCAATAGAATTTCTAAAAAATACAGAAGTTGCTGGAGCTTAAATGAATTAAAAAAATACAGAAATAGCAAAGGCTGAGATGAATAAAAAGAGGTTTTAAATTGTTTGTAGTAATATTAGTAGTATTAGTTATAGTTGTAATTGTGGTATTAGTAGTACTAGCAGTAGAAGTCGGTTTAGTATCAATAGCAGTAGAAACAGCCGGAATACTAATACTATTAGCCATAGTAGTATTTGTAATAACATTAGTAGTAGTTATAGTATTAATAGCAGTTGGGGGGGGTTGGGAGACAGAATGTTTGTTATTCAAACTAAGAAGTTTTTAATTAATAGGCCTCATCACAAACATTACAGTAAGAATTTCCTCCATGGGGCTTTTATTTTGAAATTATTGGATTGGGTGGGGTGGGGGGTGAGGAAGAGAGAGAGAGAGGAGGAGAAATAGACAGACTGAGTGAGTGAGTGATTAACAGTGAGTAGAGGTCAGGGTGGAGGGGGGAGGGGGGGCGAGTGTCTTTATCATATTGGTCTGTTGACAGAAAGCATAGCTGCGTCATGTGACTCCACTAATCAGGTCATAGGAGCAGCTGTGAGTCAGACAGAGATCCTGCAGCTTTGTGTGCGAGTAACCGTGGCAACGGCGCACCTGTGCTCATTAACGAGCTGCAAAGGGCAAACACAGTAACTACAGCACCTTTCGCACTTTACAAAACGTGTATCTTCTGGATTTTTTGAGAAATATGTCGCCAGATTTGTATTGGAGCCTATGGGGCTTTTAGCAGAGGTTGTGTGACTGTTGGTCTCCGTAGGCCAAAACTAAAGAACTCTGGGATTCCATGAACGCATTGATCCAATCAGCACAACCATACCCTCATTAATCTGAAGAAATGAAGCCTCTAGAGTGTATACTTTGGCTCTGAGGACCAAGTTCCATATTTTTTTAACCAGATTCTGACGCTGCCCCACACTCTAGCGTCTCCGGCTCATGTTAAACTCAGAAACGGAGCGAAGAACTAGTGAAACATAATCAGTGATTATGAAAAAAATACAATAGATATCAACAAGCAGTTTTTTTTATAAAATAGTTGAGACTTGTGACAACATTTGAAAGTTGAAATGGTGTCTGTAGCTGAAAGATTGACAAGCTAAAGAATCTGAAAGTTGAAGTTTAAGAGGACTTGAAAAGCGATCTCCATTGGAAAACCATGTAAAAATGATTGATTATTGATTTATATAAATTCAAGCTTAAGAGGCAGGAAGCTGAAAAGTCATAGCAGGAAAGGAGTTGAATATTTTAACATTTGAACGGTTTTAATAGCTGAAAGTGTGAAGGAGTTGAAAGGTGCCACGGAAGAAATAGAAGAAGAAGAAATAAAGATTTGAAGAACAATACTTTGAATGCTTAATGCATTCCAACAATTATGACAAAGCAACACTACTGTTTTTAATTTAAAAATCAATTAAAATAATATTATAACCATAATTTCCCAATGTTAACTTTTCAGGAACTGCTTTAAAAAGTTATCTTCTATTTCCCCTAGATTGTTCACAAAAGCCTAGTTTATGCTTCTGCGTTTTCAGAGCGACGCAGACGCACGACCCCCTTGCGTCGCTTTTCACACATCCTTGCGTGTGTCGAGCCATTTTTCTAGGCTTGCGCAGCCTCCCGCAGCGCGCACGGCTGTGATCGGTCCGCTAACTACGTCCTTTACGGAGTCTCACATTTCCGTTTTCATAGCCCGACGCCGCCGTTATTAAAAAGAAGAACGTTTACGAGAGAACGGGGCAGATTTAAGAACTTTTGTCGGAAGAAATGCGTAAATATGACCGCTTACACGAGCCGTCATTGGCGGGTTGTAGAAGCGGGTTGGATTCACGGAGGGAGATCGCCGCAAACGCCGGTGTTACGTGTCTACTGGTTTTTGAACCTACTGGTTTGTCTACGCGTGCGTGTTTGTTTCCCCTACAGCGGCAGATGTTGTCCGCCTCAGTCACCTGATTCGTCACACATTCGCAAACATATTGCTGTAAATGTTCAAAAGTCATCACATGTCCATTGCAGCGATTACGATCGTATTAGTGAGCACTACGTCACTGCCACGTATGAAGAAATACACATTGAAGAAAATTGATTTACTAAAAGATCGCCGCAACCTGGATTCGATCCCCCGCGAGCAAAATGACAAAACGTTACAAGACGGACGCGTTACGCCGTCGGCCACTCGAGCTCACTGATGTCGCTGCTGTCTCCTGTACTTGTCATCAAATTGTACATCGTCAGTGGCTAGAAAACCATTTGGTTCAGAGGGAACCAAGACAACTGGTTTTGGTGGCGCTTCTGAGCAACCAGTAGGTTAAAAAAACAGTAGGCACGTAACACCGGTTTGCCCGTCGAGAGGCGCACAAAGTTGTGGAGGAAAATACGGCACAAATGTGTCCGCGATGAAAAGCAGCAGTGTGGATGCACGGGGCAATAAAGTCTGTGATGAATAAATAAACAAACCAAGGACTGGAGGTCACACGGTGGTTCCTGTTACGCGTGTGACGTGAGACACACGGTGATCCTTAAACGATATAGTTTATATATAGGCCTCCACTTCATTGATTCACATGTCACAAGTGGAAACGGAGCGACGGCTGAAATCAATCCCGACTAACGTCTCCTTCCTTCAAGCACAATGGCCGGAGGCGCTTAGCTTTCACCTTTAGCTAACAGCTGGCTAAGTTAGCTAGCGGATCCACAGCCGAACTAGACGGTTGCTAAGAAACGCGACTCGGCCCGTTAAATGAACACGAAGACTGGCGACAAAGAAGAAGCACAAACCTGATCGCTGTAATCGGACCGTGGGGCTGAAAACAGCATCCAGCAGCTTGTATCGTCGCTCGTTTTCTCTCAAACGATGAATTTCCTCCTCATGATCTGATATTAATCCGTCAATCAGAGCTGATGTCTCCTCGGCGTCGCCTCGCTGTCGCAGCAACAGTCTCAGCGCGTGTAGTTTAGACATGGAGACAAACACGGAGACAGAAGTCTCCTCCGCACTGAGGACGAACCTTCGTGTCCTCCAACGGGTTTCTGCAGCAGCAACAACAACCGAGTGTCTTTCCCAAACTCTAAAAAAGGCGAGAACGGACTTGCGCACTCGGAACAAAGGACTCGTGTTGCGTCACTTCCTGTTGACAGCGCGTTTGACGTCATCGAACTTTTCACAGCTTTACTGAGTTGACTGTAGCGTAATATTTTTCATCACAAGCAGTGAATTCTTATCTATGTGTTAAGTCTAGCAAATTTCTGCTCCATCGAATAGTTGCTTAGGCGTTGTTTAGCGTCAACGTTATTTCTATTAGCATTAGCTTAGCAGCTAACCTAGTGATGTCTTCCCTCCCTACCTCTCCTGCTCTTTCTTGCTCGGTGTGTCACACGTTTAGCTATTCCTCTGCCCCCCTTACGGATAATGGTACATGTAAGAAGTGTATGGAGTGCCGTTTTAGTCCAAATTAAATAAATGAATAAATATGTAAATACAAGAAATATGCATTTGAAATACATCATAAAATAAATAAATGAGGCAATAAATACATAAATATTGAATACATTTAATTAATGGCATTTTTCATTACCAGGACCTTTTATTTCATAATGCCACTTTTCATTTCCAGTCTTTGATTTCATAATGCCACTTTTCATTTCCAGAGTCTTTTATTTTATAATCCCGTTTTTCATTTCCAGAAACGTATTTCATAATGCCGTTTTACATTTCACGTTCTTATATGCAAATCAGGGGGCGTGGCTACATCTAACATTCAGAACAGACAACAGAGCCGTGTGCAAAAGAAGGCTGGCTAAGGGACGTGAGATTAGCGCTGGTAAATAAGAATTCCCTCCATGGGGCTTTTATTTTGATATTATTGGATTGGGTGGGGGGCGGCACGGTGGCGTGGTGGTTAGCACTGTTCCCTCACAGCAAGAAGGTCCTGGGTCTGCATGTTCTCCCCGTGGTCTGCGTGGGATCTCTTCTGGATCTCCGGCTTCCTCCCACAGTCCAAAGACATGCTCTGGGGATCAGGTTAATTGGGGACTCTAAATTGCCCGTAGTTGTGTGAATGTGAGTGTGAATGGTTGTATGTCTCTGTGTTAGCCCTGCGATTGGCTGGCGACCAATCCAGGGTGTACCCTGTCTATCGCCCGAAGTTGGCTGGGATGGACTCCAGCCCCCCCGCGACCCTGTGTGCAGGATAAGCGGTTTGACAATGGATGGATGGATGGATTGGGTGGGGTGAGGGGGTGTAGATAGAGGGAGGGAGGGTGAGAGCGGGAGGAAGGGAGGGGTGGTGAGGAAGAGATAGAGGGAGAGAGAGAGGAGAAATGGACAGACTGACTGACTGATTAACAGTGAGAAGAGGTCAGGGGGGAGGGGGGAGGGGGGGCGAGTGTCTTTATCATATTGGTCTGTTGACAGAAAGCATAGCTGCGTCATGTGACTCCACTAATCAGGTCATAGGAGCAGCTGTGAGTCACAGACAGAGATACTGCAGCTTTGTGTGCGAGTAACCACGCAACGGCGCACCTATTGGATTGGGTGGGGTGGGGGGGTGTAGATAGAGGGAGGGAGGGTGAGAGGGTGAGGAAGAGAGAGAGGAGGAGAAAAAGACAGACAGACAGACAGACTGACTGAGTGAGTGATTAACAGTGAGCAGAGGTCAGGGTGGAGGGGGGAGGGGGGGGGCAAGTGTCTTTATCAGAAGACAGAAAGCATGGCTGCGTCATGTGACTCCACTAATCAGGTCATAGGAGCAGCTGTGAGTCACAGACAGAGATCCTGCAGCGTTTATGTGCGAGTAACCGCGGCAACAGTGCACCTATTGGATTGGGTGGGGTGGGGGGGTGTAGATAGAGGGAGGGAGGGTGAGAGGGTGAGGAAGAGAGAGAGGAGGAGAAATAGACAGACATACTGACTGACTGAGAGTGATTAACAGTGAGTAGAGGTCAGGGTGGAGGGGGGAGGGGGGGCGAGTGTCTTTATCATATTGGTCTGTTGACAGAAAGCATAGCTGCGTCATGTGACTCCACTAATCAGGTCATAGGAGCAGCTGTGAGTCACAGACAGAGATCCTGCAGCGTTTATGTGCGAGTAACCGCGGCAACAGTGCACCTATTGGATTGGGTGGGGTGGGGGGGTGTAGATAGAGGGAGAGAGGGTGAGAGGGTGAGGAAGAGAGAGAGGAGGAGAAAAAGACAGACAGACAGACAGACTGAGTGAGTGATTAACAGTGAGCAGAGGTCAGGGTGGAGGGGGGAGGGGGGGCGAGTGTCTTTATCAGAAGACAGAAAGCATAGCTGCGTCACGTGACTCCACTAATGAAGTAATAGGAGCAGCTGTGAGTCACAGACAGATCCTGCAGCGTGTGTGCGAGTAACCACGGCAACGGCGCACCTGTGCTCATTAACGAGCTGCTGCAAAGGGCAGAGACAGGGCACGCGTTACACAGAATCCACACCTCAAACAAATGACAACCAGCGCAAAACTATAAAAGCTATCTAAAAAATACGACGTTTTTACGAGACCCAAGACTCTACTGAACACAGGGAGGGTTTTTTGTATGTCTGTCTGGTAATAAATAAGGCAGTTTACAAAACGTGTACCTTCTGGATTTTTTGAAAAATATGTCGCCAGATTTGTATTGGAGCCTATGGGGCTTTTAGCAGAGGTTGTGTGACTGTTGGTCTCCGTAGTCCAAAACTAAAGAACTCTGGGATTCCATAGTGTAGGATATTAGAAATAAATTGACGATCCGGTTCATAAAATTAATAAAAATGCATATAGTGTACACCAGAATACAGCCATGATTCTGAAATTGTGTAATCAATAAAGTAATGACAATATTGTCAAACCACTGTAATTCTGCAACTGTAATAGAACAATACCAATGCAGTTATGATTGTATTTGATGTAATGTAATCAACTGGAATGCATGCATGTAATACTTGAACAACAACTGATATTGACTAAGGGCCATTCGAAATCCGAGTTACATTGAACTCACCAGAAGACTCCCAGAGGTGTGGACACTGACTTTTACACCTTTAAGCATTGTTATAAATACCTGTAGGAACCATTGTTCTCGAGTTCACTGGTGGAGGCGACAGACGGGCTCTAGGGATGGTCAAAAGGACTGACCTGGGGCCTGTTGGTGGCTGAGACCAGCGGCTCCTCAGCTGAGATGTTCTTTTTACCAAAACACCATCACTTTTATTAAATACATTTTTACTTACATACTACATACTTTTGATCAGCGATGACCTCTGTCCGTCCGGCGTTTCTTCATTTTGAACACAACAATTGCCACATGACTACAAGCAGCACAACCATGCCAAGCCTGGTTTTCAGTCTTTCGCAACCGACCTGGAAAATAATCCCGCCGGTTCTCTTTGTAATAGTCAGGCATGAAAACAGGTCAAGGGTGAAAAAGGTGAGAAGGATATTACCCCTCTAGGGCAGGGGTTTTCAACTGGTTTTGTCTCAGAGATTTCTTCGAGTCATTCGAGTTGACGGGGGTGGTGGTGGTAAGATATTACTGACAATTTTACCGACTTGGTTCTTTGAATCTCGTTCAGTAAAATTAACAAATCTTTCTTTGAGTCATTCGTTGACGGGGGGGGTAAGATAAATTCACCTCCCGACCGTGTCTTCGGGTCAATGATTCGTCCATCGTACTTTGAAGTCAGAATGCGTATCAACTGTATAACTGCGCAAAAACAAACACAGTGACTGAACATTATTCAGCAGTGGAAACATTACTCTCCAGACGTAGTTGATGCCAAATTGCCTTCACTCTAACATATTTACTGCAGTTCCTAAATTCCTCAGAAGTTATGCGACATTTATGAAACCAGACAAACTGAAAGAAGAAGAAAGACTCACAAACCAGATTAGATAAAATCAGTTTATTTTAAATAAAATTCATTTTTTTAATTGCACTTTAAGAATCTCCCCTTAGCATTGTGCACTTTGTTAAAGTGACCGGGTCTCTTTGTCTGGATACGTGTGGACGCCACATTACACACAAAAGGTAAATGTTAAATAGAAAAGTTCTATGATTAACAGTTTTTTTTTGGCTTCCTTCCTCCATCCACTACAGTGCGTTCTCCTTGCTGGTATGACTAGCACCTGATATCAAACCTATTCAGAGAAGGAGACTTTAAGAAAGCAGCCAACTCAACGCCAGTACAGGAGGCTGTAAAGCAGTGAAGCCTCATGCTCGATGGTCGTATGGAGCTCACACGACACACCTGGAAGATTCCAATCTGAATAAACGTCTGATAAACTGTCGTCTTCCTCCAAGCTGTTTTAATGAGATTAATTCATTACAGGAATCACAAAAAACACGCAAGTTGTTTTTCTCCATTGTTTGGTAAACATGCCAAACATCCACATTAAGGTGTAGAAGAACTATAATAATGGAATTCTCATTATATGTTCCCTTTAAATGAACACAGGAGAAAGAAAACAAGAATGATTAAAATGGCTATGGTTTTAACTAAAACACTGAAATCATGTATCTTGTTTGACTGAAAGGAACCAATTCTATCCTGTGTGGACTCTCTGATGTTTCTTCAAATTTCCCTGTTGTGTAAATCTTGACCCACAAACATCACAACTGAATGGTTTCTCTCCTGTGTGGATTCTCTGGTGACTCTTCAAGTTTCCCCTGTTTGAAAATCTTGACCCACATAAATCACAACTGAATGGTTTCTCTCCTGTATGGATTCTCTGGTGGGTTTTCAAATCGCTCTTTAGTCTAAAGCTAGTCCCACAAACATCGCAACAGAATGGTTTCTCTCCTGTGTGGATAGTCTGGTGAGTCTTCAAATGTCTCTTGTCTGAAAATCTAATCCCACAAACATCACAACTGATTTGATTCTCTACAGAGTGTAACTTCATGTGTTTCGTCAAATTTCCATGTTGTGTAAATCTTAACCCACAGACATCACAACTGAATGGTTTCTCTCCTGTGTGGATTCTCTGGTGACTCTTCAAACCTGCCTTTTGTCTAAATCTAGTCCCACAAACATCACAACTGAATGGTTTCTCTCCAGTGTGAATTCTCTGGTGGTTAGTCAAATCTCCCCTGTGTATAAATCTAGTCCCACAAAAATCACAACTGAATGGTTTTTCTCCTGTGTGGATTCTCTGGTGTCTACTCAAATGTCCCTTTCGTCTAAATCTAGTACCGCAAACATCACAGCAGAATGGTTTCTCTCCTGTGTGGATTCTCTGGTGTTCCACCAAACCTGCCCTTTGTATAAATCGACTCCCACAAAGATCACAACTAAATGGTCTGTCCCCTGTGTGGATTCTCTGGTGCCTCTTTAAATTTCCTTGTTCTCTAAATCTAGTCCCGCAAACATCACAACTGAATGGTTTCTCTCCTGTGTGGACCATCTGATGTTTCTTCAGATTTTTTTTTTCTGCAAATCTTTTACCACAAATATCACAACCATGTGGTTTCTCTCTTGTAAGGCCTCTTTGCCGTGACTCTTTCTGCTTTCCTCTCGAGCATTTCTTACTACCAAAACAAATTGAGGACATTTTTCCAAAATGACACATCATGTGTCTCCTAAGAAACCCCTTGTAGTAAAATCGATAACTACACCTAAAGTAGCTAAAGGGTATGTTCCCAATGTCACAACCCAGATGACACGCATGAGGTTCCTGATGCTTCAGGGCAGGTGCAGCAGACTCCGGTGCCCTTGTCTTCTTGTAAACATTGTCTCTGCCTAGACTTTCAGGTCCAGAATTTGACAATAGGTCTTGACAATTATCATTACTCACTTGAGACTCTGAGAATTCTAAAGCCTTTTCTTCATCGGTATTTGGATGTGAAGGACTATGTGGATTTACGTTTCTTGGTCCTGATCCGTAACAGTCCTCTCCATACTTCTCTGTTTTTATCTGCGTAGCTGATCTTCTGGCTGGAAGCTCCGTCTCTCTGTTGTCCTCTGTTTGGCTTTGATGAAGCTGTGAGGTTTGAGGTTCATCATCCTCACTCTTCACATCACTGGTAACATCAATTAATTGAAACTTGTTGACACTGGCCTTCTCCAGGCTGTTAAGCTGTTCTCCCTCTACACAGATCCAGACTTCCTCCTTTTCCTCCTTCAGGTCGAGGGGTTCTGCTTTAGTCTGCAGCTGCTGGACATCTACAAGGAGCATATTATGGACAACTGTCACTTAATACACAAATATCAGAGCCGGCTTTCGGAAGTGAGACAGGCAAGGAATTCATATAAATAAAGAATTGATCATGTATTATTTTAATTGCTCAATAATAAGTAACATGTAATTGAATGTGCTGTGTTTAAAAATGTCTGATCATATAAAATGTGATCTACAAATGAAATATGTGATAATGAACAAACATATTTTTAGGGGACATGGCCAGTCAATTTTTTTGTTTTCTACGTACGCAGTTTTACTTCATCGGCCAATGACGTCACGACGTCACATGGCAACTTTCCCGGGAAATTAGTTGGCAACTGGTTCCTGTTCTGCATGTCACGTTAACGTGAGACACGTTACAACGTAACGTGACGTCACAAGTGGAACCGGAGTGACGGCTAAGATCCATCCCGACTAACGTCTCCTTCCTTAAAGCACAATGGCCGGAGTGGAAGCAGCGTCTCGTGAGCTGCTGAACCGCCACCAAGCGGCACGAAGAAGACGGCGCCGTGCGGGTCAGCGGCCCGACGCACGCTACGGGAAGCGAGGCGGACAACTCCTTCCGTTGCTTTGCGTTCACCGCAGATGGACGTAGAGGAGGAACGACACGCGCCAACGTGCGTGTTTCCATCTGCGCGTGCAGAGACCGGAAGAGAGCTGAGGCGCTTAGCTTTCACCTTTAGCTAACAGCTGGCTAAGTTAGCTAGCGGATCCACAGCCCAACTAGACGGTTGCTAAGAAACGCGACTCGGCCCGTTAAATGAACACGAAGACTGGCGACAAAGAAGAAGCACAAACCTGATCGCTGTAATCGGACCGTGGGGCTGAAAACAGCATCCAGCAGCTTGTATCGTCGCTCGTTTTCTCTCAAACGATGAATTTCCTCCTCATGATCTGATATTAATCCGTCAATCAGAGCTGATGTCTCCTCGGCGTCGCCTCGCTGTCGCAGCAACAGTCTCAGCGCGTGTAGTTTAGACATGGAGACAAACACGGAGACAGAAGTCTCCTCCGCACTGAGGACGAACCTTCGTGTCCTCCAACCGGTTTCTGCAGCAGCAACAACAACCGAGTGTCTTTCCCAAACTCTAAAAAAGGCGAGAACGGACTTGCGCACTCGGAACAATAGACTCGGGAGTCCAGACCCTCATTTCCGCGTTTGGAACGGCAGCTGACGTGTTGACGTCACCACGTTTGCTGGTCTTGCTATTACATTTTAATATGGACCGTTTTACTATCAAGCTTTTGTTTCGTTTTCATCGGTTTAATTTGGATATTTAAGATAAACATGTGACATGTAGTGGAGCAGCTGTAGTTTGTGGTGCTGATGAACTTTACTGGATTACACTGACGGGTGTAACTCTCATTTTCATTCATACTGGATGGAAGAAACATCAAAACGTTAATGAGGTAAACATTTAATTCAGGGCTGTTGTATTACACCACACTGCATTAGCTTTATAAAAGGTTTTATAAAGTACAGAGACGGTTTGATATAGCAACAATAATTATTCAGTTCATATTTTGATGGATAGGACTACATTCCACATACTCACCTATCATTCTTGTTACTCAAACATCATGAGAAGTGTGACGTAGAGGTTGTGGTTTTCAGTTCTCTCCTTCAGCACATGACCAGAACGTTGACCTTCACATCAACGCCAACTGACAGGAAGGTTTGAGAAGACTGAGGACGACGCGTGCATCACGCCTCAAAAAGTGCCGACCAGAAGTCACTACGATTGTCACTGCTTTTTATTAAAAAGGCTTTGACACAGATACTGATGCTCCAAGCGTTCCTTCGAGTCAAATAGTCTAAGGTGACAAACGTCTGTGTGTCCCTGCTCAGGAGAGGGGGGCTCGTGATGCTGGCATCATGTGTGGAACCGAAGCTCCGGATGTTCAGGGTCAGCCATGACAACGGGCTCTGAGGTCGGGGCGTACGTACCGACCACTACAACGTCTTCTGCATCTCTGACCGACGCACAGAAATACTGCAGTCAGAGAAGGTAATTTGTGAGAAACAAAAAGGAAATAAAGATTCAGGTTCAAGAGGTTGGATGGGACTGAAGAGAGCAAGAAAACACACTTTATTCTCTTATCATCACAAGGCAGACCGGAGCAGTTGAGATATCAAAGTGTTAATGAGCAGTTTACTAGTTCAATGGGTTAGTTGAATTCATTCATTTTCCAAGAAATTTACCTTTTATAGATTATTCCCAGGAATTTATACAAAACCATAGGAACCATAACAGTTTCAGTAACAAACGAAGACTGGAAAAAGTTTATTTTAAAAACATTACATAAAAAAATACATATACAGTTGTACAGTTTCTGGCTTTTTTGTTTCCAAGAGATAGCAGTTTTGGACAGCAAGTCATTCATCTTGTAAAACTAAAAAGGGCCTTACCTATCCTATATGAACTCTTTGGTGTCGCTTCAAATTTCCACTTAGTCTAAATCTAGTTCCACAAGCATCACAACTGAATGGTTTGTCTCCTGTGTGGACCGTCTGGTGTAACTTCAAACTTCCCTTTTCTGTAAATCTAATCCCACAAACATCACAACTGAAAGGTTTCTTCCCTGTGTGGATTCTCTGGTGTCTCTTCAAATTTTCCCTTAGTCCAAAACTAGTTTGACAAACATCACAACTGAATGGTTTCTCTCCTGTGTGGATTCTCTGGTGAAGCTTCAAATTATCCTGTCGTCTAAATCTAGTCCCACAAACATCACAACGGAATTGTTTCTCCTCTGTTTGGATTTTCTGGTGCGTCTTCAGATGTCCCTTTTCTTTACGAAAAATACCACGATTGGGTTTCCGTCTTGTGACAACTGCTGACCGTGACTCTCTCCTTTGCTTGACTCTCAAGCGATTCTCACTACCAAAACAGCTGGAAGACATTTTTCCAACATAAGAATAATGTGGTTCCTTGTTCTTCAGGGCGGGTGCAGCAGACTCAGGTGTCCTAGTATCCTTCCAAAGTGTGTGCCCATCTTCACTTTCAAGTCCAGAATCCGACAACGGTTCTTGAAAATCATAACTCACTTCAGGCCGAGATAATTTTGAAGGCTCTTCAGCAGGATTTGGATGTGAAGGACTCTGTGGATCCAGGTTGCTTGGTCCTGATCCTCCACAGTCCTCTCCATCCCTCTCAGTCTTTCTCTGCGTAGCCGATCTGCCGGCTGGAAGCGTCGCCTCTCCGTCAACATCTACAGGGAGCACATCAAGGACAACGAACTTCTGACTGATAGAGGCAACTTTCATTAGTGAGACAAGCAAGGAACATATATCCATAATGTCACTCTTAATCTACAAACACGGAAATATGTAATGAAAAATAAAAGGACAGTTGTAAACAGCAATACAGTAATGCAATGGTGCTAGAACAACTTTCCCTAGAATTGTAGGCGAAACCAAAATATATTCTGCCGTTTGAGTTGAGAAGCTCCACAAACTGGCTGAGCGACTATTACTAGCAGAGAGAAGTGGTATTTGGATATAGTCACATATTGCATGTTTGAGCATTTACTGGGTTACTTTTGTGCATGTTAAGTGGGACACAACTTAGAAGACTTTTACATTTTAGAAAACTATATGCAATCTGTTTTATATATTTGTGTGCAATCAAACGTTTTTCTTCCTGCTCATTTAGGGAGTTACCGTCTGATCCTGGTTGAGGAATGCAAGGTCAGAAAGAAAAGCAAAGAGAACCAGGCAGACAGTTTCAATAAGGATGAGAGTTGGAGACACACACACACTATTCAGCACTCACGCTTTGTTCGTTATGTTTTCATTAATGTCAGGAGACACATTGTATGTGGTTGGATCTTTTACTGCTTCTCGGTGCTATTTTAGGGCCAATAGAACGATTTTATTTTATATCGTACAGAGCCCGGTCCCCCACTGACTGACTGACATCACACCAGTCACTCCCTTCACAAACACACTTTCTGTTCACTAGTGCAGTGGTCCCCAACCACCGTGCCGTGGACCGTTTGGTACCAGGCCGCACCATAAACAGCTTATATTTTTTTTCTGAAAAATGTTTTATTTTGAAAATTGACCGGATTTTCTCCTCATTATGTGCGCTCGTCCCTCTGACAGATTCCCCACGCGTCACCAGGCGTTTTTCTTGTCCTTACCGTGCACGGCAGTTTCGCCGACCAGCGAACACAGAGCCCCCTCCTCCCCCGTCGGTCGTTCCACCCGCAACGACTACTACCCCCCCCCCCCCGCCCGAACTTCTCGACTGAAGTTCCTGAATTCCTCACAAGTTATGCTTTATGAAACCCGGCTCACTGAAAGAAGAAGAAAGACTCTCCAACCCGATAAGATAAAATCAGTTTATTTTAAATAAAATTCATTTTTTTTATTGCACTTTAAAAATCTCCCCTTAGCATTTTGCACTTTGTTAAAGTGACCGGGTCTCTTTGTCTGGATACGTGTGGACGCCACATTACACACAAAAGGTAAATGTTAAATAGAATGATTAATGATGATTAACAGTTTTTGTTTGGCTTCCTTCCTCCATATCAGAACTACAGTGCGTTCTCCTTGCTGGTATGACTAGCACCTGATATCAAACCTATTCAGAGAAGGAGACTTTAAGAAAGCAGCCAACTCAACGGCAGTACAGGAGGCTGTATAGCAGTGAGGCCTCATGCTCGATGGTCTATAATAATGGAATTTTTATTATATGTTCCCTTTAAATGAACACAGGAGAAAGAAAACAAGAATGATTAAAATGGCTATGGTTTTAACTAAAACACTGAAATCATGTATCTTGTTCGACTGAAAGGAACCAATTCTATCCTGTGTGGACTCTCTGATGTTTCTTCAAATTTCCCTGTTGTGTAAATCTTGACCCACAAACATCACAACTGAATGGTTTCTCTCCTGTGTGGATTCTCTGGTGACTCTTCAAGTTTCCCCTGTTTGAAAATCTAAACCCACAGACATCACAACTGAATGGTTTCTCTCCGGTGTGGATTCTCTGGTGACTCTTCAAATCTCCCTTTTGTCTAAATCTAGTCCCACAAACATCACAACTGAATGGTTTCTCTCCAGTGTGAATTCTCTGGTGTGTAGTCAAATCTCCCCTTTGTGTAAATCTAGTTCCACAAAAATCACAACTGAATGGTTTTTCTCCTGTGTGGATTCTCTGGTGTCTACTCAAATGTCCCTTTCGTCTAAATCTAGTACCGCAAACATCACAGCAGAATGGTTTCTCTCCTGTGTGGATCCTCTGGTGTTCCATCAAACCTGCCTTTTGTATAAATCGAGTCCCACAAAGATCACAACTAAATGGTCTGTCCCCTGTGTGGATTCTCTGGTGTCTCTTTAAATTTCCTTGTTCTCTAAATCTAGTCCCGCAAACATCACAACTGAATGGTTTCTCTCCTGTGTGGACCATCTGATGTTTCTTCAGATTTTTTTTTTCTGCAAATCTTTTACCACAAATATCACAACCATGTGGTTTCTCTCTTGTAAGGCCTCTTTGCCGTGACTCTTTCTGCTTTCCTCTCGAGCATTTCTTACTACCAAAACAAATTGAGGACATTTTTCCAAAATGACACATCATGTGTCTCCTAAGAAACCCCTTGTAGTAAAATCGATAACTACACCTAAAGTAGCTAAAGGGTATGTTCCCAATGTCACAACCCAGATGACATGCATGAGGTTCCTGATGCTTCAGGGCAGGTGCAGCAGACTCCGGTGCCCTTGTCTTCTTGTAAACATTGTCTCTGCCTAGACTTTCAGGTCCAGAATTTGACAATAGGTCTTGACAATTATCATTACTCACTTGAGACTCTGAGAATTCTAAAGCCTTTTCTTCATCGGTATTTGGATGTGAAGGACTATGTGGATTTACGTTTCTTGGTCCTGATCCGTAACGGTCCTCTCCATACTTCTCTGTTTTTATCTGCGTAGCGGATCTTCTGACTGGAAGCTCCGTCTCTCTGTTGTCCTCTGTTTGGCTTTGATGAAGCTGTGAGGTTTGAGGTTCATCATCCTCACTCTTCACATCACTGGTAACATCAATTAATTGAAACTTGTTGACACTGGCCTTCTCCAGGCTGTTAAGCTGTTCTCCCTCTACACAGATCCAGACTTCCTCCTTTTCCTCCTTCAGGTCGAGGGGTTCTTCTTTAGTCTGCAGCTGCTGGACATCTACAAGGAGCATATTATGGACAACTGTCACTTAATACACAAATATCAGAGCCGGCTTTCGGAAGTGAGACAGGCAAGGAATTTATATAAATAAAGAATTGATCATGTATTATTTTAATTGCTCAATAATAAGTAACATGTAATTGAATGTGCTGTGTTTAAAAATATCTGATCATATAAAATGTGATCTACAAATGAAATATGTGATAATGAACAAACATATTTTTAGGGGACATGGCCAGTCAATTTTTTTGTTTTCTGCGTACGCAGTTTTACTTCATCGGCCAATGACGTCACGACGTCACATGGCAACTTTCCCGGGAAATTAGTTGGCAACTGGTTCCTGTTCTGCATGTCACGTTAACGTGAGACACACGGTGATCCTTAAACTATAAGGCCTCAACATCATTGATTCACGTGACGTCACAATCGGAACCGGAGTGACGGCTAAGATCCATCCCGACTAACGTCTCCTTCCTTAAAGCACAATGGCCGGAGTGGAAGCAGCGTCTCGTGAGCTGCTGAACCGCCACCAAGCGGCACGAAGAAGACGGCGCCGTGCGGGTCAGCGGCCCGACGCACGCTACGGGAAGCGAGGCGGACAACTCCTTCCGTTGCTTTGCGTTCACCGCAGATGGACGTAGAGGAGGAACGACACGCGCCAACGTGCGTGTTTCCATCTGCGCGTGCAGAGACCGGAAGAGATCTGAGGCGCTTAGCTTTCACCTTTAGCTAACAGCTGGCTAAGTTAGCTAGCGGATCCACAGCCGAACTAGACGGTTGCTAAGAAACGCGACTCGGCCCGTTAAATGAACACGAAGACTGGCGACAAAGAAGAAGCACAAACCTGATCGCTGTAATCGGACCGTGGGGCTGAAAACAGCATCCAGCAGCTTGTATCGTCGCTCGTTTTCTCTCAAACGATGAATTTCCTCCTCATAATCTGATATTAATCCGTCAATCAGAGCTGATGTCTCTTCGGCGTCGCCTCGCTGTCGCAGCAACAGTCTCAGCGCGTGTAGTTTAGACATGGAGACAAACACGGAGACAGAAGTCTCCTCCGCACTGAGGACGAACCTTCGTGTCCTCCAACAACATCATCAACGGAGGAACAAACAGACATCTGGAGCTTTTCCTACTTTATCTTCTGGTGCACTGACCGGTTTCCACCACCAGGGGGCAGTAACTCATCGGGCCTGAAGGACAACGTCTCTCTTTTGAATCATAGTTCCTTTTATACGGAGAACAAAATGCAGACATGGTGTTGAGCTGTAGGCGCTTTGGCAGAGCAGCAGAGCCGGACTCTTGCGGTCCCTGAAGCAGCGGCCATAAAGGGAAGCGAAGGAGGAACCTGACATCTATTTCACTTTAGAGAAGTTCAACTTCAGTTCCCCTAATAGATCTTCTCCATTTAAACACAGTGACTCAACGTCATTACTCACCAGGCGTAGTCGCTGTCAATGTGATGTGAACGGAGTTAAATACTGAGAACATTATGCAACCACACCAACGAACAAAAGACACACAAATCAGATCAAATTAAACCAGTTTATTTCATACAGATTTCAAAAATGTATTGAATTTTGATTTAATTGCTCTTTAAAATCCTCTCCTTCCAATTTAGCACTTTGTTAAAAAAACTTTGTTAAAAAGTCTCCGTGTTGACTCCACATTACACACAAAAAGTAAATGTTAAATAGAAAAGTTCCCTGATTCACGGTTTGTTTGTCTTCCTTCGTCCATGTCAGACCTTCAGTCCTCATGAACAACATCGGATATCGACACCGAGTCCAGTTGGAGCTAAAACAATAAATGTGGAGGAGCTTTGTTCCGTCGGCGCCACGGCTCAGACAGGAGACCAGATTCCACCAGACGAGTCCTCAGAGACCTCCAAGAAAGACTTCTTATGGAGACGTCAGAAACATCAACCTACTGATTGACATTTAGTAAGAAGCCCAGTCGATCGGACACAGCGTTCTCATTGCCACACTTTGGCACCTCGAGGGCGGAAAGTACACTGGTGTGCTTAAAGAAACAAAGACATCAAGTCCCTTTAACTAAATCCACGTTCAGGTCCAGATGCTTTTCACACTCGTCCACTGCGGGACTCTGGCGTCTCCTCAGGGGAGGTGAAGTGTCACATGCGTCAGTTTATCTCCATTTTATTCACAATAAAAATGGATTCTGCTGAACTATGAACCTAAGAAGTTTGCTGAAGTAGAGGTTTGAAATGAAGCGGTGTTGAAATGTAAATGTTCTACAGAACCGTGTAAACTGTGTGTGAACCTTTGCTTTGATGTTAATACGAAGGAGCGAATCTTCCCTCGGTTCCTCTTTACCAGAACAAGCTTCCATCCCTCAGCTGTCTCCAAACGAAGGAGCAGAGGCTGATCTGTGAGGTGAAGCAGGATGGACGTGGTCACCACCTCAACAGTTAATGACTTCAGCTCGAAGCTTAAAGTGGACAACGAAATCAATCAGAATCTTGTCTGGTTTTGACAACTTCTGCTAAAAAAAAAGGAAATAAAACAAAAAGTAAATCCTCTGAACGATCTGCTTGTCAATAAAAAGAAGAAATACTCCTCATTTCACTCATGAAAAGAAAACTTTTTCTTCCCGTTTTCGCTTTGATAAAAATGTGCCCCCCCATCTTTGGACGCCGGGACGCGATCCCCTGCTGGACCTGGATTCACCGGTGCCCGTAGAGCCGTATGAGGCCTTCCTGGTGCAGCTGCTGCCACAGAGACATCTCCATCCGCAGGTCGTGGTTGATGAAGAAGCCCACCGGGCGGTAGCTTTTGTCGTAGTAGTGGTCCGAGTACTTCCTGTAGTCCGGCGTCATGAAGCCGTACGCGCTCACCTGCGTGAATGAGACAAGCAAAAAGATGGTCGGGATTAAACCGGTTCTGTCTCGTCAGAGATCCGATCTCGACCTCCGTGTTTCAACAGCTCCCTTCGATCCCAACGCACAGGTGGGGAAAAGGTTCCACAGCGTCACACATTCTAACGCAGCAGCAGGCGACACGTGGTCACGAGCCGCCGGGTCGCACAGTGAACAGCGGAGCGACAGCGAGGAGCAGCACAGTGACGATGCGTTTCACCTGGTCGCAGCTGTGCAGCGCGGCCAGCAGCATCACGGCGCCCGTCGACGGCCGGTAAAGGGCCTTGTATTTGGTTTTCAGAGCGCTGGAACGAAGGAATCTGCGAGAGAAACGGTCAAACATTAAAACCTGAGATCGGCTTTGCTCCCGTCCCCGCCGTGCAGATCATCCCCTCACCTGTTCCTCAGGTAACGGATGAAGTCGGGGTGGTACATCTTCAGCTTCTCCGCTGACACGTCGGCTCCAAAGTACTTGGTGGGACTGTGGGATCAAATATAAAAGAAATTATGTGGAGTAAAAGACCTGAGACTTTTCCCCCTGTGGCACCACAGGAGGAGTCCGCAGGGTTCATCCTCTGGGGACCGCGAGCATCCGTCAGTCTGGACTAACGTGGCGACCCGACATCGACCTCCCGAGAGCAAAGACGCTCACATGTTTCTACGGGCCTTTTCTAGCTGAACATATGAAGAGGAACGACGAAGAGAATCCTCATCATCATGGCGCCTTACTCTTCTGCCCGCTCACGTCCTCTCTCCACAGCGCGGTGCGTCGCCGCCGCCTTCATCAGCAGGAAGTCGCGGTCGTGGTCGGGCAGGAACACGTATCTGGTTTCCTGTTGAGCAGCAGCAGAGTGTGAGAAGTTCAGGTGGAACACGAGACTCGTCTGCTGTCGATTACATGCAGATCCACTGTGGAACATCTGCATAATTACAGCAGGACGACCAGATAACAGACGAGGTCACTGATGGAAAATGAATGTTTATAAACTGGCAGAAACACCCAAAGAAAAGTATTAAAGAAATGAAACGTGAAGGACACGTCGCTCCTCACCGTAGACTGAGGAGGTCCTCTGAAGCCGGCGTAGCTCCTCAAGGAGTTCATCAGCGTGTTGGTGGAGAAGGTGTAGTGGGTGGTCCGGGACCCCACGTCCCGCTCGAAGCCCTTAACGATGGCCCCGTTGGTCCTGAAGAGACGCAGGAGGCCACAAGCAGATGAACCAGCGTCCTGCTCTCCTGCCCCGTGAAGCACCCTGGGGTGCGTCCCGTTTGGATGCTGGCGCTCGCTTTATTTATTGTCGTGTGACAGAGTTCGTTTGTCGTAGACGTCGTTGACATGCGAGCGCGCGTGTGCAGAGCAGCGAACACAAAAACCTGCTTGGACACGAAAACGCGGAGCTGCCTGCTGGACGTGTACCTGAAGACGTAGTGGTGGCCGTCGATCTCCTCCCCCGCCTTGGACTCCTTCAGGATGCCCCCGTTTCCCACCACGGCGCAGCGGCTGCACGCCGACGCGTTGCCACGGTGATTCCAGTCGTCCAGCAGCAGCCGGTTAGCAGAAGCGTTGAGGACGGACAGAGTTTCCGCCAACGCTGAGGACAAACGAACACATTCATCTGGACGAGATCTTCAGAAGAAAAAGGAGCTGGCGCACCGATTGTTGGGGAGTCTTTTGGTCTTTGGTTGATTTGTCTCTCTAAGAAAAGCTGCAGCTGTCTCCACAGTGACGAGGACAATGTCCATCAAATGCTGCAATAGTTTGCTTGTATATTTAGAATGGAATCAAAGGGCCGATCAATGAACGCTTCATTCTCTGGGGTTTTATTACGATGTGAGTTCATGTTTGATGAATTTAACAAACTGTTTGTATTCTCCAGCTGATGACATCATAGCGCATTTAAAACAGGGAGGGAAACAAAGCAAACTGACTCTCGTAGTCGATGCCCCCCCAGCCGTGTGCTCCAGGGTAGCGGCTCAGGCGCTGGTGTTGTTCCCGGGTCACGTCTTCGGCCCACTGCAGGACCGGAATGTGCTCCAGAAAACGTCCCCTGAAGGCCGTCTTCTTGACCCGACTCCTGATGCCGTCTCTGCACTCCTGAGGACGGAGCAGGGGACACGTCGCCGCGTTGTTGTCAAACCGCAGACACAAACAACTTTCTCCACCACGGCCGCAAAAACATCCACCACGGAGACGTCGTGTTACGATGTCTCCGTGGTGGACACGGGGAGAGACGAGGAGACGCCGAACGGTTCCACAAACGCAAACACGGCAACATGTCACCAACTCGTCTCGTCAAACTGGCAACAAACCGGACTCCCCCAGATGTCTCACTCACTGGACCGTCTCCCAGAGGCTGAGGACTCATTCAGGGTGGGAGTTGGAGCCGAGGGACACGGGCTTGTTTTTTCTGGCAAACAAAGAGCCAGTGAGGCAGCGTGACGGCGCCTCCGTGTGACACAAATCACCAGGTGGGAATAACAATGATGAATATCTACATTTCCAGTAACTCCAGTGGCCTATTTGGCCTTTAATTGGAGGACAGGACAGATGATCTGTCTCAAAGGCTGATGGGAAGTTAGAGACGGCCGGTAAAACATGGTTAAAAAGATGAACGTGTCCCACAAAGGTGAGTAAAGATATTTGACCGTCAGACCAGAAGTGATTTGATTGGTGGAAGGTGGTTTGGGGGGAGGGATTAAGATATAAAAGTGTTACATTTGTTGGATTTGTTGTCTTTACTGGTTTGGGTGGAACCACAGACTGAGGACACTTTGTGGGGACGTCGCTATGAAAACACAGTGACAATCTGAGCGTTTTTCATTAACTGGATTCACCGTTTGCGGCGGGACGTCTTCACTCTTGTAAGTGTCTCCGATGAAGGGGGGGTCCGTGGGCCCGTCTCCCCCGATGAGCTGCTGGCGTTGCGGTGCCGGGGGGCCTTTGGTCCCGGCTCTGTCCCCCCCTTGATACCTAGACCCGGCCTCTGAGACACCCGGGTCCCTGGCCTCTGCTGGTTGGTGCCGAGCGGCCGTGGGTGGCGCTGTGACCTCCGGGTGAGCGGCGGCGGTCGGGGGGGGACGGGTACGCCGGTCTCCGCCGGTCTCTTTGCGGAGAGGCTCCTGGGGGGCCGATGAGCCGCTGTGGAGGTCAGAACATGTGGCTTTAAGCCCGGCAGGTGACCTTCTGAAGAACACAACAACAACACAAATGTTCTGCGGACGGAACCCGGATCGTCAACGACTGAAGAAGAAAGGATGCAGCTCCAGAAAACAACCCAGTACGTGGACCTTTGAGTTTGTTCAAAGGTGTTTTTGTCAAATATTTACTGGAGAGAGAATTATTATAGGTAACCATGGCGATGTTTGTAATCGTCCTGCTGTCACCGCGTTTATCACAGAGGCAATAAAGCAGTCGCAAAGGTAAACGGTCGACCTGCAGTTTGACGTAAAGTATAAAACAACCACACAACTGGTGGGGGAATAAGTGCTGGTTACAGTAAATAAACCATTCCACTCTCGTCCTAAACGGGTTGTAGTGGTATTTGTAATCTATTGCTCATTTAACCACAGTATTAGAACGCTTTAAATGGATTTAATCTGTAGGACCCTTGTTGGAATAATCCCACATTTGCCAAACTAGCGACTAAAAGTGAGCGCGTGGACCTCTGAGGAGTCGACTGTTGGAACTCACCTCCGTCCCGGCGCCTTGCTGAAGCCGGGGGCGTCTTTGAGGGGGGGCGTGGACCAGGACGGGGGCTTTTCCAGGTGGACGCACAGCACGTAGACGCACAGCAGGGAGCTGGCGGTCACCACGACAACCACCAGCCTCCTCTGGAGCGCCATTCCCACGTCAGGGAGCCGCGTCCCCCGACCCCCTCGCCGCCTGCCGGGACGTGAGGGGGAAGAGGAGGATGCTGGTCCGGCCTCTTTTTGGGGGATTTAATCAGCCTACGAGGATCTGGGCTCCACTCAGAGAGAGTTTTAGATGGAAGCTTTTCTCTGAGCACAAAGTCACGAGCTTCTGCTCCTTGTCGCCTCTCTGCTCGCGATCATCGGACGCAGAGGAGGAAACGCCCGGCGGTGTGAGAGAGAGATAAACACCCCAGGAAACATTTCTGTTGCTCAGACATTCTATCTAACAGGAAGTGCGATTCGGCGCCCTGCTGCAGTACGACTGCTCTCTGAAGGAAGCGGAGGACGGCCTGCGAGGCCTCGGAGCACTTCTCACCTCTTTGTGGGGGCCGGCCTCCCGAACCGCCGTCGCACCTTCTGCTGAATTTGAGGAGAAATCTAAAGAGGAAAAGAAGAAACCGCAGCGCGTTAAAACACCCAAACGGGAACTCAGGCGCTGTTCTTGGATCCATGTGGGTCCCTCACATGGTAACGTGGTGAATCAGGACAATAAGAAGGGCACTGATGGCTGTTAGTGATGAATCCCCCCCCCGACCCCCCCGGCCCACGTGAGCAGTCCCCCCCCCCCCGGGTTTGGGCTAAAACGGGGGAATGGAAAGAATGTGTTGCAGCGACCTGGTGATAAACTATCTGATAAGAGACGAACACAGACGTCTACTTCCAACCAACGTCCACACACACACACACACACACACACACACACACACACACACACACACACACACACTCACCAGAGCCGTGTTCTCAGTCTGCCCCCCCCCACCACGATCACCATGAAGACGTTTTCCTGTCTGCTGGGAGCTCTGCTGATCATCTGGGTGAGGAGCGGCGCTCTGCAGCCTCAGCACTGAGGGGGCGGGACCTTTGTGAAATGAGCAACAGCTGCTGGCAATTGGAAACCCCCCCTCAACTCCACTGCATGAGGGGGGGGCGGCGAGAGAGGCCACTCCAAGTTACAATAAAGTGCAGGATCTCTGCTCTGCTCACAATGTGAGGAGAACCTGGATCCCTCCCTCTCTCTCTCTCCCTCCCTCCCTCCCTCCCCCTCTCTCACAGTCAGGTGACAAGCAGCAACATGCAGTGAAACTGCTCGACACAGCTGGAAGCTTTTCTTAAGTCTCATTGGCTCCATGCAGCGCTTCATCCGCCAGGTCCTCACAGCCAAGTCCCCCGGAGCTGGTTCCCTCTGAGGAGACGAGGCTGAAAGGAGACGAGGCTGAAAGGAGACGAGGCTGAAAGGAGACGAGGCTGAGAGGAGACGAGGCTGAGGGGGGACGAGGCTGAAAGGAGACGAGGCTGAGAGCAGGGACACGTTTTCCTTGCACACCTCTGGTTGCTTTGGCAGCTCGAGGGTGAAGCAGATAGAAAATAAAGAAGTAAAAAGTGGGTCATCTTTTATTCCAGATGTGTAGGCTGAAACATCCTTGAGGACATTTTAATAAAAAAGGCTTAAAGAAACTGTTCTAGGTTTTTATTGACATTTCAGGAATGAAACAACGCTTAAGAAATGTTGGCAATAAATCATAAATCATTTAGGGTCCGAAACAACAGCTGTTTGGGCTCTTAATTGGAATTCCAGAGGGCGTTGAGTGGATGGACTCTTTCTCTCTCCTCTCCTCCGTGAGAGAGCAAAGCATCATGGGAACAAGTAAACAACTGTCTCCTCTTCCCACGGACGAGGGACAAAGTCCTTTTGTTTCACTCGCTTGTTGTCTTCTCACAGCTTTTATCTCCAAGGACCAACAGAGCGGTGACGGGCGGAATGCTTCCTGTACCGAGTTACAACCGGATGATAAGCTGTGTAAGCACACACACACACACACACACACGCACGCACGCACGCACGCACGCACGCACGCACGCACGCACGCACGCACGCACGCACACATACACGGAATGCCCCCGTCCGCTGTTAAAGCTGCTGACTCCTCCTGCCCCCCCCACGAGGCTCACACGAACCCTTCAGGTTGCGGCTCGGACAACGTCCGCGTCAGAAAGACCTGACGACCATCTCCATGGTAACGGCGTTGTGCCAGCTGACAGTAAAACACTCAAAGCGATGCCCCGACCCCCCCCCCCCCCCTCCCCGTGGACCAATCACAGGGCGAAACGCAGCGGAATAAACAGGCTGGTAAAACTGGAGCGAGTGACCTCAGTGAACTCATCCAAACGCCTTTAGTGTCGGGGGGAGGGGCTTCAAGGAGGTGCAGACTCACACAGGTAGAGAGTGTGTGTGTGTGTGTGTGTGTGTGTGTGTAACTACTTGAGTGTGATGTGTTTTGTCACATGCTTTGTGCCCTCCCTCCCCCCTCCCCCCCCTCCCATGCAGAACCTTCCTACATTCTTCTGTCTCCGGCTGCAGACGTTTCTTTCCCTCTTTTTTTAGCCTCTCGCTCGCCCTGACTTTCCTCCTTGGGTTCACCCACAGTACTGACTTCTCACGGAGGGGGGGGGTGGGGGGGGGGGCACGGCTCCTGTAATCGGCTCTCGCCTGGAGGGGGCCACAAATCACATGACTCCCCAGATGAAAGGAGGCACCAGGAGAACCACTTGGCAGATCACGGTCCTCCAGGCGGAGCAGCCCCCCCCCTGTTCACACATCCTGCCCCTACTACAGGTATCAACACGCTGCTTTCAGAAACATCTGGAAACGTTCTGTGGCTCTATAGGGAACATGTTGGCATTCCTCTCTGGATGGGGGGTGAGGGGGGGGTCACAGTAGTCCCCAAGAAAGCAAAGAAGTTGCAGAATTTGTGAATTGCTCCCACACAACACGCTCCTTCATGCTCGGGGGGTCATTTCCCCAGTCAGTGTCTTTCAGTCTGAAGCTTCACAGGCTCAGTCTTGCATCCGAAGAAAACAGAGAACAAGAAATGGATGGAGCTCTGACGGGCGGCGGGGGGGGGTGGTGGTGGGCGGGGCTCCGGGCGGCTGAAGCCCTGCTGTCAGTCATCACTTCTCCAGCAGCTGCTTCCTCTGCTGCTCCCACAGGGCCTCCAGGTGATCCGCCCTCTTCAGCGCAGCCTATCAGAGGAGAGGAGCCGCGTTTAAACTCCAGCCGTCTCCGTTCTGGTCGCGCTGGCAGAACCACGGCGGCCGGCTCACCTCGTGCTGCTTCCGGAGATGATTGACAGTCTCCTCCTTCTTCAAGATGGCCGACTTCACGCTGGCACAAAGCACAGAGAAGAACGTCAATGACAACGTGACCGTGAGGACGCTTTTTGAAGCTGTTGAAACGCACCGTTGGTGGACCTCTGCCAGTTCCTCCTCCTTCTCCCTGGTGACTCTCTCCACCTCCAGGCGCAGCCTCGCCCGGACCTCCGCCACCTCCGCCGCCATCCTGCGGTTCTCCTCCTCCGTTGTCACCAGCCGCTCGGCGAACTCCTGCCGTACGACCTCTGCCAGGCGCCGGCGCTCGTCCACCAGCTGGTCCCTGGTCTGCACAAACAGGGTCAAAAGGTCGCCCGGTGAGCGTCCCGCCCCGACGGGGGGGGGGGGGGGGGGCGCTCACCCGGGCGGCCTCACGTACCCGAGTGACGCCCTCCACCTCCGCCTCCTTCTGTCGCAGCGCGGCGCGCAGCGAGATCAGCTCCTCCTGCGCCTCCGCCTGCTGCCTCCTCAGCTGCTGCTGCTTCTCCACAGCCGTCCTCTGCGAGCGCTGCAGCTCCTGCAGCTCCGCCTCGTACGTCTCCCTGACGCGCTGCACCCTGAGAGCACACGGGAGCAGGAGACGGGAGGCGTCAACTCCCAGACACCTGCAGGGAGGCTGGTCCTCGGGTTGTGACGTCATCACGCTTCGTTTCTCCCGTTTAAAAACTATTTGTGATGTTGGGCTGAACCAACAAATTCAATTAAGAACAACAACAAAACCGGTTATAAAGTCCCCAAAACGCTCACACACACACACACACACACACACACACACACACACACACACACACACACACACACCTGTTGTCGGCGGCCCTCTCACACTCCTCCTTTTCCTTGCTGGTCTCCTCCTCCAGCGTCCAGATGGCGATCTCGATCTCTTTGTCGCGTCCTCGTCGCAGCTCTTCTCTGAGCTCGCGCTCGCGGCTCAGCAGCCAGGCCTCCTACACACACACACACACACACACACGCACACACACACACGCACACACAAAGAGGACCACAAATCAAACTGACCACAGTGACTCTGAACCCGTTAAAACCAGTTGGCTGAACTGTGTCTTTACAAACCTCTTTCTTCTTGTAGTTTTCTTCCCACGTCTGCTTCTCGGCGTCCAAGCGTTCCTGCAGTGCCTTCATCTCCACCTGCTCACACAAGCACTCAGTCAGCGATTTGGCTGGTGGACGTTCACGGAGGTCCTGGCTGATGCTGCTGCTGCCGTCCCGTCTGCTCTCATCACCTGGTGCCTCCTCTCCTGCTCCTCCCTGGTCTTGTCCAGCTCTTCTCGGAGGGCCCTCCCGGCCAGCGAGCTGTTCTCCTCCAGCTGCCTCCGCAGGTCCTCCAGCTCGGCGCGCTGCCTGACGGAGGAGCACAAAGAAGAGCCTTCACCAGGAGAAGCACGAGGGTCCCTCAGCAGGCTGCACAACATGCGCTCTTCAGTGTCCTGCAGACGGGAGCAGGCCGCCCTCAGACACAAAGGTTATCGGGTTCCTCCATGCGAGTACACGGAGTGTGTTCCAGCGAGTGTGTATAATGCTTTAGGTTTACACGGTGTGTGTGTGTGTGTGTGTGAGTGCCTCAGTAGTTCCCCCTCATAAGGCAGAAAACGACTCTAGAGCCCCACAGCGTAAAAGGACATTTCGACCTTTGACCTCACCTGGCAGACAGCTGAGCCAGCCTCTCCTTCTCGTCAGCCACCTCCTTGTAGAGCCGCCTCCTCTGCTGCTGCAACGACAGCTCCTCCTCCTGAAGCTGCTTCTCGTATCTGACACACACACGTAAACTGTGAGCAGTCATGTTTAGAAGCCCCTCGCCGTCTCTGCGGTGAATCGTTCGCTGTGAAGCTGCTTCCTGTCTGACACACTGACACAACGACGGCATTAACCAGCAGAACATGAGCGCGTGTGGTGGAGAAGCGTCCGCGGGACTCGAGGATCGAGATGATACACTCTGCCGGCGTTCTCCGGCAGCCCGGGTCCATGACGGGGGCCGACGGTGTGCCCACCTCTGTTTGGCCAGCGCCCTCTCTCTCTGACTCTGCTCCTCCTTCTCCCCCTCCAGCCGCTGACGGAGCTCCTCACACTGGTGGACGTAGCGCTGGGCGGCCCGGTCGTCCGCCTGCAGCAGCTCCGCCTCGTGGAGCATCCGCAGCTTCTTCAGCTCCTGTTTGTGCTTGGAGATCAGCTTGTGGATCTCTGGCTCCAGACCTGGGGGGGGTGTGGAGATTCACTTTTACATCATGCTGGATTGGCACGAGTCATGTGACTTTGAGGCAGTTTTATTCCAGAACTAAATACAATCGAGATAGAAGAAGATGTTTGGATCCAGGCGACTTGATAACGTTCATCTCTCGTTAAGCACCTTTCACAGTGATCTCTTTGATCTTCTTGGTTTTCTCGTCGATCCATTTCTCCCGGCGGATCTTCTCCGTGGCGCTCATCAGCTCTTTTAACTTCTTGATTTCCTGTGGGGGGGGAAGGGGGGGGGTGAAGGGTGGAGGCGGCGTGGTGTCAGAGAAGCTGCTAGCTGCTCCTTTCACAAGGTGAGGACAACGTTGAGGCGTGTGCAGGTTCAGAGAGTTCAAACTGATTCCGGTAACACAATCAACCCAACGGCTTGAGACGTGAATGAGGAAGGACGGAGGAGACTCACATGCAGACCGCGAGACAACAGTCCTGAGCGGCAGACAAATGAAAGGAAAAGGGAATGATGGAATGAGAGACACGATGGAGGACCATGTCAGAGGAGAAAGAAGTTACCTCGCACAGGGGACCCAGTATTTGCCAAACCTAGAAGCCAGTAAAACAATTTGATATACAGACGAACAAGGACAGAGAAGAAGAAGAAGAAGAGAAGAGACAGTTAAACAAAAGAAGCACTGCGAGGAGGTTACGCAACAACGTGAGATGCAAAGCAGCAAGAAAAGGATCGAGCTCTAAAGCTGCTGGGCGGCTTCTCACCATTTCATGCTGCTCCTGCATCTGGACGATCTTCTTGGTGTACTTCTGGTCCACCTGCTTCAGTTCTCCCACCACTCCTTCACAGCGCTCACTCAGCAGCTTTTTATCGTTGATCAGCTGGAGAAGGACAGGTGGAGATGTGGGTGTAGGTAGTGTCATAGAGGACACAGAGAAGATGGAGATAGCTCGGCTACCTGATCGATGAAGGTCAGGTGTCTCTGGATGGTGGCTTCATATTGTTCCCTCTGGAGCTGGAAGTTCCTGCTCAGCTCCTTTTCGGTCTCCTTCACGTGTCTGATGGTGAGCTCTCTCTGCTGGCCCTGAAGGACAGGAGAGGAGGTCAAGGTCCTGAGGTCTGCTGGTCCACATGCAGCGTTAACATGCACGTGGTCCCCACCAGGGCGCGCTGCAGCATGTTGACTGTGCGTTTCTTCTCCTCCAGCTCCAGCTGGATCCTCATCACGGAGCCCGAGACCTCGGCGGCGGTGGCAGACGCCTGCTCCACACCGACCAGCTCCTCCTCCGACAACACGGCCTGCCAACACGTTCGACCTGTGAGTCCTTCTTGGTTCTGCTCAGGCTGTCGAAGAAGCATCTGAGGAGAGACGCTGACCTCTCTGTGCGACCCCGAGGTCACCGAGCGCGGCCTCTCCTGTTCAGACTTCTCCATCTCATCCAGGAAGCTCATGATGCTCTGCAGCTTGGCCTCGGAGAGCAGGGCGCCCCCGTCTGGCAGCGCGGGGTGGTGACTCAGCTGGCCGTGGCGCTCCAGGTTGTCCGTGGTCAAGGTGTTGGAGTCCGCGTCCTTAAGAGGAGACACAGTGGAGATGCAGGTTAAAGTCGTGGCGTCGATGATCAGCGCCACACGAACTGGAAGTAGATACTTCAGGAAGCGTCACCTCATCGATCCAGGCGTATTTGTCTTTGCTGTAGCACTTTGGCTGGGAAAGCCTCTGTGGCTCCTCCTCCAGCAGCTTCAGGGTGTCCAGCAGCTCGTTGAAGGTGCTTTTAGACGGAGCTCTACTGCACAGAGCTCCCTGCCGCTGGTCCTCCACGCTCACTGACCTCTGCAGGATCTCCTGCAGCACGGAGGCATCAGACGGGCTCACGGTGGGCGATTACTGCGCAGCGATTTGACTCAGTGAAGTGGGGCGGGTCCTACCTGGGAACACTGGGAATCTCTGCAATTGGACACATCTGGGGAAACCGCTCTGAAGCTGGAGAGCTCACCGAACTCAGCCGCGACATTCAGGTCGGAGTCTGTGGGGAGAAACCGACGTCAGGCCACGTCGAGGACCACAGAGTATCGAGACCAAGTCAAGAGGGAGCAGCACCAGAACACGGGAGTCACACACTGACCATCAAATGCAGAGCCTGCAAACTCCTCCAATTGATCTAAAAGATTCCTCTCCGTTCTCCTGATATTGACATTCGTACTGTTAGTAAAGCCTTGATAAAATAAGCGAGTACGACAACAACTAAAGTGACACCATCACATGATCTACTCTGCCTGTTCTGTTCCATGCTGACCTGGGCTCTGTGCTCAGTGAGGCTCACCTGTGTTCTTAGCTTTCACGGCTGGGGGGGGCGTCGGGCTGTCGTCGCCCGGCGAGGCAGGACCTTTGTTGGTGACAGAGATCTTAGGCAGCTTCCTGCGTCCAACCACACCTGTTGGTCTCAGGCTCTCCAGCTGCCCCTCAGCAGCACGCTGGGGCTCTGCGGGCCGCTGCAGCTCCTGCGACAGCCAATCGGCTGCAGCCTCTCCGAGAGGATTCCTGTCACTCAGCGGCCGAACCTCGGGGGTGTTTGCCAGACGGGCTTTCTCTCTACGGATCCACTTCCTGCCGTTGTGCTGATGTTGCTGCGGCTGCTGCTGCACGAGGACAACGTCCCGCTCCGATCCATCCTCCTGGTCCTACACAGGGGAGGGGTTCAGTTTCAGGAGGGAGAGGTTTAGGAAGTGGAGGTCGGAGCTGGCATTCACCTGAGAGCACGGAGAGCCTCTTTGATTGGACGAAGCCGGGGAGACGGCCCTGAAGTTCAGCTCGATCAAGTCCGCCGTAACATTCGAATTGGACTCTGTGGAGAAACGTAATGATTCAATGTGCTCAAAGGGCGACGGCGAATGGAGTTAAAAAGAACCAGAGCGGCAGCGCACAGACCGGCGTTCTTGGCTTTCCCGGCGGGGGGGGACCTCGGGCTGCTGTGGCCCGGCGAGGATGGACCGCTGGTGGTGAGGGGGATCTTGGGCGGCCTCTGGCGTGCGACCACAGCAGTCGACCTCGGACTGTCCGGCTCCACCTCGGCAACCCGCCGAGCTCTTTTCTGCTGCAGCTCCTGTGACCCACCACCAGAGGGAGACACGGGACGGGTGTGAGCCACGGGGTCATGACAAAGACACCTGATTTAAATAGAGGCTCTAGTGTCTATTGAACAGCTGTGTGGAGTTTGAGCTCCAGAGGTTTGTGCCTTTTGTCCTCGTGGCAGAGACACGGAGACAGTGAGACACGTCGGAGAGGCGTCTCTGAGGGGCTGCAGCCCGGGACTGGATGCGCTGCTTTAGGATCAGAAGTCAGACTCTCTCTCTCTTTATGACCTGAACTGGAGGTAAAGTCAGAGGCGAGCACCTGGATGGCAGCCAGGCGCACAAGGCGAGCTTTGTCCTCCCGAATCTGTTTCCTGTCATCGCCCCTTTTCTGCTGTTGCTCGGGGCGACTGTCTTCTTCTCTTCTCTCCTCCCACTCCTGCAGGGGAGAGCGCGTGACAGCTCATACATTGTGAGTAGAACGAGAGAGACGAAGGTGAAGATGGATACCTTTCTTTTACTGGCGATGATGCATTTGAGCGCCGCCTGGTTGGCGTGCCGTCTCCTGGCGTGGCGCCTGTACCAGCGCTGGATGGTGACCGCTGCCTGGTTCACCTGCTGAATAAACCTTCAGGAGACACGGAGGACCTGCCGTGAGTCACGGAAGACAGTAGGGCCAACCTCTCAGTGGACACGTGCAGCAGCCCGGACCTCTCGGCCTGCTCCTCGGTGACCTCCCTCCTTCCAGACGGGGCGGGGCTTCCCCGACGCGCCGACGCCGGAGACTTGTTGTTGGAGGTGGAGGATGTGGAAGAGAAATTCTTCTGGGACTTTGTCAGGGAGCTGTTGTCTTGTGACACCTCGTCGTTCGCCGTGGCCTTCAGGATGTTGCTGGAGGACAAAGTACGATTGGAAATTCAGAAAAGTGTCATTCAAACCTCCACACCGGAGTGACGCGATGCTGGTTTCAGCTCGTACTTAAACGAGGGCCTCTGGTTGGAACTCTTGGGCGTGAGTGGTTTCTCGGAGTAGTTGTTGTGTAAGATGGTGGTGACGGAGTTCCCCACGGCTCCCTTGTTGCTCCTGGGGAGAACAAGAAGACACAGTGAGACTCGCCAGGAGCCACTGACACCTTTTTGCCTTCTGCCCCTCCAGGCTTCACAGTAACAGTAATCATATTACAAACTCCATTTTCATGAAAGAAAAATGTGTGTGGGTGGAATTTCTGAACGCAGTATCAGCTGCTACGATCAGCAGGTATGAAATGTGAGAAGCAGCTTTAAATCTCGAATGCAGCAGTGCGATTAGTCAGGCCGCGCTGCCTGGACTCAGTGTGTGTGTGTGTGTGTGTGTGTGTGTGTGTGTTGCCGCCCACCTGTTGTTGGCAGTGAAGGTGGCAGCCAGAGCGATGCCCAGCTCTCTTTGCTTGGGCCCGGGGGGAGAGTCCACGCTGCCGGTGCTGCGGGAGCCCGAGTGCAGGGAGGAAGCTCGCGGCTGATCGTCCTTAGAGACGGGACACACAAAAACGTCTGAAACTACGGAAATATTCAAACGGCCGCGGAATACGTTTTTAAATCCGGAAAAGAGGAGTGTGGCTACCAGGATGTTCCACGTGGTTCTGTCTGCTGAGGCTTTGCTGAGGCCGGCCAGTTTCTTGCGTCCATGCGAGCTGCTGTCGAACAGGGCGAGGTAATCCTCCCTCTGGTCCCGACTGGGAAACATACCACAGGTTGGCTTCATGTAGGGCAATACATGAGGCAATAAAACCCAAACCATTTGGAGTAGAAACATACCACTACAACAGAAAATATAGCTGTGAGCCAAATAGTTTTTAATTGGGGAAGTGAATGAAATGATCCTGCAACAAGAGCTTAGCGGCGTACAATACGCCATCAAACAGCGCAGAGGCCTCTGGTCACGGCTTTTAGTAATGACAGCTGCAGAAAGGGGGTTCATCCACGTCTCTCCTCCTCCCCCGAGTGCAGGAATTCAGTATGCGGCAGCTGAGCGTCTGCTGGGGGGGGGGAGCTCCGCTGTAAATGCATGTGTTGATCCTGACGGCCTGTCATCCATCCTTCAAATAGCCGCTCACACCATGCGGCGCAGATGCAGGCCGACCTCTTGTCTGGCCTCCCGCGGTACGTGTGCTGCAGCCTGAACCCGTGTCGGCACAAGTATATAAATGAGCGTGCACGTCTCCGCAGGGGGGGGTGAAGCCAGCTGGCCCAATGAAAAGCAATCTGACAACACAATCGAGGCAGCGCATTCCTCTACTTTCTGCTCTACCAGGGAGCGGTGCACGGGGGGGGGGGCGCAGTGGCATTTAAGAAGTCTTTAATTAAAGTCCCTCTGCTTTGCATCCTCAGAGGCAGAGATGGGGGGGGGGGGGGGGCTTGGCGACAGCTGGCAGACAATACCAGAGCGTGCACACACACACACACACACACACACTTCTCCTTTCACTGGCTCCTGGTGGAGTGAGGGGGGGAAACCTGACCCCGGGGTCCAGTCCCTCCCCCCCTCTAACCTGGGACAAAGCACGTCCCTGCACCCCGCGACCATAGCAACAGCCGCCCAGCTCCCCTCCACTCTTTCTCTTGTCGGAGCTGGCGCGCCACAATTGCCATTGTCCGGGCGGCTGAAGCTTTCGGGGCGGCCAGCTGTTGCTGAGAGAGAGGCTCTGGTTTAAAGACGGCCTGACACACCTTATCTGAAAAGCACACATTCTTCTCTGTCGTTTCCAAAAACACGTCCTTGATATTTGTGACGCATGTGTCACTGTAAAGGTCATCTGAAGATCCGACTGAGGACGTAAGAGCCAGACCGAGGTTCTGCCGGAGGCTTTGCAGAATACAACCGGCACATACTGTGCAGCTTAGTGGGTCAGTGTCAGTGATAAGGAGTGAGGGGAGTGTTCTGCATACGGATGCGTTACGAGCATCGCCAGTTCCAGGCTTATTGCGCCCGCAGGGCCCGTGTTTGTACCTTAGACTGACGTTGGTCTGCTGATTAACCTGCGTGGTGCTGTTGCACCGCCTGAGGTTCTTGATGGACCGGGAGCTGCTGAGGCTGGCATCACCCTGTGGGTTTAAAAAGGTTCGATGAACTGTGTTCACAACAAACAGAAAGCTCTTCCCGGCATCGTGACTGGATCTGAGCAGGCAAACGATCATCTGCTCACCAGGGTGTTGCGTTTCGCTCTGCTGTCTCCAGCCACGGACACCGACACGGAGCGGGAGAAGCTTTTCCCAGGCGATGCACTGCTGGGTCTCCTGGACATGGAGAGCTGGGAGCCGGACAGGCTGAGGTCCAGGGCATCTCCTGTCACGGCTGCCGGGTTGGATGCAGGGCTTCGTGCTGCGTGCATCCTCTGAACCGCCTGAAACGAGACGGGAGCAGCGTCACGGGAGGAAGTTGTCGTGTTGCTGTTTGGTCTCCCTGGGCGACCAACAACAAACCCCGTGAGTGTCTCTGACCGCGCGCCGCGTTAGCTGTGATGCTAACGCAGTGGGTGTTAGCACCGTTAGCATGGAAGCTAACGGGACCCTGTCCCCATCTCGGGACAGGGCGCCTCGGGATGAGATACCGCTGCGTGTGAAACCAGTCTGTGGTCGTTAGTTAGCAGTCGGTTAAGTAACGTTACTAGCGAGCTAACCGAGTGGTTAACTTGTACTAACTAACGTTATAACGTTATATGTTCTACTAACGGTCCATCCCAAGTTATTGACTGTGAGATTATTCACAGCCGACGCAGCGTCATTACAACACGATGACGTTCATTTGGCCCCGATTGTTAAATCACAGCTCGGTTTTCAACGTTAACGTTACATACTTAACAACGTTGTTTGTCCGAAATTTGTCACGTTATAAAACGTTTACAGTGGACGTCAGTAAACTTCACAACAATGTCGGTGGCCGCTGTTAGACGTTCCTTACTTCAGAAGCCGGGTGGCGGCATCGCTGAGACGCTCCTGCAGACTTTCACGGGTTTAATTCCCAACAAAATCCCCCTTAATGTGCAGTGAAAGTACCGCGTTGACTCAGTGGACAAGTGCGGGGAACCAAATAACGCGTAACATCATCTCTGTGGCAACGACGCTCACAGCGGCCGCCCCTTGGAGTCTGTGATTGGTGGAGGAGGAACAGCGGCTCTCCGGGCGTGGATCCGATTGGCTCGAGCGGGATGTCGGTCTGCGGGGCGGATTCGGAGGGGCGGGGCCGCAACAACGGTTCGGTTGACTTTGCAAAGGGAAGCGTGAGCGCAAAATCACATTTGAGAGATGTTTTATAGTGGTTTTATTAATTGTTTCCAGAATGCTCATTATCAGATTCAACACGTAACATCAGGAATGTAAACGGGCTTTAAATGTATTCATTTGTATCAACCGTTACACAAAGCAATAATCACACTGATGTGGAATGAATTCAGTATTCTGATATCCCAATGACAGCTCATCCTGACAACAGTAACAAAAATAAATCATGGAAATAGAACGGATTTTTAAATGAGTCTGCAGAAATCATTTATCTTCTTTTAAACTCCACAGCAGCCCTCCACACGTCGGCCGCTTGTCCCAGTGTGATTTTCTCTGGTAAAGACTCGAGCCCCAGCAGCACCGGAGGCGTCTTCTGCTCCAAATGGACCTCTAAAGTGGACCTGATGCTGCGGGCAGCCGGGAGAGGAGGGCACAAAGCAAAACAAGTGTTAGCGCTGCATCCATTGTTTACACCACACGCATTCCTCCTCACTTCCCTGTGCAGCTGCTGCTTCAATAGAAAGGACCTGTGGTCGAGGGGAACAACTTAAGCTCTTTTCCCCTGACAGATGGCTGCCTGGGGGGGTCACGCTCTAGTCCTGGAAGTCAAAAAGGCCCCAAATCCCAGGGGAGAGACCTCCACACTTCACTGTGATTAAAGCGGATTCCTTTAGACGAGGGCGGCGCTCTTTAAACTGACAACATCCTCATTGCTGAAAACACCTCTCGGGTAAACTAAGGAACAGATGTAAATAATGCAAATGCTTCTGGGACTGTTTTTCCATTTGGCGTGTTACTTCTCACAAAAGTTGAACCCTCAAATGGTGCTTTGGTTGTGTTTTCACTACGGGGGGGCGGGGGTCTTACTCCCAGTGTGGCTGGTAACCCTGGTCAGTCCCGGCGCTGCTCGTCTTCAGCAGCAGAATTTCATGCAGCTCTCGGGAGAAGGCGCAGACGTCCACGTCGGCGAGGAAGACCTTCAGCTCTTTCCGCTCTTCCTCAGACAGCTTCTGCTGGAACTCGGGGGGGAGCCTCCGAAACGGGTCCTGGAACACCAACACGAAGCGTGAGCTCTGATCTGTTCCGCTGTGCAGTACAAATTCCTCAAATTCTGTTTTTATTGGGGTCAGATGTGGGGCGCGGCGGCCGTGTGAGACGGCACGCTTTGAGGAGATGTCGCTCCGAATGGTGTTTTGGGTCAAAGGGAGTTTAAAAAAACAAATGCTGTGGTGAAGGTTCTTTGTGGGTTTGATGCTTTAAAGCCTTGAACTGCGGCTTAACAGCTGTGACTGAAAAAAAGGATTATTGTGGCTCGCGCTTGTATTTTCCTGCAAATCTATTATGTTATTATATATATATTTGTATTATAATATTATATTTTTTAGGCTGAGAGAGACAAATTTGTCAAATTCATTCAAATTATTAATTAATTATGATGTTTAATTTAATTTAATTTAATCAATGTGTTTTAGGCTCTGGCTGTCTGGATAGTTGGAAATAAAACATTTTATTTTCAGCTTTTACAATAAACCTTTGTGATTTGTTTATGAACACCAAAGAAACGTCATGTTTTTCAATTAAAATATCTTCATTTGGAGGCTTTCACACATATTAATAAGTTAAATGTTGAATTAGATTATTGTGTGTGTAATTATTGCTTTCATGTTTCATATCTGACTTACCTGATTTCTGTTGAGCATAAGCTCCGATTTCCATGAAGTCAGGAGCTGCCAGGTGAAGACGCTGTGTTCCAGTCTGCTCTCCCCCAGAGCCTGAAACACGTCACACGTTTCACCAGAAACATTAACGTTTTTTAGAGATTCTCAATCACAACTTTTTTTTTTTTGCAGCCAATTGTTTAAATGTATATTCTGTACCATTGCTGCATGTTAATGCGCGGTCACTTGAATGGAGATTGTTAAAGCAATTCAATATTTGCACTGGGCTGCACGACATTTTAAGTATTCCAAGTCCGATAACGGATGTTTAATCTTTCCCAAAAATGTAAATAAAGTAATGATTTAAAGTAGAACGTAAACTGTCTTAACTAAGGCTAAAAACCTCACAATTCTGGGAGTCCTGGACCTTAATACCGGTTTTAAATCAGAGCACCAGATTGGATTTCTCTCATTTATTTCCGGGGTCTCTACCTTGGTGACGGTGCTGGAAATCTGCCTTTCCATCCGCAGCGTGTCGGCGAGGTAGGACAGCAGCCGAGCCCTCGGATCTCCGCCCGTCTTGCCGAGAAGGCGCAGGCCGATCTCCACCACGTGCACAGCGTCGCACGCGTCCGTGTAGGACCGCAGCACCGTCCTCGTGGCGCTGCTCGCCGAGCCCTTCAGCGGCTCCTGCGGGGCGGACGGAGCAGAGGGAAGGGAAGGAATCTCACTTCGATCCCACAGAGGAAACTACCGAGAACCTGAAGGATAAACACTGAGGGAAGCTAATCCAACATATTTAACTGTTCCTTTTTAGTGAAACGCTCTAATTTGAGTAACGTCTGGTGAACAATTACAGTGTATATATCTTCTCCTTCTATTGTGAAAGGTAACGAGTGGATCGGGTCCATGCTGCCTTTGTCAAAGCTGAAAGGAGTAATAAACCTTAGTGTGCATTTGTAATGTGTTCCTCACATCCTGATGATGGATGATGCCTTTTTTGTAGCGCATCATTTTTGCTCTGTGTCAAAGTACTCAGTTCAAAATAAAATAAATGTCACCAGATTGATATTAAAAAGACCACTAAAACAAACAAAAGCTTTTGAAATGAGATTGGAGTACGTGAACTGGTCTCACCTGACGGATCTTGTCCCGGACCGCGTTAAGGACCACAGAGAAGTCCTGCAGGTGTCTGTTCAGGTACCTGGAGGTGTCCTGGTTGTGAGCAGAGAGGACGGCAGCGCCGGTCAGCAGGAGGTTTGCTTTTACTCCACATGCAGCCGCGTGATTGGTTCACGTGTTTCTTTTGTTACCGCTTGGATGAGTGGTTTTCCGGCCAGGAAGCGGCGAGCCAGCTGGGTTTGGATGCCCGGCAGGTCGTAGCTTCTGTCCGTCTCCCCTCCTTTCTGCAGCGTGTAGTGGCAGTGCGATAAAACCAGAGGCAGCAGCTCTCTCTCTGGGCTGCACAGCGTCAGCTGGGTCTCTGATACGCTCTCTAAAGGAACACTGTACTCACTGGGGAAACCAAACCAAAGGTCCGCCGTGAGCCGGGTTAAACACAGGTACCACAGGGACAAAAGCACAGCTGACTGACGGGACCGGTACTGTGCTAGTACACGTACATGGACGTATATGGACCTGGAATCGATTGTGGTTGAATGAACTTCAGTTGAAAGCGAAGCGTTTGCACCAGGAACGTTTCAGGAGAACCGTGTGGAGGCTCAGAAGGAGCTTCCAGACATCGCGTGTCTCTGCCCCCGGGACGTACTGACCTGTCCTCCGGCCGGCTCGCTCTCACCAGGCTGTTGTGAGTCTCCAGCAGGAAGTCCACCAGAGCCCGGAGGCTCGATCCCGGTCCGTGGCGGCTCGGAGTCAGAAACTCTGCGGAGCTCTCGGCTGTGAAGTCCACGTCCACACTCGAGTACGCTGCTACAATTTCATTCAATAAAAAAATCAATCAAGACATAATAATGAGACATTAGTTCATCTTATGAATTCAAATATAGACGTATTATGAAGAAATAAAATTAATGACAAACAAAATGTAATATTTTCACTATTTCCCTTAATATTACGACACTGGACCCTGAAGACACAATAAATACTGAGCGCAACATATTAACAATAAACTAATAATTCATAATTACTTAATATCTTTATTGTGCAGTGGATCTAACAAACACTTAATGACTGAAAGGTGAGATTATTGATCTTTAGTCGCTGTAGACTGAAATGCTTACAGCTGTTTGCCACCTCGGCTCTGAGGCAGTTCCACACATGCATGAAGGTCTTCACTCTCTCCAGGATCCTCTTCTTCTGGCATCCTGAGGGGACAACGACAAAGCTCAGCGCGCGCGTGTGTGTGTGTGTGTGTGTGTGTGTGCCGACGTTTCACGGCTGCTGTTGTTGTTGTTGTTGTGCGTTCAGTGTTGAATCAAAACACACCGTCCGGTATCTTCTGCAGCACCTGAGCCACGGTCTGCTCCGCGGGGTGCGAGCTGAGAGGAACCGCCCTCAGCAGGTCGGACTGCAGCGCGGCCAGCTCAGGTAGGTGGTGGAGCTGCCGCACGCAGGGAACCTGTGGCAGAGTCAGCACGGGCCACAACACAACACACTGAGAAGATACATCCAACATGCATACACCTCAGCGGTCCTGGTTTCACAGGTAGAATATATGTATTAAACAACATATATTACGTCATTTTGATGCAAATCTTAAACCTAGATGCAGATTAAGCTTCTCAACTCCTTCTATTATTGTAACTTATAATAACTTATTAGAATAATCGTGTTGGAGATGGTGCTGATAGCTGAGGGGAAGCTTTGTGCCATCAGGCCTCAATGCTCCTCAGATCCTGGTTCCCTGGTTCCCAGTGAGAAGATCTCGCATGGCCCCCTGATGAGGACCCCTACCTTCTGGAGGAACAGGCCCAGCAGCGGTAAGGAGATCCTCCCCTGTGCTTCGCCCACCAGCTGAGTGAAGCGCTCCACTGTCATGTACTCCGGCAGAGTCCAGAAGGTGGAGCGATGGGTCGGGCAGTCGGAGGGGAGGGACAACATGGTCCCCGGATCCCCGGAGAGGAGAGTCATCAGGGGACTTCCAGTAAGTCCGTCGTCACCACCGATTCTGTCCTGAGCTTCAGCCAGATTCATCTGCAAATGCTGCAAACCGGAGACATCAGCTTCTATCACTTTGTGTCCTTCTTCTGAGAAGGTCACAAGTATTGAATACAGCTACAGACCTTTAAGCTTCAGCAAGAGTGTAACTAAGCCCCTAACCTGCATAAATAGGTGTACTTGGTAGTGTTTTGATGGATTCAGGTCCAAAATATGTAGTTGAATTCAAAATATTAGATATAAATATACGTAGTCAAAGCCCTCCTCCGGTTGACACCTTTCTTATTAGCTGATCTGGAGACAGGTGACCTCAATGGAAGCAGCTTTTGTTGCCAACCAACCCCAAGTGCTAAGGCTAATCACTAGCATACATGGAGCTAGCTCTAATGCTAATCACTAGCATACATGGAGATAGCTCTAATGCTAATCACTAGCATACATGGAGCTAGCTCTAATGCTAATCACTAGTATACATGGAGATAGCTCTAATGCTAATCACTAGCATACACGGAGCTAGCTCTAATGCTAATCACTAGCATACACGGAGCTAGCTCTAATGCTAATCACTAGTATACATGGAGATAGCTCTAATGCTAATAACTAGCATACACGGAGCTAGCTCTAATGCTAATCACTAGCATACATGGAGATAGCTCTAATGCTAATCACTAGCATACACGGAGCTAGCTCTAATGCTAATCACTAGCATACACGGAGCTAGCTCTAATGCTAATCACCAGCACATTCAGTAATGAACACTGGTTCTGCAGGTCGTGTGGTGATGTCTGTTCAGGGTGGATAGAGCCCCCCCTCAAAGCTTTATTAGCAACACTTCAAGGGGGGTCTCAACAACCGTCCTATGGAAAAGCTTGGACATTGTCTCTCTTCTTCGTGGATCCCAGGACAGTAACTAGAAGAATTTGAGTCAGCTTTGAGCATCGTCTCGGCTGTTTCACACTGACGTACTTGTTCCTGTTCTAGAAGGGTTTTTTACTTTGTATTTCCAGGTGTTCAGCGACTCCTTATATGCATCTTATTTCTCACCTGAAGTACTGGGTTGATGGCGGAGTCACAGACGAGCTTCTCCCAGAGCTGCCGCCCTTGTTTGGTCGACAGATCCAGAGAAGCTCCGCGGGAACCTTTGTGAACATTCAACGCGTTACGCCACCTTCTCCACGCAATGAAAGCAGCTGCTGGAACGGTTATGATCACCTGGCTGTTCTGCGCATGTGTTGAGAATCAGATGAACCGTCACAGCCGTGTTGTCCATGTTCTGGTCCAGCGCCTTGCCCAGCACACAGAGGTCCTTCTCCAGGTGTCCCCACAGGAAGCTCTGGACATCCCTGGGCCTCGGGTGGATCATGTCCCCGACTCGCTACAACAAATCCCCACTGGAGTGTTAGTACATCGGGCCGCAGGGGCGACACCTGTGATGGATACGTGGTGCGCGGCCTCACTCTGTCGTTTCTCACTACGCCTTGAAGCATGGCGAGGTGCGTGAGGAGCCGCAGGATGCAGGACTTAGCCACCGTCATCTGTCTCTCGGGGGCTTCAGACCTCTGCTCGGCGTCTCCTAATATGTGTCCCGTCCGAGTTTGATCCTGAGCACTGAGGCGGTACAACGATGAAATGTCTGACTGAGAGAAGGGCCACGAAGCAGCGCGTCTGAAGGGATTCATACCTTTGCACTGCAGTGAATCCTGCTACCGGTTGGTGCCGCTCGCCACCGATCAGGACTCCACACTCGGGACAATCTCTCATTTCCACCGGTCTGCCACACTACGGGACAATAGAGGAGCATCGAATGTGTTACTTCTTGAATATCTCCAAATGAAAGCTGGCTCAAAGGGGAGCAACTCGTACCTCTGTCACAATGCACGGGTGTCCATTAGTGCAGTCTGTGAATGTAAAACACATCACGTTAACAACCCGATGGGACATGTGGACAGAGACGATGAACAGATGTGAAATACTTACAGTACATCTGCGCCTTTTTGTCTCTAAACCACTGTTTGACTTCGCTCATGTGATCATCGGGCATCGTTGGCAGAAAATAATTCTGGGAGGGAGAAGTGAGTTGTATTAATAAAAGTGACTCTACTTCTCTCTTGATTTATTCCCTCAGTAAACATTGCAAACAGGAGTTTATGGTCTCAGTCTCTAGTTTACAGTCTTCTTCAACACAACATGATGTTCATTTAGTAGATTATGGTCCATGTAGAGTCAAACAGACCATAAAGCAGGGGAGGCTTTAAGGCGGGGCTACGCGCTGATTGGCAGGTCTTTAGAGCGTCACATAACATCAGTACGCGGACCGATGAGTGATGTCCCCATGGGGACATTTAGCTGAAGAGCCCCAGTAAAAGAGAAGAAGTGTCTCACTTTCACATTCTGAGGCTGACAGGCGATCTGATGCAGCGGAACCAGCACAGGGTTCCCACTGAGCACCACAGAGTCCAGGTGGACCAGCAGCTCCAGGAGCGTTTGTCTCTGAGGACAAAGAAGCGCATGGATCTGGAGATCCGAGCTCGGCCCGCCGATCTTATTGGACAGAAGCGCGGCGCAGAAGTCCCTGAACTCTGGCGGCTTGACGCTCTTCAGGAGCTCCTCCAGCCTCGCCAGGTCCTGTCAGGTCAAGCAGAGCCACGAGTTTAGCAGGAGAACGTAACTGCACCATGGACGTGTTCAACCCGGTGACATCATGTGTTCTGACCTGAGGGGGGGGCAGCACGCTGCGCTCAGGTGATTTGTAGCGGCAGGTGACCTGTCTGAACAAAGCCAGAGGCAGCAGACTGCTGTGAGAAGCCCTCAGCTTCTGCAGACCGGAACACAGACGTGTTTTTACATTTTACTCATATTCAGCATTTAATAAACGCTTTGTAAACTGAGTTCACAGTTCATCCATGTATGAACATCTTTAAGGCATTTTAAACATTTTTGTTACAAAAGTGACTCATAAATAAATCACATAAACGATGTTAAAGTGACGAAGTTAAAGTCACACTTATAGAATAATTAAAACAATTGAAACTTTATCACAACAATGCATGTATATTATAATCTCTAAATAATGGAATAGGACGACTTCTAACGGCCATCAGGAGACATCAGATCATCAGCTGCTCTTCTCTCCTCTGAATGAACTAGAATACATGAACATATTCGTACACGTCGTGTCAGCCGTAGAGTCTCTCTGACCTGTATTTGTGCCGCGAAGGAGTCCGATTGCTTCTCCAGCAGAACGTGGCCCACGGCGTCCCTCAGGTCTCGGTACGCCGTCCCGCAGCAGAGGAACTGGTCCAGGTTGGTAGGAATTATCCTCTGGAGAGGACAAAATGATATATGTATAGTTATCGGTTTATGGAAATCACGTCACAAATTTATTTCTTAGTCATTTGAGTTGATATTTGAGTAGATAAAAAAAATATAACTATTTTCAGTCTCCATTATCATCTATTATCTTGATTAAAATATCAGAAACAACACTTTTCTTTGGAGTATTTGATAATACATTGATTATATACCTCAATAATAAGAATACTTATAATAATAATAAAAGTATCTATTTGTTTTAGATTTTCATCGCGCAAAATTTATTAAAAAAATAAAGATGAAAGTTGCGTCTAAACATAAAAATTGAAAAACGACACATTTTAGATTTCGATTTGCTCACGAGGAGCATTCAGAGGTCTCTACCTGCAGCTGGAGCAGGCTGGGGGGGAACACCCATCTCCAGGCCGGTTGGTTCATCAGGGACAGGATGCATTCCACACCTGAGAGCCTGTGCAGGGCTCTCACCAGGTAGACCCGGTGCCAGTCGTCGGCGCCGCTCTCACACGCCGCCTTCACCTGCTGCAGGTATCGGGCCTCCTCGCCCTGTGGTCTGCCTGCAGGTCACCAGGAAACACGCCGCTTTACTTCCACGCACCATCTGAGCCGGTTTCAGAGCCCCGTGTCGATGCATCACGCGCCACTTTATCCTGAGGTTTCACACCTTGACCGGCGGCGCCCTGCAGCAGGCGGGCGGCCTCGCTCAGGCACACTCGGAGCCTGGCGATGTTGAGCAGGAACTGCGCCGGGTCCTGATGTCTGCGGGGAGTCTGCCCAGCGGCGACGCTGCAGAGAAACACCATTTCCGCCCGTCGCTGCTGCTCTCCGTTCCGCTGGGCTCCTTTCGCCTCGGAGCACAGCAGGGAGTCCTGGGGGAGGACGGCGGGCCTCATCAATGGAGGAGTGGCGGCGGGCGGGATGGTCGTCACCTCAAAGGGGAGGGGACACTCACCTGGAAGCAGTTGACAAACAGCAGGTAGAGCTCCGTGCGGTCATCTCTGGCCAGAAGATTCTCCTCCAGGTTCTTCAGGTACGTCTGAATGTGAGTCTTCACCTGCTCAAAACTGAGAGGAGCACACGAGCATTCGCCCCCCCGCTGGGTCAGAATAGCTGCTGACCCTCACAGCGCCACCTAGCGTCTGCCAAAGTCTACCGAATCGAGTTAGAAATATTACACTTGATTATAAGTTAACTTTTTCATTTTAAAAGTGAGTCTCAAACCTTGTTTTGTCAATGAATCCACATGAATAAAATGAGTGAAGTGAGGAATAACTCCACCAGCGTGGTGTTACTACTTCAGACCCCTTCCTCTCACCTGTGCTGCAGCAGCAGCTTGGGCAGCACTGAGCGCACCACCGGGCTGTTGTCCACGCACTCCAGGAAGGGCGTGAGCGCTCTGGTCCTGTACACGTCGCCTGCGTTGCACAACAACAACAACAACAACAAAAGGATTAGCATCGCGGCGCCACCATCGACGGCGTCCAGTCATCGACTCCTCCCCCTCCCCCACTGACCGCTAGCGGAGACCAGCAGGGAGAAGAGCAGCTCCACCACTCCGTCTCCGGGCGTCTGTCCCTCGGAGAGACAGAACCTGGACACCACCTCCAGGAAGAAGGCGTTACAGCGGTCCCTGACGGACGCCTGCTCCTGAAGCGCTGCCCTGAACCAGAGAGACGAAAGTCACGCAGAGCTCCACCTCAGTTCCTCAGTTCCTCGTCCAGAACAGGAGACAAACTGACTTGACGTGGGGAGAAACAGTGGGCCTGAAGTCGGGGGGAAGGTCCGTCCGGCACTTAGGACACCGTCTCTGCTCCTGAGTGCAGCGCTGGAGACACGGCAGGCAGAAGACGTGCTGGCAGGGCAGGACAGCCGGCTCCTGGATCTCCGACAGGCACACCGGGCAGGAAGTGCCCGACCTTCACAGCGGACACCACAGAGTCATTACGCCACCGGGGGTCCGAACATAACGACATCTAGAAGTATTCTACTTTCTAATGAAACACCAAATGCATTTTGTAAAGGCAGATCCAGACCGCAGCTCTTGGCCGATACACTCGTCGTGAAACCGATTGAGGACCCGGATCAGCTGCTGCAGTGTGTCCACGCTCCTCACGTCAGGGGACGCCTGCATCAGCTGTTGGCAGACGAGGGAAAAACGGGTCTGAAAACACGTCTCGTTTCAACAAGAAGCTCTTTGCTGGTCCTTCTGGTTGTTTCACTCAAGGAAACACGTACGAACCAGGAAGACACACAAGGACCGTAGCACAGGGAGCAAAAGGATCAGCTAAAGGACGACGGGGACACAAAACAACAACAAAGAGATGCAAAAAAGCTTACACAACTATTATAAAAAGGGAAACAACCGCAATGCGACATGAAACTCTACTTACGCTGAGGTGAAGGCTGCAGTGCTTCAGCGCCACTTCTCTCAGCCGCGAGTCTTTCGGTGTCACTCTGAAAACGACGTGCTGGACGAAAGATGCAACGACCAGCATCCCGTGCCACAGAGACCTGAGAGCGCAAACAGGGTCATCGATGAACTTTAACAACACTAATCGACGCCACTGCGACGGCCTCACCGGATGGAGTCCAGGCGCTGCAGGCCGCCGGCGCTGCAGAGGGTTCTGTATCTCTGGGCGAACACTCGGTCCAGACACGGCTGCAGTGACGCCACGCGGCCCACAAAGAACTCGCACTCCGGCAGCGACGCGACGCTCAGCAGTTTAGTCTGTTCGACGAAGACGCCGAGCGCTCCGATGTCCTCCACCTGCCAGACATTCAAGTTCTTTAGATTTCACAACTACGGGACGTTAAGGACTGTGCTAACGCTTAGCATGTTAGCTACAGGTGGAAAAGGCTGCAGAGATGGAGAACTAAACTGACGTCAGGCGACACACAAGAGTCTCAGCAGCTGTTCTGACACACTTCAACACATTTTCTCATAGGCTTCTATAGGACCAGAGCCCCCTCCTGGTGGTCACTAGAGAGAATGCAGAATGAACTCATGAAGCGTTGACTTCTCTCCGCCCGGATGGACGTCATGTCATAGTGACGTGTTTGTCTTTCAGTGCAGGTGGACTGATGAAGGTGAAACTCATAAATGATCCAAACTCTCACCATCTCATGGGTTTCCCCCTCCGACCCCTGCTGAGCGACCGCGGCAGCCAGCTGGGGCTGCAGCAGAAACATGTGGCGGAGACAATCCAGTCGCGGGGCGAACTGTTTGCCAGCGGCCGCTATCCAAGCCGGCGAGAGCTCCGCGGCGGCGCCCACGGAGGCCTGGAGCTCCGAGACGCAGCCCAACAGGGCCCTGGAGAACACCTGGACACACAGTGGAGATGATCACATCCTGTTCCTGAAAAACAGGTTTCACGCGCATGTGAGGCTGAAAGCGCCCGTTTACCCTCAGCTCGTCATGTGACTTGATCTTCAGGGCGAGCAGCAGGAAGTCCTGCAGGTAGAGGCGCCCGTACTCCTGCTGCTCCTCGGCCGAGAGCTTCTGGAAGTGACTTCCCAGCCGGCTGCTGGAGAAGGTGCTCACGAACTGGAGGATCCTCCCTGTGCCGTCCTCGGTCGTTACTGAGGGACAAGCCATGACGTTTGTGTCCACACGTCATACAGAGAGGATTCTTATTGTGCACAATAAGACAAAGGCAAACCTGGCATGAATTCTGATTCTTCCCACAAGCTTTCCAGGTGGGTTCTGACGAGCCAGCTGAACGGAGCCGTGCAGGATTGTTCTGCACCATCCAACACGAGGAAGTGATGCACAGGCACCTCCTGGTCCGACTCACTGGACATTACAATAAGCAGAGAGACAGTTGAATGGGAGAAAAAAATGACTAAGAGACATGAAACCCCCCCACTTGATTACTTCATTTACTTTACAAAGACAAGTTTTCTGAAATTAGTTTTTATTTTCATCTAATTTTCATACTTAACCAGAACAGAAGTGTGAAAATTGGATTAAGCCATATTTAATTTTGTTGAAATATTACAGTAAAACAGTTTTACAAAAACTAGCCATGAAGGAAATCCATCCCATATTGTATAAATGAGTCTGTGAATAATGTGTGAACAAACCCTCTGTGGAACGCTTCAGACTCAGAGAGGAACGAAGCTGTAAAGCTCGTGGATGTAAGAGCTCCTAAAGCAGATTTCTGGATCTGAGTGTAACTCCTTTAGAACCTCGGACCCGTTGGAGTCACACAGAACAAGTAACCTGTCATACCTTGAGTTGTGAAGAGACGTTAGGATTAAACTCTGTGAATCTGCCAGGATGTCCAACCACAGCTCTCTCAGGCCCCGGCTGAGTCTGCCATCGGACAGCAGGTCCAGATTCCCAAACCGATCCATAACCTCCAACATGCTGGCCAAGATGGGGGTCACGGTGGCCTGTAGACGGCGCCACAGGGTGTGTCTAGTAAAAGACGGGGACAAAGAGTCACCTAAAGAACGCACATGAATGCTGACATGCAGAGGGAATTTCTAAGACCCAAAACAGGAGCCGAAGGCAAACCGAATAAAATCCCTCGATCCAGAAGCTCAATCTTTATTTAAACGTTTTCGCGCTTTACCTCAGGGTTCCGCCCTCCTGCAGAGCCTGGCGCTTCTTGGCTTCGCTGCTCACCCACTCCTTCGGGGAGCACATCACTTCTTCCCTCTGTGCCGAAGCCTCGGCCATTCTGCTCAACAGCACCTCCTGAAAGCGAGCTTCCATAAAGAATATAGTCGACATAGTTGTAAGCTATTTGTTAGATGTTTATTACGGACAAAAACGACAACATCATTGCTCACAAAGAGAGAATAAGTGATCAATAAGATCCATTTTGATAGTATTAATGAGCAAATTAGACTAAATTGATTCTCTGATGATTTATACATTTACTTTGTGTTTGCGTTTGACCAGCTCCCAGAAGAGTCAGAAGGGTGTGTATCCGCTGCATGCTCCGCGATGTCACGCCTTCGGGTTCCCTCAGCAGACCCACAGCTTTTTGGATGCATGACCTCACCAAGGCGAGGCTGTGGAGGTGGGCTCCATCTCCCTGAACGCAACCAGTTACACATGTTTATCGCCAGCACATATAAAGGGACATCAGGGTCTATTTCTTTCTAATCTGTATCCACCTGAGAGTCTCTTCTTGTCCACGCTGTTTGTCCATCGTCAAGGTGTTCTATTCAAGATAAAAATGTGGTTTATTTTAAAGTAAAAAATACGGTAAAATGACTTTTCTGTTCCATGTGTGATGGGCGGATGGTTTCTACCTGACAGGGCAGGGTGGAGTAGGTTGCTGATCAGAGTTCCACAGAAAACCGAGAGGTTCAGGCTCATGTCGTCTGAATCCCTCAGGTCATCAATGTGCACCGAGTGCCACACTCCTTTGGTGCAAAAGACAAAATGTTTGAAAGCTTCACATCACAGCGTAAAAGTAAACCCCCATCACCTGGTGATCGAGGGGCGGGATCAACTGTATTGCAGTAAAACTACTCACCTCCTTGGAAACCGATGTACTGAGATTTACTCGGGATCCTAGAAACCTTCACAATGAAAATCACCCAACAGGTCGGACCCTCCAGTGACATCAAGTAGTTCATGGTGCAATATCTAGAAGCGGATGAAATCATAACACGTAAACCACTGAACAGGCATAAAGTCCAACCAGATTCTGTCCAGTATCAGCGAGCCCTACTTTGCTGAAGCTATGAGCTCATCACTGCAGTTGGTTTCCTCCAGGTCCATCTGGATGAACAGGACATGAAGAGCGGGACTGACATCTTGAAGGAAGCCCCTGGCACAGAATGGAGCTTTAAAGATACAAACCTGATCCCCCCCCTTTCCCCCCCCTCTCACACTTCTGCTGCTATCCAACTCGTTAGTACCTTATCTTGTTGCAGAAAGAGACCTCGGTGTCAAATTGGTGGAGCGAGAGCAGCAGAGTCCTCTCACTCTGCAGTCCTAAAGCAGGGGCAACAACCCTGACGTCTGATCTGGTTAGCAAGCCAGAGAATGTGGTTACCTGAGAAAAGCCATAGAGAGGAGAGTGGCATCAGTCATTTGTAAAGATTTCGAACAAATGCAAAAACTAAATTGGAGTTGTAGTTTGTCGCCTACCTCCAGAAATGTGGTGGACCCCTGATGCTGGATCAGGCAATCTTCCAGGAAATTTCGGAGGGAATGGTGATGCTGTTGCTGGAAGTACATTCTCTGGAGTTTCTCCTTCTCTTGGTTCGATAAATCGGAATACTTGAGCCTCACAACAGCATCAGGTGTGGCACAGTTCAGCAAGAGACATTTTGCTATATCAAGAATCTCCTCTTCCTCAGTTTCCTCAGCAGCAGCTTCCGTCTCCATCAGCTCTTTGCCTTCAGACAGCAGTTTGTTCTCGTCATCATCAACATCCATTGACTTGGCTTCTCGTTCCTCTTCATCAGCTACCTCTTTCTGCAGGTTGGAATTTGCCTCAAGTTTTTCTTTTGGTTCATCTTCTTCCATCGAGTCATCTTTTTCACTCTGCTGATGTTGTCTCACAGCAGCGTCTTCAACTTTTTGTGCTCTCCTCTCAAGTGCTTGCAAGAGAGCGCTGGCACAGGCGTCGCCATGGTAGCCAACAAAAATTTCCCATTGCTTGAAATCCGCCATGGCATCACCTGAGAATTCCTCCACCCACTTCTTGAGTTTGTGGAGAACTCTGTGCTGCCAGGGTTCCAGGTCAGTGCTCCTATCCACCCTGTGTTTCTCCAGCCTGTTGATGAGGGGCATAGGAAAGTGCTCATAGACTTTCTTCTGGTCCTCCACTACCACCAGTCTGAAGTTGGTATGGACACGACACTTTACCCTGTGAGAGCCGAGACCAAGATCGACATACTGCTGCTTACTGAGGTAGACGTAGTACTGGTTCAAGGCATCGTACAGGCTTTCGTACAGATTTTGCATGTTGAGGAGGATGACCGTACGCCCGGTCTCCATGCACGTTTTCACCCGGTTTATGTTACGGCAGATTTGGGCATACTCTTGGTCCTTTGGGAATCCCGAGCCGAAGACGATTTCAGGAGGAGGATACCCTCCTTTGGCAAAGACCTGTTGTTGAAGGATATGGAGAGCTGCATTGTTGGTGGTCAGCAAAAGGAGGTAACGGCTCAGCTGGCTGGTGTCGTGGTCAAGATTCTTTTTCACCATTTGCAAGGTGCTTGGTCTTGGAAAATCCATTAAGTTTTGGACCACCTCTTGGAAAAACATGACCGGGTCAAATCCCTCTGGTTGTCCACTGAAGTTACGCAAGATGGCCTCTACCAAGTGTCCACCATCTGGCTCTTGTTGCGTTGATTTGACCACGGCAAAGAGCATTTTGACGAGGCTATAATAATCCCTCAGACCAAAGAACTGATTCTTTGTGGTCTCACTACAGATGCTCAAGAAGGCCTTGGCCAAAGATGGGAACATGTGTTTGATTTGCAGGAGAATTTGCGTTGAGCATGAACAAATTCCTTTTGCGGTTTCCACCAGTTCATCCTCACTCGGATCCCGTCTCGACACAAAAATTCCTCTGTTCATCTTTGCCGGGTCAAGAGCCCAGTTGGAGATGCCAACAAAGCCAACCTTCATGTGTGGATCCGGCCTGTCATTGTCAATACAACCATCCTCCAAGAGTGGGTGAAGGGTCTTCAGGGGCATCTGAGGAGAATCTTCTGCGAGTCCTATCTCATCGAGAACCACCACGGACACATACTCGTCCATGTTTTTGTCCTTCTGGAAACGGGCACAGTTCCTGAATGTCCCAATGATGCCCTCTGGACTTGAGTGAGGACTGCACTGGAAGGAGACCATGTGAACTTGCTTGAGCTTCTTGAATAGTTCACAGTGGGAGTTCTGGCCCTGCATGGCATCAGACACCACTGTTTTAGCAAGGGACTTTGAGCTTCCAGGTTTGCCAACTAGAAAGAGTGGGATCCTGAGCTCAATGCAAACCACCATGAGAAACACGTTCTCTTTAAGTGCAACATTCTTGGCTATGGTCTCCCTTGTCTGTATGTTCTGAAGAAAGAAGTCCTGACAGGAAGAAATCTCTTCCTGCAAAGCTGTTGAACAGCAGAGAGGTTCTGGAAAGTACTGACATATGACAGAGAGGTACTGCTCTTTGTCCACCAGAGACGGGTAGTAGCAGACTCCAACTGAAAGAATCAAGCACTTGAGTGTTTTATGACCCTCAGTGAGAGTTGTGCAGTAGTTAAAAAGGACCCCGCTATGCTGGTAAAACCAAACCAGCACTTTCATTGACCTCTCCACGTCTCTGAGACTCACAAAACTACACTCATTCTTCCGACTTCGCATGTATTTCTGGGAGGCCGCCAGCACATTTGAAATGATGTCCTTGCAGTCTCTTGGCAGAGAGTGGTTGACAACTTGCCTCTGGACAATCTGTTTGATGTAGGAAAGTTCGGTTGAATCACTCAGCTGACCAAAGTCCCACACCAAAGAAACCATGCTTGGAGGCAAAGGATGAACTCTGTAGACTAGCTGTCGCAGAGGGACTTTGCCGAGGCGGTCTTCTGTTTCATCTGCCTTCACCCTGTATCCTAAACCTGCGCGTTCCAAACGTTTCACCATTTCTGGCGAGTGCTTCCTGTAAGGGTTGCAAGCAGCTATTATCTTCAAGCCGCTGTCTGCTTTCAGAGGTTCCCCTTTCATCGATTGGTCACAGAGAATTTCCTTGATGGCAAAAATGGCCTCCGTGGTGTTTGCTTCGTCGAAGAACAAAATGGTGTCCAGCTCGTGCATTCTTCGGTTGTTTCTGGCAAGTCTCTCTGCCTCCCTCACCTTTCTGTAGATCATCTCTGCTGTGGTTCCACCATGTACCTTAACAAGTACCATGTTCTCCACTGCTTTCTCCTCCCTCTGCAGAGCACACAGGAAACGGACTAATCTGGTTTTCCCACAGCCGGTCTCTCCCATGATGACAACTGGAATTCCACACCGGAATCTCATGTGTATGGCCAACATCTTCATCACATTGTCAGCAGTGAGCTCATACGTTGGGTCCGGATCAAAGTCTCTGTCCGTTATTCCCTTCTGTGCACCGACAACGCAGGAAATCCTTTTGATTTTGTCCGCACGTGGCAACCCGTCAAAGTCTTCAGTGAGGGAGATCCTTTGCCTTTCCAAATCCTCAAAAAGTTTTTGCGACATCACGTTTTCTATCAGGACCTTGTGGCTTTGAGGATCAACTGCATTGAGGCGGTTTTGCCTCTGACGTATCACATTAAAGCCGAGGAAAGACATTGAGAATCGGTCCGCATTAAAGAAAATGTACGGGTGAGACTCATTTTCCCAACGCTTACGAATAGTCAGACGGGCGAGAAGGTCATCCTCAACCAGCAGCGTGGGACTTTCATCAGATGTATTTAGAGATGGCGAGGCAAAATCTCTTGACATTAGAATCATGAACTTCACGATGAAGCCCTTGAAACCGGGGAGCTGATCTGCCAGAAAATCTGGATCACAGAAAACTGAGTTCTCGCAGTCTTTGAGTTGCACATTGAGGAACCAGGAGAAGTTCTTCAGCTCGGCCCAAGACGGGTCTTGCATTCCACAGTATTTCAGAAACTGATTGACACAGTCGATGGTGTCGCCATGTCTGGATCCCTCCCTGTACTTAAAACGGTCCAGAGTCTGATTGTTGCTGTAGACCTTCAAGTATTGATAAGGGCGTTGAACCCCCTCACTGCAGAACTCCTGCTCATCCATGAGTGGATCAAAGGTGTTCGGCACACGTCTACTGGGCAACAACTTATTTACTTCCTTTGGAGGTCTACAATGGATGGTAGGCAGAATGTCAAGAAGTCCAAATTTCATCTGGGTGAGCAAATTAAACACAGAATTAGAGAATGGCAGCCAGGTTGGTCATTTTATTACAGCTGAAAAAAACATTTGTGTAACTGCATGGTCTTCACTTCTTATTTCGAGATGCTACAAGTGACCCTTTAGCTCAGAAATATGAGGACACATATTATAGTTATAGTTATAGGTTGACAGACTTGTGAAAATACCTCTTTCGGCTGGTTCTGAGAGGATCCGTGTGTTCTCAGGACTTCAACGGTGATCAAATGGGCCACATTCCTTCTCCACAGCACGCCATGGCTATCGCTCAAACAGCCCAGAACTAACAGATGGAACAGGAGCTCCTCCAGACCTGAACGAACCTGGCAGGAAACAGGAAGGTAGAGGGAGACCGTCGAGTACACCCATCGACAGAACAAGTGATCTGCACAGAATGCGTACTTACTCCAGCGGTGTCGACGTGCAGGAGGACAGGGTCCTGCTCTCTCAAAGGGGCCAGTTTCTCCGACAGACTCTTGATCAAAGCGTCGACATCCACCGATGGCTCAATCAGTCTGATCTTGATGTGATTTGCTCTGGGAGATTTCTGCTGGAACTTCTCAAACAAACGCTCCACAAAGAGGGATTTCCCTATTGATAGACAAAAAGATTCGGTCAAGATTTATTCAGGATTCTATTCTTCGTATAAGCATGTCCAGGGTCCCCCTTACCAACTGCTGGGCGTACAGATGACACTGTCCAGACTGACAGCTGATCTGGAGAAACCAGTGCGGCAGGGCTCGGCGGGGACGTGTTTTGTGAATGTGTGAAGTGGCCATGTAGATACTTCCGAGCAGCTTCTGCTGTCAGACTCACTCCAGCCTGTACTTTGTCATTGCTAAAGTAAGAGGGCACATATCTGTGCTGGTGCTCAACCGGACTGACTATGATCAGGCGATAATGCGGGTTGCCGCTTCTCTCGAGACACTCGAAGAGCTCCCCGAGGGCCACGCTGACATCATAACCCAGAAGCCCTGGGTTGACCAAAGAGTAAATCTTGCCCCAGTTCCTTCCAGCGCCCTTGCCAAGAGCACGGCGGAGAAAAATCTGAACCTCCTCCTCTGTGGTTTCCTCTCTGCAGACCAGAACCTCGTCAGTAGATGGCAGAGGCTGCTCTGGACTTTGCATGTAAAAAGAGAGGACGGAGGTGAAAACTTCTGCATCGGGACAAAAAAACAGGTTGGGCCTTCCCTCCTGGAGGACTGGAGGAAAGTTCCTGTTCACAAGCTCCTGGTTCATTTCAGAGAGGGACGACAGGACGTGGCCCAGAGACGAGATGTCCAGGTACTCATTGAGGTACTGCGGCATGTCGTCCTTGAACTTACGCCACATCTCTTCCAGACTGTCCGCATGGAGAAGTGATCCCTCTTCACAATTTGTTACACTGTCATCTTCGTCCTCTGAGGAAAACTCCATCATATCACCAGGGGCTCTCATGTCCTCTTCGTCCATACAAGGAACGGACACATTTTGATCTTCGTCCTCAGACTCTGCATTTTCCACTTGGTCGGGCTTTGAGGTCCGACTTGCTGCGTTAGCGTGAGCGACTCTGACATCAGTTAGAGTGCACTGAGGCTTTATGGGGAAAAGCAAAAGCCATAACTGCGGAGGAACTGGCACCTCCCAGTGACACACTTTGTGAATCCAGTGGCTCAGGTACACCATCTGCTCCGACGTGTAGTGGTTCAGCAAGTTGAAGCTGGAGCGCATCTCGCTGATGAAGGTGCTCCATTCCCTTTGGCAGGCGTCCATGGAGTGAGCGAGCGCCTGCAGCCGCTCCGTCAACTCGCCGACGTAGGCCACCTCTCTACCCTGCAGGGACGGGAAGGTTGCTTTGATGCACGGCTGCTGCTGCGGGCAGCAGCGGACCTCAGCGCGCCAATCCCTGAAGAGCATGTTGCCGGACGTTTGCATCTGCAGAAGGATGGCGCCTAGTCGCTGGACTCCTTCAAAGACCTGGAGAGCACGTGGACAGGGATTCATTCAGATGGTCTGAGAAGATGAACGAGTCTTTTAGAATGAGCCGAAAGCCTGATAGCAACAGCCTTGATTAAATCAGTGTGGAAGGCACTGAGGGTAAACGCGGACATCAAGCTCATTATTGTTTTTGATTCAATTGTGGTAAAAATCAAGATATTATCCATGTTTCAAACAGAGATATTTGAGGTTCTTACAAATCTCAGACAACCCAACTCGTCTGTTAACGTGTGATAATGTCAGTGAAGAACTAACATGACGAGACATTCAGCCTGCGCGTGTTTGTCATTTATCATAAATGTCGCTGACCTCTGTGAACCTGTTGACCTGCTCTCTGCCGTGCTCCCCTCTGGACGACATCAGCATGAGTTTGTTCTGCAGCTCCAGCAGCTCCTCCAGCTGGTAGCGCTTCTCCTCCGAGCCCCTCGTCACTGTGACCGCCACCATGTTCTGGAGACACCTCTGCAAGCAGGTGGCAACCATCGGTATCATTTTTGCATCCTTTTAAAAAGTGCCTTTTCCGTTGACGGCGTACCTTCTCCGTGTTGTGAGCAGACCATCCCACGTGATAAACCCCGTGAGCATTGATGGAGGAGGCCAGGGAGAGGGAGGACTGCTCCACCGAGCCGTGGGTCTCCTTCAGCGCCTTCAGCCAGCTCAGCAGGCGAGTGGACTCTCTCTGTAACACAAGGTCAGCGTCATCGCTCCGCCACGCAACCGGGCCTCATTCTACCGCAGCACGCCGGGGTCGGTACCAATTTGTCTGGCAGCTTCTCGTCTCTGGTTTGGGCGTCCCACACCTGGCGAGCACACCTCATGAAGTCCTCAAAGCCGGCGTGCGGGCGGAGGCCGTAGAGAAGGGGGGCGTAGCCCATCACCGCGTCGTGGAAGCAGGCCACCTGGTCGATCTCCGCGTCGTTCTCTCCGGCAGATATGGAAGCTAACTCCACGTACACCTTCACGTCGCTCATATCTGTCCAAGGGGGCAGAGCACTGGGAATGCAAAACTACACACTATATATACAGATGTATTACTGCACGAATGTTGAGATTTCTTCTCACCTTTAAGGTTCTCTTTGACCCAGCTGACCAGGGTTTGGCTCTCCAGGTACTCCTCCAGGCAGGCGGTGTGCTGCTCGGTGACGGCGGAGAGTTGGTGTTTGGCCCGATGCAAGTCGGCGCTGAGCGACCCCAGGGCCCTCTCCTGAAAGCTGTCCTCTTCCTGTTGGACGGTCCAACATTCAACATTTGCTTTGATGTGTCCTAGAAACGGCATGAAGAGAAGCATGCTTTGTAATCGGGAGCGATCAGCAGACTCACCAGCTCGCCGAGGGCGTCGATCTCTCTGAAGTCCCCTGACAGCGCCGTTCTCTCGGCTATTCTCCGTATCGCGCTGGCGGCGGCGGCCGCCTGGCGCAGCTGTCGGTACTCCTGGATCTGACGCAGTCTCAGCTCCACCCAGCCGTCCTCGGGTTTGACCCGCCCCGACCCGTCAAGCGTCTCGGACATCAGACGCAGCTCCCTCTTCAGGAGCTCCCCGTCCCCCTGGTCGCCGGACTCAGCCAAGACCCGATCCAGCTGCCTGAAGGTGACGCTGGCGTTGGCGAAGGCGACGGCGAGCTGGCAGAACTCCGTCAGCAGCGGCTTCCAGATGAGCTCACAGATCTGAGACAAGGTGACTGTGAGAGGGGAGGAGCCGGTCGGCGCCAAAGACGCCGCCCCCCCGACCCAGCGGGACAGAACCAGGTTGCTGTGATGCAGCTTGTGCATCTCACTGGACATTCTCAGGACATTCATACTGGTTTTGTACCAGAGGACCTGGGAGGGGCCCGTCTTCCCCAACCTCCCCTCAGCATCGAAGGACTGAACCAGCAGCAGTTTGTTCAGACTGACCAGCTGGAGGTCTTCAGTGTCCTGCGTCTCCAGAGGAGACATCTCAGGAACTGGTGGAAGAAAAAGAGAAAATGGATCAAACTGAACTAAGAAAGACTTTATGAAGATAATACAACAATAAATCAAGTCGACAAGTCATTGTCTTTCAGTCAAATCATACTGTGATACAATTTTAGATTGACATCTTTTGATACACAATTACATTCTATATTGTGATTTGATCTCACACTGGCCCTTCATCAGTGACTTGATTCCTCGAGTAACGCTCACCTGTGATGCTCTCTGCTACCTTTGCCATCATCTTTATCAGTGTCGTCATCTGCTGTTTGCGCTGCAGGAAAGAGGCCAAATCCTTCTCTCTCTGAGCCAGCACCACGTCCGCATCGACGGGAACCGTCTCCCGTTGGGAGTTCTTCTTATCTGCGGGAGCCGACATGACGCAGCAGATGAAGTTAAAGTTTTTCATTGTTCAATCTAGTGACCGAGGGAGGCCTCTTCTGTGCTCTTACACTGCTGGTGAAGGATCTTGAATGCCTTCTTGTTCTTCAGGCAGGTCTCCAGGTGTCCCAGGGCCACGTCTCCCTGCAGCAGAGACTCCACCAGGCGCTCCAGCGCAGACACACAGCCGTGGACGACCTGCGCAGCGGCGTCACACAGCGGCATCCCCGTCCAGTCGCCTGGGGAACAACGACACAGAGAGCATCACAAGCTGCTTCCCTCCAGGAGGTGAGACGTGGCAGCGTAGAGACGGATGGAGTGACGGACCGTGAGACAGCAGGTGGTTGATGGCGGACTGATGGAGCAGCTGGACCACCGAGTCTCTGAATCGAGATGCGGATTCAACCACAATGGCAGAGACCACAACACGAGGGGGGTCCTTCCTCTTGGAGGCGATGCTCCTCATCAGGTCACCCTCCTGGCCTCTCTGAGCACATCGACGGAGCGTTCATGTAGCTGTATCGTTATTGATTGTTTCATACATAACAACATCTGGATGGGGAATCTCATTAAGATAAAAACCTCCTTTTTCGTGGACTCGTGGAAGGAAAAGCTGGTTCTTTTACTACTTTGGCTGCTCGCGTCACAGATTCCTCCTGAGAGGAGGTTTTATTACCATTAGACATTTCTAATATGCACCTGGCAGATTCTCTTGATAGCAGACTGACACAGCTCGTCGAAACACGTCTGCACAACATCGCCGCTTTGAGAGATGGCTGCCGAGGACGCCGGGAGGCAGCAGACCAGCACTTGATCCTCGTCTCCTGCCTGCAAAGACAGCGGGTCAGACGTGCCGGAGGGCGACACCGTTTACCTGCCTGAACTAAACCAATAGCGCGTTCCACCGATCAATAGCCACCGCTGACCTGGGAGATCCTCCTCTTCAAGCCTCTCGTCAGACTCGACCTCCAGCGGGAGGAAACGTCTCCCAGAGAGCAGTCGACCTTCAGCAGCGCGTCCCACATCTGATTCAACAGAGAAATGATCACACCTGGTTCAACGGCATGACGTAAGTTATAGAAATACTTCATCAGTGTTACTTTTGTTTATTAAGTTGAGCTGTATGCATCTATTGGTTATCAAAGGTTCCAAACGGCCTTAATCCAACGTGGCCAAAACTCAAGGCTTCACAGAACAATGGGTGACGTCACCAGGACCACGGCCACAGTCGGAGGTTTGGGAACGTAAAACCAGAGCTGGAAGGGTTCGATAAGGAGAAGGTCCGGTACCAGCTGGTACACCAGAAGCAACAGAAACCGCTGGACTTCGTACCTCTATTTCCTTTGGATAGCTGAGTGATTTTGAGGACGCCACAAGAGGTTTCTGCAGCACTTCATCCCTCCATTCTGTGACCCGTTGGTGCACCGGTTCCAGCTGGTCCAAGAGCTTCTGCCTGAAGGTCCTGAAGTCGTCGTCTGAGGACTACACGGCACGAGGAGGAACACAGTGAGTCAAAGTCCCGCCCTGAGGCGCAGCATGAGGAGCAGAACATCACCTCCTTCCTCAGCTTGGCTTCCAACATCTCGGCCAGTTTCACCACCAGCTGGTAGGAGAGGACCGCGGCCTGGTAGCACTGGACCAGCGGCACAACGTCGCACGTGCACTTCAACACGGCGATGCTGCTCGCGAGGGTCGGCGCCACGTTTCCTCCTTCCATCATTCTGCAGGCACACAGCAAACAGTCACATCCCTCGGATGTCTGACATATTTTGGTAATAAATGTTCCTGACGCCTGAAGGTGTCCCCGTCCTCACCTGTCCTTCTCTTTGTCCAGCTTCAGCAGGACGTGGCTCAGGCTTCTCTGAGTGTTCTTAAGAAATACCACAAGGATCATTTTGAAGATTAAGCAAAGCACACGTCGAATATCATCATGTCTGCATTTTTCTTTCCCACCTTTGCATTGTCCTCCACTCTGTTGGAGTTGCCGCATCCTCGCAGTCTGAACAACAGACTCTGGATCAGCTGTTCGGCGGGTATTCCCGTCAGCTCTGAGAGCTCGGGGAGGTCCTCAAATGGGACTAGAGAAGACCAGCTCATCAGAAGCAGAGGCGTCTCCTCGGCCGACGGTAAGCGCGTCTGGATCAAACTCAGCACTCTCCTGTGGAGCAGTAAAGCGTCGTTGAAACACTCCAACTAATGTCCCCATTAGGACCACTCGTCCTCTTTGGGCCGAACTGAGGGGTTCAGTCACTCGATGTGATGAAGTTGCTTTCACAGTAACTCACTTTCTCTTGTCCGGGCTGGACTTTATATTCTCCCTGAACTTGCAGAATTGGACCCCTTCAAGTCCCGACCAGTCCTCCTCCCTCGGGGCGGGACCCAGTCTCGCTGAGTCGGCTCCCGGCTGTCTGAGCCTGAAGAGCAGAGGGACGAGCAGGACGAGCTCCGGGACCTGCTGCTCCACGCACCGGTTCATCAGACCTAACACGGCGCTGGGGGGGAAACGGGGGTGTGAGACGTGATCCGCGGTCACGACCTCCTTTAGGGTTCATTCCACTCACTGTTGTGGTGTTTGGAAAGCGCCGGATATCCGGTCCAGGTTGGTGTCCATGGCGTCCTCTGAAGACACCAGGAGAACCAGCTCAGTCCAGATCCTCGGCCCGAGGTTGATGACAAACCTGGCGGTGACCAAGAAGACGGACAGGCCCTGAGCCAGAGGGCCGCTGCTCCTCCAGCCTTCAGGGAGCTTCTCCTTCGGCTCGCCTTTCAACATCTGAACCAAAGTCTCTGCAATCAGGTCTAAGGTCTGTGAATTCAAACAGAAACACGTGGTTGGTGTGTGTGTGTGGGGGGGGGGGGGTATTGGATCTAATGGTTGCTTCATGTCCTACCAGGACCACAGGGGGATGCGAGCTGTCTGGGAACGTCATCCTCGTGTGTGCAGAGCCGAGACTCCGTGTAAAGTGCACCAGGCTGTCGCACAAGCTGAGGGTGCTCTGTTTGTCTGACGGGGTCCACGCCTGGAAGATCCGGTCCAGCAGAGTCCTCGCCGAGGCCTGCCAGGCGTCCGACACCTCCGCCGCTTTGGATTTCTGGAACAACATGTTCAGGCCACTTCTCCAAAAACCGGCATCGTCCCGAGCGATGAAGCCTTCGTAGAGGTGCACCTCTAGAGGAAGAAACGGGAAGATTCCAGTTAGAAGCTCAAGCCCGAAAGCCCCCAGAGGACGTGCTGAATGTCCGTGCTCGTCTTACCGTTCACGCCGCGGTCCGATGGAATCTGAAAGTTTCTCATGATGATTTCTGTAATCTCTTTTTGCGGCTGCTTTACTCCGTACCAATACCTCCACCAATCGCCTCTATTCAAGTCCTTTTCTTCAACGGAAAGACTTGCTTCTACCAGACATCCGTGCTTTAGTTTCCTGAAGCAAAGTGGAGGGACTCAATTGGATTGGACCTTGGATTTAAGACAAAGCTCTTTGCCGGCGTAAGAAGCGTAATCTGACACATCGATGAACGTACAACCAAGAGAAGCAGCGAGACTTCAGGCCTTTAAACCGAGTCACACAAAAGACACGCGAGGAGGGAAGCTGCTCGGCTTATCGACACCACATCTGACCTTACAAGACAGGAACTATTTTGTTTCCATTGGTGACTTCGTATCAGTCATCAGGAACAACCGACGTAACGTGTGGAGTCCCCCAAGGTTCGATCTTAGGGCCGACTTTATTCAACATCTACATGCTCCCACTAGGACAAATCATGCAAAAAAATAAAATTGGCCACCATTGCTACGCTGATGATACCCAAATCTATGTAGCGCTATCACCAAACGACTATCACCCCATAGATCTCCTGTGCCAGTGCATTGAGCAAATCAAAGACTGGATGTGTAAAAATTTCTAATTTCTAACTAAATGAAGACAAAACTGAGATCATTGTATTTGGTGCTAAAAAAGAAAGGTTTAAAGTAACCCAACACCTTCACTCTCTGTCCCTGAAAACATCAAATAAAGCCATAAATCTGGGGGTTATTATGGATTCAGATTTACACTTGGAGAGTCACATCAAATCAGTAACACAATCGGCCTACTACCACCTCAAAAATGTAGCACGACTTAGAGGGCTCATGTCAGCTCAAGACTTAGAAACACTTGTACATGCCTTTATAACTAGTAGGCTGGACTATTGTAATGGTCTCCTTGCAGGTCTGTCAGGCAGCTCCAGCTTGTTCAGAACGCTGCTGCTTGAGTTCTAACAAAGACCAAAAAATGTGAGCACATTACACCAATTCTTAAATCCTTACACTGGCTCCCAGTATGTCAGAGAATTAATTTCAAAATCCTACTGCTCACATATAAATCACTACATGGTTTAGAGCCAAAGTACATCACTGAGATGCTTCCACTACATAAGCCTTCAAGATCACTAAGATCTTCTGACACCAATCTGTTAGTGATTCCCAGAGTAAATACAACTCATGGGAAAGCATCATTTAGTTACTACGCAACAAACAGCTGGAATAAACTTCCTGAAGATTTAAGACTTAAACTCTGACCACGTTTAAAACAAGACTGACAACTTTTATGTTCAGCTTCGCCTTCTGCTAAATGTTACCTACATTGCACTTTTAACCTCTGCTTTTAATTAAACAATTTAAATAAGATTTTAATTTATAATTTTATTTGCTGTTTTTATTGTCTTTTAATTCCTGCATTTTATTTCACTTTATTGTATGAAATGTTATGATGTGAAGCACTTTGAGTCTGCCTCGTGTATGAAAAGCGCTATACAAATAAACTTGCCTTGCCTTAACTGTACTGAGCAGGACGTGGAGACGCCGTCTGCGTCTCTGGCACACCTGTCAATCAGCGTGTAGCCCCGCCCTAAAGCATCCTTTACTTTTGTATTGTATTTTGTATTTACTGCTGTAATGAAGAAACCTGAACCCAGTCAAACACTCACACGGACTGCGTCGTCCTCAGAGGTGAAAACCCTCCTTCGTAACACAGCAGGAAGCCGTCGCGCTCCTGCTTGAAGTTGAACTTCTTGTCCAGCACGGCGTGGATGTGGAAGGTGAAGGTCGGAGCAGAAGGCGGAGCTTTCGCCGGGCTCCGCTCGCTGGTGGGAGAGAGAATAGTGTTACGTGCATCTGAGGTCACATGGTCAAACCGAACGCTTTCACCCTAAATGTGTTCCCTTCAGGAAGGTGCTGCAGCTGACAGGTGGAGGTGGGCGGAGAAGGAACCATCGTGAGTCATGTTTCCTCTCTGAGAGCGGACGGCTCTGCATTCATAAAGAGGCACTGCGGCGTGCGGCGTACCGAGTGCGTGGAAGCGGTCCCGTGTCTTTGTCTGGCGCCCTGGAGGCCTCGCGCCCTCCCTCTCCAGACACCGCTTTGGCGTAGGACCTCGCTTCGGGGCTCTCCTCCTCAGGCCCGGCCTCCCGGTCGGGGGTCCGAGACGCCGCCGGCTCGTTCTGCTGTAGCGGCGTCGGAGCGGCGTCCCCCCCTCTGTCCGCAGTTGTCTCCTCGCTCCTCTTTGTCTTCTCGAGGCCTGTCTCTGCCCCGGAGGACTCGGTCTGCGTCCCCTGGCTCCTCAGGGAGACGGGTGCAGTTTGCGTGTGCTTGTTTGCCCCTTTGTGTCTCCGTGTTTGGGTCTGAGCCGGCACCATGTTGGCGTCCGGGGGGCGCCGTTCTCTCACATCCTGCACGCCGTCTTCACCCACATGCTGAGCTTCTACGGGGCCGCGCTCCTCCGTTTGGCTTCCTGTGGCCTCCACCGCCTCCACCGCCTCCACCGCCTCCACCCCTCCTTCGCTCCTCCGCTCTGCATCCTCCTTAGCGCTGGATGCGCTCGTTGTCCTTCTCTGACCTCCCTTCTTCTTCTTCTTCTTCTCCTTGTCTTTGCTCCTCCTGCTGGAGCCGCCTGCTGCTCGTTCCTGGAACCCACGAGAAACCTACTTAAGGACCAAGCAGCTGGTTTTTAATTTACGTCACGCTCTGAAATCTGTACTCGTGCATTTCTACCTTATTTCTTTTCCGACGTTTTTTGGTCACCACGTCCTCCATCGCGTTGGATCCAGCGGTGCTGCGGGTGTTTCCTCCACCCTCCTCCATCTGTGGAGGACTCCTTTCCAGAGGGGGGTCACTGGTCCCCTGTTATCTGTCTCTGGAGATGAAAAAGGTACTTAGGTCCTCCATGTGCATGCAGTCAGTAAGGGACAGGCAGAGACATGTTTGTACAAAGTACAACGAGTTGAAGATGACGACGCTATTATAAAACAATCGAGTCACATGGGTAATCCTGAAACACCTAAAACTACCATTCTATATATATATATATATATATATATATATATATATATATATATATATATATATATATATATTCTGTCTATATATACGATCTGTTATTTTCAAATTTATAAAACACACTTTAATGTTTTAGCTGAGCTGGTTTCAGTTGTTATCCTTCTAACATAAATGATGACATCACAGTTGTGTTTAAAAGGTCTCAGCTGTAATGAGCTGCACTAAATGACACATAAGTTGTGTGGAGTTGATTTACTTACCTTCTCAGTTTCAGAACGTCTCGAGGACTCTTGTCAGAAACATTGAGGAAACGTTTGTTAAGTCTGCCCTGATGTCCCGTATGTAACTGCCAGGGAGCGTCCATAAATTCATCTGCTCCCCTGAAGACGCCACTTTAGTTTCGACCCAAACGGTTTCTGGACAAACTGTGGATTCGGAAAAAGTGACTTGACATTTAAATGATGTTTGACTGAGTTCCGGTTCAAACGTCGCCGCTTAATTCACGCGTTTCGGTGTTGGTTGAGTGTCCTCTTTCTCGACGGTGCCTGAAGCAGAAACAGTCCTTTCAGTTTCATTTCTGTCAAACTCTCATCAGACTAGAAACTGATGCTGCGTTCAGGGGCCCGTTGGGAGTTTTCAGTTTCTATGCCGGAGGACACGAAACCTGTGATCTGTCCGGGTTTGAATGAAGTTATTTCATATTTAAATCTAGAATTTAGGAGTTCAGTGTTTTGTATAGAAATCTATAAATATACCGCTATAGTTGTAGAGAGATTTATACCTAAACCTCTAAAAATAACTCTAACCTTGTGTTATGAAGCCAGCGCGGAATTTGATCATCTATTATTCACGTATTTAATACAATTTATATGAATACTTGTATCCCTCCAGTGGAAATAATCTGCAATTATTTTTTTCAGTTTGGTTGTCATATTTTATTATTAAGAATGTCCAACTACTAAACCTGATTCTGAGTCTAGATTATATAAAAAAAGGCAAACGGAATGTATCATTTACCATTAATGAAGTGATATGAAAATAGTGTAGTAATTTATATATATATATAGAATAAATAAATCCTGATACTGAAAGCATTATGTGAAAGATGCCAAAAGTACAATTATTGACATGAAAACCAGTTTGGAACAAGTTTTTTCAAAGAAAATTAATTTAATTTCATATATCAACAGGTCAAATAGTAAAACAATATTTATGTGTACAGTCTATTGACTAAACAGAGAGAACAATGATACTGATGTGGTAGAATATACTTTTTTATTAAAAGAAAAACATGTATAACTTCAATTATATGTATAACTTTTCAAAAAGGAGGTTATGAGACGCAGTCCAGTGAGAAAAGTCAGATGTTTCCACCCTGAAAGATACAAATCAATTCATCAACGGTTATATTTGATTACTTTTGTGTCACATCTGTTTTCATTGTTTGGGTTCCTGATAAAAGACGAGAAGCAACTTCAAACATCCTTTTTCTGCTTTACCCTTCATGAAGTCAGATGTAGCAGGTGGGGAACCTCAGCGGGTCTATGAACTCATTTGGAGACATTATGGACAGAAATGTCTCCTTCATAAACACATGAAACAGGAAGTGATCCCGTTGAACTCGGAGCTTCATCAGCTTCACTTCTCTGGACCTGCAGGTTTCTTTACCCTCCGAACTACGACCCTGGTTCTCCGTCCTGGAGGCTCCGCCTCGCCCGGTCGCCCCCGGAGGGGTGGAGGGTTCCTTCCGTATCGCACGCCGTCCACGAAGCGCTCCACCCGGTCGAACCTGGCCGTGAACTGAGAGAGGCCCTCTTTGAGGCCGTTGAAGTCCTTGTAGAGGTCTCGCAGGGCGTCGGACAGAGGCTGGATCCTGGGGGGGAAAAGACGTTTTAGGTAAAAAAAAAACTATACTATTTTATGTCAAATAAGGTTTATAAAAAAAGGTTAAAAAAAAAATGTTAAGTCGAAAAACGTTTTGGAGGAAAAGTCAGAAAATGCTTTGAAAAACAGGTTTAAAATGTTGTCAAAAAATATCACAAGAAAAAAAGGATTTTTATTATAATATTATAAACATTTGAATGAAGAGTAAAAAAATGTTCTGACTAAAGAGTCAAGTCAAAATGTTATTTTGAAAAACTAAACTAAAAATAATTGACCTTATAATTGAAAAACGATAAGGTCGAAAAGTATTTTTGAAAAAACAAACAAACTGGGAGGTCCAAAAAGTTACAAAATATTAATTTAAAAAAGGTTTTTAACGTCCATTACTCACAACAACACAGGAAAATATTGAAATTACTTTGAATGGACACATATGGATTAACAGCTATAAAAGGAAAAAGAGACTTAAAACCACAAATACACATTAAAAGACTACAAGAAACCAACAAAAACCAACAAAAAAACACTACAAAATGCGCAGTATGAATGTACTGCTGTTTTAGTTGTGTGTTTGTCACAAATGGGCTAATACTGAATTGTGTTATTCATCCTTTGTTGCATGAGGATTCCTTCACGCATCTTTAGCAACTGCAAAGACACACAAACATTAACACAGCGACAAAAGAGGCGCGACTTCAACGCGACGCAGAAGTCGAGACGCACTCGTTGTGTGTCTTCGGACAGAAGCGTCCGCTAAAAGACGCGTGACGCAACAACAGAGGCACACAACGCGCTCCGCGGCGCGTCCTCACCGCGCGTAGTCGGGCAGCACCGCGCTGTGGTCGCGCAGCAGCAGATCTCGGACCTGCGTCACGATGGCGTATTTCCAGTTGTCCAGAACCAGCGTGAGGTTGGAGCATCGTCCGCTGTTCGCTGCTGCTGCTGCAGAGGAGGAGAAACACGTGGTTAAAGGAAAGAGGAGCGAAGGGGATGAAACATGAGAAACATTTACAGGAAAGAAGGAGTATAAAGTATAAAAACTAAATCTATACCTTCAGAAAGTAAAAATAAACTTATTTCCTCATTAGATAATAACCGTAAACCTTTTGGTACTAAAGTGTAAATACCATAAATAGGATCGATTACAATTCTAAAATACTTTTAAAAACGTTAAATATGTACCGGTATGTTAAACGCTTCAGCACAAATCACGAGGAAAACCTGAAACGTCACCAAGAAGAAGCTGCTGTGAGAGTCGTACCTCCATGGACGGACTCCACGGCCAGCGAGCAGAGGAGCACGAGGCCTGCGGCCTTCATCCTGACAGCCACCACAAGCACCACCGCCTGCAGCTCGAGGGCTCCAGCCAGGGGGAGGAGGGGGGAGGAGGGGGGAGGAGGACCCCCCCACCCATCGAATATATATCTCCACCCCAAACCCGCAGAGCCTCCACGTCTGCTTGTTTCAGATTAGATAACTGAATTATTATTATTATTATTATTATTATTATATTAGCTTTAGGAAACAATGTGCCGCCGCTTTATTAACAACTTGTAACGGGAAATATGAATAAAGCGCTGCGATATGAACCCGGGAGGATTAAGGGTCACACATTCCTGTCCTCCATCTGGTCTCCATCTGCGGTCCTGAGGAGGGTCGGTACCGATCCATCATGGCGGGTATCCAGAGAGAACTACACTCTGCAGCTGTGTGGGACGCCGGACGGCGTCACAGAGGCCAAACAGAAAATAACCATCCCAGTTTACAAGCAAAGACTTTTGTTTGTATTTCAAAATCCAATTAAATTTTTCCTGGAAAAACAAAATATGAAATGTGTGACGTTGAAGTTTGGAGACTTGATTTTTTCTCACGAGCCAATCAGAGGAGGGGTTCTTAAAGCGACAGGCAGTGAAAAGCCAATAAGCAGCCAGGCAGAATCATGCGTTTGTACGTTTAAAGCAGATAAACGCGTTCTAGTAGAAACCGGAAACCAAAGGTGGATCTAAAAGGAGCCTTTTCTTCATTAGAACGCCAGAAAATAAAAGTGAGAGAATGAAGGTTTCAGTGTTTTGGTTCTCTCAAAATAAAATATTTTAAAGTATTTCAGTTCTTTTGTATATTATTGCCCTGAATATAGAACAAATGAGCTCTAAGTACTTTCTATTGAAATCAAAGATATTATCTGGAATATGAACTTTGTTTTTTTATTATTATTTTTGTCTCAAATCCAAGTGAACAGCACACAAGTGGGAGGCTCCTCGTGAGCTCCGAGTCGCTCGCTCTGCAAACCGCCGCCCTTTACCTAAGGAAAAGGCTCCAGAACTCCTGAAACTAAATGAACTACAGATAAAATAATACTCTCACTGTCAATGAACCAACATCGAGCGCCGAGCGAGAAGCGTCAATCGATCCACAGCGCCGGCCGGCCCTCTGAACCCAGGAGGCCCGTGACCTTTGAACCTCCTCACAGACGCACCGAACTCGTAATGAGTCTCACCGAAGAGAAAACGCGTCGAAGGGTTTAGAACGGAAACACCTCGTCACGCACCACCCATCCATCTGTGCCACACACAACTGGAGGAAAGGGAGGAAATGCTTAGTTTTATTTTAAGATTTGGGGAGTGAAATGAGTCTGTAAGTGAGGCTTTTTCTTTTCGTGCGTTAACTTTTTCAGGCTCCGCCTCTTTCACTCCTCTTACGCAAAGCTCCTGCTGGAAGAAGCTCAAGTTGAATAAAAAGTGATCCACAAACGGACGTCAGGACAAACGGTGAAATGTCGGCCATCTTTTTCTCCTCCGGGCGACGAGACGAAGAGCGGAAAGCACTGAGCCACTGACGACGATGATGATGATGTCATTTTATCAGACACAACATTCTGAAAATAAGCCAGCATGAGCATTTTGTGCAGAAGCTACAACTGCAACCAACCAGCAGCACTGGTTACGTCTGCAGCAGGTGGAGGATGAGTTGGGGGGGTGGAGGTGTTTGTGCACGCCTTTCCCACTCTGGGACTTTTATAGTAACTTAATACTGAAACAGAAGCTCTCTAGCCGGGGGGGAGTCTGAGGGATGATTGTACTTTAAGGGGCCAGGACCAAAAAGCAAAGAGCTGACCGAGTGGATCCACGCTGGAGATTCAAAATGTAAAACTACGCTAGAATCTGATAAAAAACAAACAAAAGCTTAATTAAATAACATCATCATTCCTCAATTGTATTTATACACAGCAAGATTCACCCAAAACGCAGTGAGAATGATGCACGAGGACATCCAAACACTCCAGTCTGTGCTGCCTGTCGTCACAGCAGGATTCATTTGACCGGGCTGATTAATCAGTTGGGGGGCCGGGGGGGGGGGGGACGGGGGGGGGGGCTTAAGCGCAACGAGCTACGGCCCCGTGAGGGATACAAAAGAAACAGTCTGTTTTTTATCTGATTTACTGGATGCATTTGATGTAAACGAGTGCATCCTCTTTCACGTCTGTGAGGTGGGGGGGGCCAAGAAAAACAACAAAACGTTAGGGGGGGGGGTTCGAAGGGCGTCCAAATCTCGCATCTGGTCCTGGCGCAGCGATGTCACTGGCGAGTCAGGAGGAGGGGGGGTCTTTAGCTGCGGGGCAGGCTGCACATCTCACAGAGCTCCGTGCCGGGCTGGTTCATGAAGGTGCAGTGGAGGCAGGACCACATGGCCGAGGAGGAGGCCGGGACCGAGGGGCCGCCCGTGGCCCCGTAACCCTGAGAGCTGGAGGGCTGCCCGCCCACGGTGCCTGAAGGGGGAGGGGCAGGAGGGCGGCGTTAAGGGAATCAAACCAGCGATTGACTTTAAATGAACAGTCACAGTCACACGACTCACCAGGAACATTTTAGTTTGGAGTAAAACTTTTAGACATTCTTCATTATTAGACAACAGACGCATAAACGTTGTGTAAATCATGATTAGGACCCTCAAACCCTTTTTACACTTTCACATCTCCTTATCTCAGTATACCAAGAAAAGTGTGAATGTGAGATGGTTGCAAGCAAATTGTTTCAGCACTGGTTCACAAAGTGAGCAGCTGCCACTTACTGCACAGCTGCTCGATGGTGGCCCACTGCTCGGACTTCTTCCAGGTCTGAGCCAGATCTTCATTAGAAGACCTCACAGCATCCAGGAGCAGCCCAATGCTGTCCTGCAGACACAAACACACACTCTGATCCATCCATCACGCACCACTAGCTCGCCGTTTTGTAAATCTGGATCCTATAGAGAACATCCACATCCAGCTGTAAACGCTTGCAGGTGGGAGAAGGACGTGGCGTCATTGTAGAAGCATTCTGCACAACACAACAGGAGACGAGGAGGAGGAGGGGACCTACCCTCAGGGGCATGACCTCATTGGTAACGAGGAAGAGGAGCAGATGGAAGTCCGACACGATGTCCAGGAATGCCGTGGAGGTGCATTGGGAAAGGTACGTCGCTAAAGTGTGGAAGTCCTGCAGGCAACCAAACGACAAAGGAGACGGACGTGTAACTTCCTCTGAGCTCAACCGGATGTTCAGTTTGATGAAATCAAGTCGGTGTTTAAAATAAGTTGAAGCGATCTAGCATTCGGTTGTCTGATTTCAAATGGGTCATTGAACGCCTCTCGGTGAAGCGCAACTAAATTAGTCAACAAACAAACGTATGGATTCATTTTTTTTTTACGCCACCTGTATCAGGTGATTATTTCGATGTCTTCACCATGACGGGTCAATCAGAGGTGAAAAGGACCGAAGACTCACCTGCGTCTCTCCCAGGATGTCTCGGTTCTCAATGGGGAAGCGTTGTGTGGAGCAGAAGGTGTACTGGGGGTCCTTTGGAAACGTGGTAGTTATCTACAGGGGAAAGAAAACACACACAGTGCGTTCAGTACACACACACACACACACACACACACACACACACACAGCTGACCATAGAAAACAACAAGTCCGACTCACGTCTATGATGAGGTACTCCACAGGAAGTGGCCGAGCTAGAAATGTGACATCATTTCCAAACTTGTCTTTGTCCTTTTGAATGAAAGGAGAAAAAAATAGTGTCGAATCTTAACAGCTGGAAACCCAACATCTGGATGGGTCGACTCAATGCCACACGAAGCGCACTCCATTACACGAAGGTATGCGTATACATATCTGCTGGCCCAGGGCTCACCTTGAAGAAGACGTCTGGGACGTACTGCTCCGAGCAGGACTCTTTAGCGAAGCCCAGCTCCGGAGCGTCTCTGCAGGGCAGAAGGCACTCGTCCCTCACCAGAGCCATGCACTGGTTGGACACCTGGTACCCCTCAAAGTGCACCTGGTTGTCTGGACCACCTGCAGACAGGAAGTGGATTCAGGCTTTAGTTTGAAGAATTATCGGGGCCGCTTGAATCGATGACGCTGATATTTATAGAACAAAACAAGTACACTATTTTAAAATGTATTCATATTTAAATCACTATTGGAGTAGTGCAGAAATTACAACTGGAAAATGGTTATTTCTCTGAATCACCATTTCCTGTGCAGCTTCCTTGTTGTGCTCAAAGCATTTACTCCACCACTGCGTCACACGCGCATCACGTATGATCATCAGCATCACGCTGTTTGACTGAGCTCACCGATACGACTCCTTTCGTTACACCAGGTGAACGTGACCTCCGGCCTCGATCCCTCACCTGGCTTGTGTTACTCTGCTTCAGTGGCATCAACATTACTACGAACTCAACGCAGATACTCGAGAGGAATCTATTGAACACTGAGGGCACCGAGGTTTCTCAGAACTACTTGTTGTGCGATTACATGTGACTGACTGACAGATGATCACTGGATCTAAACTCTGTTTCCAAGTCTTCTTCCGTTCCAAACTGTGTTTTAATGTTTTTATTTTACGGCGTAGATCGCTTGAGTCAATTGAGTTTTCACAAGTATTGTTTCATACCACATAATGAAGTTTAGACAATAACTACAGTATAAATAGGAATATTTAGCCCTTTACTTTAACTTCATAGTGAACAAAAAGGTACCTGTCGCCACCACGGTCACAAACTTTGAGCCAAAGTGTCCGTCTCTAGAGAGTCTGCACGGGTTTGAGTGCAGGTTCTGGAAGTACCCGGCTGTGATGCACTCCTCTGCACTCAGGTAGTGGGAGTCCTAACAGCAGAAGGGACAGTGTTTAGGGGGGCGGGGGGGGACAGGTGGTCTTAAGGGCGAGCGAGCTGCATCCTCACGTGGTTCCTCGTGAAGCGGACGGTTCCTATCCTCGTATCCTCAGAGAGGAGGTCGGTGAAGATCCAGCCCACCTGGATGCAGCCCAGAGATTAAAACAGCGGGTTCATGTACCAGAAATCGCATCGATTTAAATCATGTATTAAAAAGGAGAAACGCCAAATGTTCCTTTTTTTTACGTTGATAAAGCGAATAATAAAAAACAAAACACAAATTTGTTTCTGGCTGTTGGTCTGATGAAACAAGAACCAAAACAACAAAGACATTAAAGACCAGACTCCATCCCGCGTGTCCCGTTTCCTAACGGAGGTAAGAACACGTTATGCAGACACATTCAAGAGTAACAGAAAGGCTCAGGTTCAGATCACTGCGACAGACCGGCTCAAACCCGCCCGGAGTCTTAAAAGACAAAGTCTGCACACAGTGCGTCAGTGAAAGATGTGAAACGACGTCTACTAAAGGTCATTGGGTCACAGAGAGAAGGCTGCCCACCTTGCAGAGGCCCAGTTTGGCAGCGATCTCGTCCACAGCTGCAGCTTTCGGATCGTCCACCAGTTCCAGGCTGTTCTGAGTTGCATTCTGAAAGTCACACGAGGCCGGCGTTACGATCGAACAAAAGAGCAAAGCTTTGTTTTTACCCTTTTATTCCAGTGGAACGGTGTTGCAAACAATGTGCAGTGTGAAGAATGAGAAGACAACATGTGTAACCAGCAACATCCACAAGGCCGAGGAGGGAATGTAGATGCGTGCAAGTTAAGTATTAAATGAATTCTAAAGAAACAAAAAAGGTAAATGTCCTGTGAACTGTGGGTTTTTAACCTGTTTCCAACCATCTGTGACGGCCTCGTCAGCGACTCGCTTACCTGCGGCGGCTCGTAGATGGCGGCCACCTCGGCCCGGATGCCCAGCGGGATGTCTTTGTGTTCGGTGTAGCGGCCGTACAGGTAGCCCATCCTCTGGCTGCCCGTCTTCCTCCAGAAGTCCAGGAAGCGGTCGGCGATGGTGTGGTTCTCAAACATGATGTTGTCCACGTGTCTGTATTTCTGGAGGGAGAGAGAGCAACTTCAGGCTCAAACAGACGAGCAGAGGTTTGTTTGTTTGAGACGTTCGATCCTCAGCTCGACGATATTCTTTGTTGTCTTCTGATTTTCTCATTATAATAATATTACCTGTCTGTTCAGCGTGATGGCGCTGGGCTGGCACTTGGTGCAGATCCCCTCGGGCCAGGGGAGGTGGCCCTCACAGCCAGACTTGATCTTACAGCTGATGTTCTCCAAAGCTGCAAACTTCCCTCTGCGGGGGACGAATCAGAGGCTCAGATAGACTTTAAAGACGAGGATTCACACGGACAAAAAGGAAAACCTCTCACTTATCAGCTCCGCCAGTCAGCTTCCGAAGGTAAGCGTGGAATGACATGTGCTTCACTGGGGGGTCGAGGTGATTCAGGTAGTCTTCGTCAAAAGGCTGATATTTAAAAAAACAAAAAGAAGAACTATCAGAATAAACCTGCGTAACAGCAGTGCTGCTTATATATATAAAATATCTTACCTCTAACGGTACACAGTGCACACATTTTCCAAGGGAACCATGGTGACATCTGCAACAAGAAAAACAGAACCATTCAGCCTCCGATGTTTGTTTGCATTTCAGCTGTTTCCCAGTTGGTCTCGTTCTTACAGCTGTGGATCTTTGTTTCTGTAGATCTTCCCGTCCTGCTTGGTCAGATACTGATCGATCTCGTCCTCCTGGACCTGTGGCGCTGAGAACGACCGTGGGATCATGGAGGACGAAGAAGAAGAGAATGAAGAAGAGGATGAAGAAGACGAGACGGACGGCTGGGATGAAGATGAGTGAGGGGTGGCGGTGTCCATGACTTCCCCAGAGGAGGAGGAGGATGCTGAAGGGAACAGATACAGCATGTCGCCATGCCTACAGGGAAGATGAGACAAGAAGTAACTTTTACTCATTGAATCAACATTTTCGGATAAAGGAGAGTTTGTATATCGGAGTTCTACTTTGTGTCCGAATGGCACAATGTGTGACGGGAGTTTTCATTCCTTGAAGCAGATCGTCATTGATATGATTTTATGAATTTTCAGCGACTCACTTGATCTTCAGCAGGCTCAGAGTTTTGTTCTGGGAAAGGATCTCGCCGGTCTTGTTGCGGTTCAGGTAAATAGAAAACCCGTTGGTATTGAACCCAAACTCTTTGGCCACCTGAGAGAGAAAAGATGCAGCGTGGTGATTAAACTGGATGGAATCATTGTGTCACATGGACTAAAACTCCTCTCGTCCTGGAGAGCCTTCACGCATTTGTTTCTTTCTTCTTTTCTTTGTGAACTTTAGAAGTGACGCAGGAAAAACACCAAAGACACCAAATGCAGAACACAGATCTAAGTGAGCCGCAATGACCCAGTGACATCTAAAGAAAATAAGACCAGCACAAACATCTAGCTCTAGTAATTATTTATCATGAGGTTAGTACTGGTAAATCTAAGCAGAGGAAAACCAGAACCAGACAAAGGTCTGTATTTCTCTGAAGACACACAAAAGAAAACAAAGTAAGATATGTTTTACTGTATGCTGGGTGAGACTGTATGAGACAGGACGTCACTTTGAGCCTCATCCTTTCTGTCTCTGCTGCAGAAATAAGAAGCTGCAGGACTCAGACTGACTCTTAAAGCCATGGTTTCTTTCTCAAAGCAGCAGGGACTGAAAACGACTCCCTCCATTGATCTGCAGGCTACACAATCCTGCCTGAACACAGATGCATCCATATTTCATGAGGTGCTGCTGCAACGCTCTGCTCTCACTGGAATGCAGCTCTATTTAGGATTTTTAAATCTACTGCTTCCAATGCTTTTGTCATTATTTTCGAGTGTGTACGTATGCATATAGGTGTATAAATACACAACTTGAGGCCCAAATGATCCATTAGATGTGTGTTTTCATTCTCTGTAGTGCTTGGGTTGTAAAGTGCAAAACAATTAAATTTACTACGCTCTACGAAATCAAATCTGGTGGAAGAACTTTCTGCAGCTTCTTGCCCGAATGAACAATGAAGGCAGGGAAACAAAAATATGCTTTGGGACAACAATGCATGTGTCGACGTTGACTCAGCCGTAGAAATATAAGATTACATTACATATAGAAAAATGCGGTGCATAAGTTACGCAAACAGAGATTAATGCTGAAGTTGACTCAAAAATTCACAGGGAGCCAGAGAACTGAAATGTGACGATGAACGGCAGGTTAAATACTTTTTAAAAGACTGAGGTGTTATTATCATTGCATACGGTACCTTCTTTAAAAGAGCCGCAGCCGTCTCCCTTTTGGTAGAAGCAATTTTCTTCATCCCATCTGGGGATTGTACCCTGACGACCTACAAAGAAAGAAAGAGATCATTTGTATTCAGAGGTCTAAGGTAACAATCCAAAGTGAGTCGTGCAAGAGCTCCATTGTTTGTCACTCAAACTAGCTTCTATGTGAACACCTGTCAATCATAACAAGGTCGCTTCTCCCCCCTTACAGAGGCAGAACATTAGGACACCGATGACAGTGCAAAAAAATATACTGTTAACTTTGAACAAACAGCTCCTGTACTGTGACATTAATATGCCAACTAGCCGGGCAACACTAACTAACGCTGTCACGGTGCGGAGGGGGGCGGCGGGGGGGGGGGGGGGTAGTCCACAAAGTACCACTTTTAATGAATCAACAACATCTTGGCTTCCATTGTGTCCACCAGGCATTCGCCGGCTAATGTTTGGCTCATAACGTGTGCATGAGAATCAATAATTCAGCCATTTATGTTCCTGGATGTGCCGGTTTATGTCGCTTTCCGCGTATCCAACAATGGCTCTTATTATTCGGATGTCGTCAGCTAGCCAAATAGCTAATGCTAACCGGGTTAGCTAAACAGGCCCAACTGGCTGTTTGCTAACGATCGGCTAGCTACCGAGCTAATTCTGCTGCCTCATCACTCCAGACTTCGCCTAACAAGCTAGCTGACGTTAGCCGAGTCGACCCCCTCACGACCGATAAGAGAACATGCCGCCTTACTTACAATAACATCTGCCATGTTTCCGGGGGGCGCGCTCCGATAGATACCGCTGCGTTAGTAGACAGAGACACTTAATAGAAATTTCACGTAGCGTTACTGTCAGTCAACGAAACTCCATCCCACAACTCAAACACCGGGTGTTGCAGACATTAGCGCCCGACCGTTTGCCACTGGTCCCACATCGAAACGACCACGGCCGGAACAAGCATTTTCTCTTGTATCGTTCCGATTATTATTTTGAATGCAGTGCGTACATGTTTTAATAACTAAAACCCGTCTTATAGAGGGACCGTATTTTAAAATGTAGAGCTTAACAATTTCAGCTGTACTCACAAGATAAATACAATTATGTCAAATGTTATCAGAGGCACAACAGCACAGTGCTGTTAGTTACTATCTCTGGGCATATCATTGACACGTACATATGAAATACACCACTACTATATTTACTGTAATGGGAGTGTCACCCATTTTAGCCCTAGGAGAGAAGGGATGTTTATTACAAGTTAAAATACAAGTGGGCATTGTAATTTCAAAGGAACCATTTTTTAGGGTGTTAAATAAATCTCCACTTTCGTTTTTCTTGTTTTAATACTTTATTTGTTTCCACATCTTGTAGAGAGTACAAAGCTCCTTTATACATCCTATGAATGGTTGAATAAAGATGCAACAGCTAGAACACAGATCTTAAAGACACATATTTAAACACACAGCGATGTGTGAATGTGTGAGAAATGATCAAAAACCACAGATTGTCACAGACATTAATATTAAACACGGGAGACGTCAGAAACATCAGAAAGGATGTGGAACATAAGCAAACTTAATGGCGGAAGCAGAACGATATTCTGGAGGGACATTTATTCCCTTCTCGTGGCTTTTTAGTGACTAACAGCATTTTGCTGAAACGCCACGCTGGAACCTGAAGATGATTCAGGTTTGGGGATTTTACACGTCCGGCGTTGAAGTGAAGCAGGAACGTCTCCCCCACACGCCACGGGTCCGTTTCTTTAGCTCAATGTGAGGCGGCCATGTTTGTTGCATGTTGTGTCCGTGAGCAGATAGTAAATAGTAGGAGAAGAGCAGTTTAAAGCAGCAGTGCAGATCTAAAGGACGTGACAGACAGATGCTAAACATGAGCAGATGTTTTGTAATGTCAAAGAAGAATCCGGTTAAGAAGGAAAGATCTTTTCGTGGAAATTCTTTTTTTCCATTTTTTTGTGTTTGTTACATTTGGTTGTGGTAGTTTGTGTGGAATAGTTCTTTTTGAAGCATCTCCGGGCAGCGAGAAGCAGCACAGGGCCTCAGATGATGCCGTACTTGGCCAGCTCGTTCAGCTCCAGGTGATTGAAGGCCTCCCAGGGGCAAATGACAGTGATGTCTGCAAAACAAAGAAAGACATAAAGAGAGGCACAGGAGGGAGGTTGAGATCACAACGCTCAACGCTAAAGTCAGCTCACCTGTGCCTAAGCCCTCCATTCCTGGGATGTCATCCCCGAATCTGAAGGAAAAACGCACACAATCACACACAGCGACACCTGTGGACCTCCAAACATGAAAAGAGCAAAGCATCATGGGAGACGAACCCCTGGATTCCCTTCTTCGGAGGCTTGCTCTTGAACTGCCGGGTCTGCCGCTGCTTGAACTTGGGCGGCCCCTTGCGCGGGGTGGCGGGGCCCCCGCTGACTCGGGTGGCCGACTTGATGTCAGCTTTGGGCAGCTCCAGATTCATTCTTCAGCCGGTTGGGTCCTGCTGCTCGCTTCGTCTCTCTGCGGGCCGGTCGTCGTGGCGATGGCGCCTTTTGCTGTTTTTTTTTTAAGGCAGAAAGACGAACGTGGGGTGAGAACTGATTCCATCTCACCTGTCTGACCTGACAGGCCTTAATCCTCTCACTCATATCTCACACCGACCCAACGTCTGGACCACCTTGTTCTGTGAGGATGACCCAATTTCCCATAATCCCTGGCTCAAGTTAATAAGCCCCCCCCACACTCTCTGTTTCAAGCCCTCGGTAATCTCATTAGAGCAAGGACGAGCCGGCAGGAACGCTGAGCACGCTGTGAGGGTCTGAACACGGCTTAACCATCACACCTTGCATATCAAGTGATGGTCCAGCAGATATCGAAGTCTGTTTTCCATCACATCGGCCCCACCAGTAGCAAGAAAACATGGATTTCACTGCTTTGTCCATTTGCATCTATACAAAATGCCGCATTTAGATATTTAAACATAACATGGCAGAAAACACAATATAATGAGTCAATGAGCTGCTGAAGTTTCTTCTCTTTTCTATAACTTAGTGAGTTATCACGTGATCCATCTCTTAATCTACGTATTAAATGTTAAAAATATCTTTAAAACTCCAGAATTAAGAATGTTAAACGGTTTCCTTGTTAGTAAATCTATTGTAGTGCATCGTAATCATTTGTCATCTGTAATTCTTCAATTTCACCCGGGCGGCGTTTTATCGTTTTGCTCTTAAATGAAAAATGTGTGTTGCACATGTTTCCATCTCTTAAGGGTTCGATCAGTAAACGTCATCGTGCTCTAATGATTTATGGAGATTCTACTGATCACCTCCAGCTGATGGAGCCTCGGCCCAAATGAGAACCCGGTCTTTGTCCTCTCAATCATCCCGTCACATTCCCATCCCCTTCTTCTCTAAAGCAGAAGCACTGAGCCTCCATGAGTCTGTGCAGGTGGTGCAGGTGGTGGAGGTGGTGCATGTGGTGGAGCTTCTACTCACCAGCTGCTCGGGAGCAGGACGGGTCGGACGCTGGGCTCGCTGTGAGGGCCGGCGGGGCTCAGGGGCCCTCTTATGTAGGCTGAGCACCAGATTATGGACGCGCCCGCCTACCAACAGGGCCAACGGGGGGGGGGGGGTATGTATGCAAACTCTGGTGTCACTCACTCACTCAAGATATTTGGACTTTCTTGTCAAAACATTTTCTAACCTAATATTTTTTTTACTTTTTTCAGTTATCCACCTATTTATTTTATTATCATTATAGTACATTGCACTTTTACATATTTTACACCCCCCACATCCACACACACACACACACACACACACACACACTTAGTTCCACCCCATCGACTTTGTGGACACCTGGTCTTTGCCAGCATCTTGTAATCTGCATTTAGACAAGATATTGGTCCATAACATCCGCATCTTTTCCAGGTTTTAGCAAAAGCGTAATTGATGCATTTCCAAAAAATGTTTAACCTAATAACATTTTCCAACAAAATATTAGGATTTTTTTTTCCAAAACATTCTAGCTCTGTTTATTTTCCATGACATTATTCTGACATATTTTGACTTTTCTTTGAAAACTATTTGACAAATATTTTGACTTAAATACTTTTTTTGAAATCCAAGGTAACTTTTTACCTTCAAGGAAACATTCAGACAACTTTTTTTCCTGAAAAATTTTCAACCTTTTCAAAAAAAAAATTTACCTAATATTTTCCAACTTTTTTTCTATAAATTTTCAATCAACAGATGTGCAAACATGGAAACGTTGATACAACCTGATATTAGTACTATAATTATTAATGTCAAGTCACAATGTGATATCAAGGAATATCTGTTCCTCTCTGAAACCTTTATTTAACAACTCATTTAAATACATTTAAAATAAATAATTAAGATACTTAAATAGACATATACAAAAATACATCGTTAACACTTCAATTCAAACATATAAAACAAATGTGCAACACGTGGCTGAAGGAGCACGACAATGAATCACTGACAGTTCTGAGATGTTCTGCAGCGTGTGATCCACCGGAGGAGGCAGTGGAGATGTGGAGGTAGACCCATCACAGCGACAGGAGCCTCTTCTAAGGTGCTTCAACTCTTACTAAGAACGCTCACAGCAACTATACTTCGCTCATGTCTTTTTCAAGAGTCTTATCTCCATCTTCAGGTAGGTTTTAAGGTTCTCATCCAGCACGCTGTCCTCGATGGCGGCGAGCGCCCGGTCCCCCTCCGTCGTGGTAATACTCCAGCAGCTGCTCCGCGTGTTCGATCCACACACAGTTGTGACAGCCGCTCATGCAGCAGTGGGTGGGAGGCGGCGGCGGCGGGCCGCGCTCCGTGGACCAGGCGGAGGTGGCGTGGTCGGGTCCTGGCTCAGAGCCCCCAGAGGAGCCCGTTGGTGTCAGAGGAGCAGGAGAACCTGGTCCAGCTGAGAGGCATCTCCTCCGCGACGGCAGCGGGCAGAGATGGGACAGACGTCTCATGTGTAGCAGGGACAGGACGCACAGCTGAAACACAGCAGAGTGAAATATGAGCCGAATTACATCCATCAAGTTAAGAGGTCTCCTCTTCTAACGGTTTACTTTAAGTGTTGGAATCTTTCGTGGTGACCGTGGAGGAGCTGCGTGTTACACTGCAGCTTGTCAATAAAGTTGCATCTTGAATGTGAAGTTCATGTATTTGTAGGTGTAAGAGGACACTGCGGCTGTGACCATTGGCTCGGTCGGGTTGTTTGTGAGTACAGTGATTAGGAACACGTGAAAAAACATCATCATCATCATCTCACACACATAAGTCTTGTATATTTAATCAAGTTACGTTTGTGTATTTTTAACTTAACTTACGTGTCTTAGTCTGTGACTTTCAGCGATGTGCTTTAATATTTAAAAGCCTGAACGTCAGTTAGAGGCGAAGAAAAAAAGAGAAATCTGATAACGACGATTTAAAGACTTCGCAAAGTTTAGCTAACGTTAGCTTCTCCGAGTCCTGACGTAACGACAGCTAACTAGCTGCTAAACGGCTAACGCTACATGTAGGATCACTCATCTTCTCGCTAATAAATGAAACATAAGACTTGGAGCTGTTGAAACGTGTTAACATTAACCAGCGATGTGTCCTGAGGAAAGGTCAACTTTGATGCTAGCTTAGCAGCGTTAGCTTCTCTACCGTTAGCTTAGCTACCGACCTTTTGTAAAGACAACGACGACCTCGCCACATTTACACCCAAACTCAGCATCGGCGCGGTGAAAACGAGGCTCGGTTATTTATCCGTGTGATTCATTTTCTTTGAACTGTAAAGTTGTTCCTTCCCGGACGTCCGGATCCACCGCTTTAGATCCGACTGCGACCTTTTGTGTGGAGATAAACAAGCACGTTGATTGGCCGACTGGAAATGACGCGGCCAATCAGATAGCAGCCTTCTAAACGTTAACCAATAGGAAGGTTCGCAAAAAACGAGCTGCGTTTCCAAATGATGTCCAGCAGGTGGCGGTTTGTCCTTTGACATCTCAGAATAAAGCTCATCATACAAACGTCACATCAAACTACAACTTATATCAACCAGAGATGGTCCTATAAATAAACAATATGACATATATATACACATTATTGATCCTTCTATCAGGGCTTTATGATCCGATAAGTGCCTTTGGGTTTATTTTGTATCGTTGCCACTTAACTGCACTGCTAAAAGAACTGTTAATGCCTCATTGTGTCATCAGCTGAGGCAGAACAAACAGACTGGGCCGATTCGGTGTGTTTGTTTTTCCTTCAGGAAACAAGCCTTGTGTTTGATTGTGATTTTTACTGTCTGTATCTTCATCCAACAAACATTTCAAACAAAGCATATTTCATTCAAGGAAGCTGCCCTGTACATTTATTTTTATTTTTATTCAAATCTTAATTGCCCCGCAGCAGCAAACACAAGAGAAAGAAAGATGGAAGCTCGTATTCTCAACTGTAGATGTAAAAACTCAAAGAGCAACATGCGAAACATTCAGCTTAGAAATGACGACTGCCAGCGGAGTAACTAGATCAAAGTGTATATTTGAAGGTAATATACATTTTTAAACCCTTCTATATTCCTGTAAACGTCGCTGTGTCTGAGAAAACATTAACTTGTTTAGGGTTCACAACCCTTCAGGACATTTTGTCACTTGAACTGTTTTCTACTGAAGCTGAGATCAGAGCATTTCAACCCCCGGAAGCAGATTTGTTCCGTTGAACGTCTCCTAACCCTCCAGTTCCTCCACCTTTGACCCCTTCAGTGATGCGTGCGGCGATGTGTGTGTGTGTGTGTGTGTTTAGTGTGTGCAGGAGAAGCTCCTCACAGGCCTCAGTGTTTGCGAACCACATCCATGGCAACGCGGTGTGGAAACACGGCAGCTGCTCAGCCCGGCGTGAGATACCAGGTGTGTGGTGGTGCATGTTATCTCACCAGAAGCCCCCTCACAATGACCCCCCCCCCCCCCCTCAGGCAAAGACCTTCCCACGGCGTTAAAAGGCTGCTGACATTGTTGTGAGAGAACAGGTGGATCAGTGATAATCTCTGAGTACGCACAGTGAACAAAGGCCTCGATGGGGACGAATCATTATCACAATACGTCAGTTTACTGGCCCCGTTCATATTTCATACAGAATAGATTTGGTTCTATTTATAGGCCGATGTCATGATGAGGGTTTGAATCTTGTTCTAGTGTTTAGAGATCAGCTGAGGGAGAAAGTTAGCGCTCAGAAGGTTCTACTTAGAACCAACGAAGACCAGAAAGAAGTCCAAATGTGGGTTTACATTTAATTTGTTGTTTCCCTTCATTATTAATTGTCATTAGCAGAAATACATGTTATTTCTCTGCAACAGTCTGTGAATGTTCCATCCAGGACCTCCTAAGGGAAGTTCCACAGGGACCATTTGGTGTAATGGTTCCTTCCAGAAGCCTCTCTGGAGGTTCCATCTAAAACCTTTGCTTTCCTCAGCAGCGTCTCTTCCTCCTCCTCGTCCTCCTCCTCGGGAAGTGAGGGGGAGGGGGACCAGAACCAGGACTGAGGGGGTGGCCTGTCAGACCCTCCTGCAGCAGGATGAGAGGTTTGGTAGAGGAAGAGACACTACCTCTCCAGACCACTGGGGGCGCCAAACTAGTCGCTGTAACCACCCGAGCGCTGGCGGTGCCTCTGACTGTGTGACCCTGGTGCAGAGATTCCCTTCATGCAGCATGTGAGTGGATGCAGGTCACCGCGTGGTCTCAGCTTGTAGGTCACATCAGAAGAATCTCTTAAGTATGTCGGCTATGCGAGGACTACGCATGGCCCCCCCGAGCCCCTCCTTCAGGATTAGGTTTCCCTCAACACCTTTTCCCTGCTTCACCTCCGCCAGGCGTTTCCTGGGGGGCTCTGAGGGGACGGTGGATTAAACCAGGCACATGACAAGCACTTTTCTTTCAGTTTGATGCTGTAGAAACTTTTCACACGACCCGGCGGTTCCCCGCGGGCCCCCATGGGCCCCCATGGGCCCCCATGGGCCCCCATGGCTTCTGGGGGAAACCCCGGAGGATCAACAGTAACTCTCGCTGTGGAAGTTCACACAGAGATAAGATAAGAACATGTCAACGAGCCATCGGCCTTTATTGCTCAGTGTGTAAAGTTCTGACGTCTTAAACGCGTCCGTCCCACACGTTGGTCCCCAGAAACATCTGGAATGTGACCCTTTCATCCATCGGCTCAGACTGAAATGTTCTCGGATTGACTGACGATGTTTGGTTCAAATATTCAAGTGAAACTCGAGCAGCTGAATTTGTCTTTATTGTATTTATTCTGGTTCAGAAATGTTTTAATGGATTCGACATAAACAACAACAGGAGACACAGAAGAACTGCAGAAAGACATAAAACACCCACAAAGGGACCCCCCCCCCTCCCCCCCTATGTGAGGCGGGTAGCAGGGGGGGCGTTGGTGCTCAGGTGTCCTTCCTCAAGGTCCTCACGGGCTCACAGCAGCAGCTTTGTCCCGAGGGCACAAGGGCCGCTCTGTTCTCCGGCCCTGGGGGGCGGGGCGAGGGGGGTGAGGGGGGCACGGCCCGAAGGTGACCCGTTCATGACACACCTGGAGCAGAGGCTGCACCTTTATTCACAGTGGGTCTTTCTCCGTTGTGCGCCCTTGATTCCTTTCCTCGCCTCCTCGCGTCTGTGAGCGAGTTATAATAAACTCTGAATCCATTAATGTGTAAAAGTTGTTCTATTTGTATCAACGGTATATTCTCTGTTATTGAGGCCTGTCCCTCAGAGGAAGAGTCCAACGGGGCTGCGTCTGTCCCCTTTACTACGTCGGGTCACGCAGGGGTCGCTGCACGGCGGGGAGGCCGCGTCCACCAATCGGTTGGCCCGGATGACGACTCCTCCCCCGGGAGCTGAGGACCAGTCGGGGGGAGACAGAGGGGCTTGTGAAGGACCCGAGCGCCGGGTTCTGGTCTCAGTCGCTCAGCAAAGAAAAACACTCTTATGGAAAATAAAGAACAGGACTTGTTGTGTGTCTGCGTTGAAGCTGCACTGGTACGAAGCAGGCTGCAGTTTCAAGCCTCGACTTCGGCTCTTTGGCCTCTGACCTTTGGCTAATGACGGAAACCATATCTGGACTGAGGAGGACTTACGTAGGCGACGTGTACTGTGCTTATTCATCCCTCAGTGTGGAGGCTCTCTGATTCGACATCGACGCAAAGTGACTGAACCGGGTCGGTCGCTGCGTCTCCTCTGACGGCCGCGGTGAATTCGTCTGGTGTGACTGAGGCCGGATCAATACGTGTGTTTGCACGAGTTGATGAACCCCATCGACTTGTTTGTTCCTCTCACGACACACTGGACCTACAACTGGTTCATAGAAAAACCTGCTCCTGTTCCACCCTCATCTCCTCACAGGAGCAGCGCTCACTGAGCGTAACGTGACCAGGCAGCGTTTATCTCGGCCTTCTAAAGGCGCGTTGCGTTGCACGGCGGGCGAAGCAGAGAGGCGGAAGTCTTGAGACAAAAATAAAGGCATTGAAGGTGAACTGGGAGTCGTGTTGTCAGTCAACACACAGACGAGATGCATCGACGTCATGAATCAGCTCCCGGCGTCCTCGTGATGTCTCCGTGCAGGAGGGGCCCCTGGGAGCCGGGCGGGCTGATCGGCCTTGTTTTATATCATAAATCTCGTGTACATTTTAACAACTCGCTGGATGGAAGCCTGCGACTGAACTACATGAGGCTCTTTAGCGTTAGTAGACACACATGTACTCAGGAATATGGACATAAACGTGTCTCATATAAGACCTTTATATATGTCCTTTATGGACAAAGAAAAACTTCTATTGGTGTGATTGTTTGATTGGTAGAAATAAATCATCCAATAGCACACGGTGATGCTAGCATTAAATAGCATTAAATATACAGATTCATACAAACGTTGACACGTTAACATATTTACATCAATCCAGCGCCAGCTGCTCATATTACCTTTGACCCTCGACCTTTCTGGTAATTCACCACTATATCCAGATTAGAAGTTCCACCAGTGCTGCTGCTGCAGGTTTATTTGTGATGTGTGTGTGTGTGTGGGGGTGGGTGGGGTAGGTGGGGGGGGGGCACCGTGTGAATATAATGTATTTGCTACGTCAGCACCGTCACTCAAAGACCAATGTAAAAACTCTTTGTTCCTCCTCAAAGCCACAGCTTTGATCTCCAATCGAGGACCTGCGCCGTCCGGCTGGTTTCCGGTGGGGGGGTGGAGGGGTGATGGGGGGTGATGGAAGGTGGAGGGGTGATGTGGGGGGGGGGGGCCGAGTATTTAGACGCTAGAGAAGCGTGGAGTAACAGCGGGGAATGATGGAGGGACAGGTGAGTGTGACGGGGAGTTCACCACTGGGACGTCCTGTGGGGAGCGTCCACCTGCAGGAGGAAGCACGAGGACGCGTTACAGGACAGTTTACACGGGACATCAGGTCCAAACCAAACAAACACATGTATATATGTGTGTATATATTTGTTTTTTTAGTGAATTACAAATCCTGCTTCGCTTTACTCTGCTTCTGATTAGTGTGAAATTGTCAACATGAGGAGAGAAACCGACGAAGGAACCAAGTGAACTGAAGGTAAAAGGCCAGAAAAAACTCCAACAGGTAGAAGGAAAGAAAAAAAACAGACAAAGAAGCGATTCATGGTACCTGTAAAACAAGTTGCCATGGATACGGCCGACGCCAGAAGCAAAGGCCGAGGAGAGAGGAGACGAGGAGAGAGGAGACGAGGAGGTGACTTACGCTTTTTCCGTTGGTGTGAGTGTGCGTGGACTCGGCCTGCGTGGACGGCGTGCTGCTGCCGCTGCCGGCGGCCGAGTGGGTGGAGGCCCTGGGGATGGTGATGTCGTAGGAGACCTCCGGGACGGGGTGCTGCACAACAGTGGCCCGGGACACAAACGCCCGAGAAATAAAAACTTTGTTTTTTGATCCCACGTCTAAGATCTTTGCTCCGTTTTCGTGTCTTTTGCATAATTTGTCTCTCTGCTACATTTAAATGTTTTTTACTTTCGTGTAATTTCGTTTGCTTGTTTTAATACATTTTCTATTTACATTCATTGTTGCTTTGCTCACTGATTTATTTCATATAATAAAATGATATGCTTGTTTCCATTCTGCACCTATTACACCTGATCTCACAGTGTCGTCCTCCTCAAAATCATTCACATGTCCTCGTCCTTCATTTCAACAGTGTCTTGCCTCATTCCAATGTCTCGGTAAATTACTCACGTTTCCCGCCGCCTTGCTGATGAGGGCCAGCTCCGTGGGCTGGTACACGGAGCCACGCAGCTGACCCGTGTAGCCGCTGTACGGGGACACGGGCTTGGACGCTGCAGCGGGGACAGGGGGACAACACAAGTCATTCATTTGTCCTCTTTGTGGCATCTTTGTGGCCTCCTTGTAGGTGCTTTTGTTGCCTAGCAACCGCCTCTTGAATCTGCACACAACAATCACTGAAGACACTTAATCAGCAGACGGAAAGCCCAGAGGTGGAGGCGAGGGACCACTTTGTCCCTCCCGGTGTGTTCACTCGGATAACTGAGGGGCCACGCCTCAGTTGCCGTGGAGACGCTGCAAACACGGGGCGTGATGTTTCTGTTGGGGACGGGCCGCTTATTAACAGGAGCAATTCAGATTCTATCGCCTCTTTAGTCATACGGCTCCCACACAAAGAAAATAAGGAATTATTAGTTAATGATGAAGCTGATGAAGTCAAAGGCTGCTGCACCACCTCTACCAGTTACATCACCAATAAGCATTTAGCTTCCAACCAGGATTGGAATCTATGTAATTACTGAATTACAAAATGAATCCAGAGGCGGAGGAATGAGACAAACCGCTCCTTGAATGAGGAGCTGCAATGTGTGACTTCCTCCCTCCAAAAAGCCTCAATCCTTCTCCCAGCAGAGAAATACCTGAATTCAAACTGTTGTTTTCCACCTGGGTGACTCCAGCTGACCGACCCCACTTATGTTCGGAGATATGTTCCCCCAGAAATTACTATTATCAAAGTTATTGCCGTTCTCTGCCGCTGAGGATCATTATCGTGATAAAACAATAAGATAGTAATATTTCTGCTACGTGAGTCTATTGTAATATTATCGATCGGACTCGTTTCAAACCCAACGATGAAGAGGAGACGCCAACACGCACCTTGTTTGGGCTCGTCCATGGAGAAGGCCTTGTTCTCCACGAAGACGTTCTGGGAGCTCTGCTCCTTCAGGATGGTCTCGTAGCCGACTCCTCGGCTCGGGTACAGGTCGTCCCCGAAGCTCTGCTGGCTCTCGTCGTCGCTGGTCACGACGCACAGGTCGGGGATGGTGTAGAGGAGGAGGAAGGCCCACGCGTTGGCCACCAGAGCGATGGCCAGGGTGGGGTCGTCCCAGGTGGGCCACCCTCTCCTCTCGTTGCCGTAGACGTACATGGCGATCCATGCCACCCAGATGCCCGCGGAGACCAGGCTGGCCAGGAGGACGAAGGCGCCGTCCTTCTTCCACTGTCGGTGTTTGCCCGCCATGATGGCGAGACTCCCCGCCAGCGCGGCCAGGATCAAAGCCATCACGTAGATCAGCGCCATGGCAAAGTCCTGGTTGGCCACGTTGCAAGGCGTCGCCGCGGCCCCGCCGGTCACGGCCGTGGCGTTGAGCGGCCCCCACGGGTGGCGCACCACCGTGATGATCAGCCACTCGGTGTTGATGATCACCTCCACCAGCCACAGGCCCCCCGCCGCCAGGCACAGGACCCAAGCTCGGGGCCCGACGCCCCGGCGGGCGAGGACGTTCAGCCTCACGCTCTGCATCAGCAGGCAGGCGAAGCAGCCGGCGAACAGCACGCCGAAGAGGAACCTGCGCGAGGCGCACGTGGAGAAGTCCTTTCCCACGATGAAGGCAAAGGTCAGGCAGAAGAGTCCGGCGGTGCAGACCAGGAAGCAGGCGTTGAGCGCCACCGAGCTCTTGCGGTTCTTGTCCAGCGCGAAGGGCACGCTGGCCAGCAGCGAGACGAAGAGCACGATCGAGAAGACGATGCCGGCCGCCGCCAAGGCCTCCAGCACGATGCCCCACGCCGCGGCGAGGTCACACAGGTTGTAATAGAGGGAGTCCAAGTTCGGGCCGCAACCCTCAGGGGTGCCGTTGGTGGCCATGGCGACCGGCAGGCACCAGGGTTCAGTGTGGACCGGTTCCGGTGGGATCCTCACAGCACCTGCACGGACGGAGGGACGCTGAGAGCGAGGAACACTGGGCGCGTACAGATCTGACCCAAGACTTTGATACGTCACTAGTGTTGCATCAGGAGACTCGCGGATACACCCGAACGAGCAAATATGCCACTTAATGAGTCAGTATGCACACAGCGTTCAAACCTGCATCGTGATGTGCACACGGAACAATGCTGGAGGAGCCACAGGGACGAGGGCTCAGCGCCCCTGAAATAACACAGGAATTCAAACTATGGACTCTTCACAGCTCTGGTGTTAATCATTCATAGAATCCGTCGGACAAATATTGTTTCTGTGCATTGCGATGGCACCAGAATCAATGTGCTGAAGGTGCATCCGCCCAAAGGTGGTGCAGGGGTCCAATCAAAAGGTGGCCCACGGATACCGGTACCAGACCTCAGGCCGGTCAGGCAGAGAAACAGAAGCCTGGTGGGACTCCAGAGAGATTTCTGTTGCCATGGAGAGCTCGAGGACCAACTCCTATGGCATGTTCACAAATTCACCAAACTCAAGGTAGGAACACAAAGGCAGATTATGAAGCACGAAACCAAACAAATGAAAGAAGTCGTTCAAATACCTCACAAGCTCAGCGAGCTCCGTACAGGGACAAGACCTCCGGTTCCTGGAGCGCTTCAGCAAGTAAGAGGAGCTCAACTAGTCGGCATTCTCAAGACGCCGATTGGCTTTATATGTAAATGCCTCGGCGTCATTGTTCCTCTGTCAGAGTGACGAGCAGGAATCAGAGGGTGAGACGTGGACGGGACGTTTACTCAGGATGTCACACCACACGACGAGGGGAAATAAAACTTTAACCAAACGTTGGCCCAGAAATAATTACCCATGAATATTATACACAAATGATAATAAAACCACAAAAACCATAAACGAAATGGACGTGGATCCACTTCAGCCCCCCTGGTTGCCCCTGGCAACAAAATGAACCGTTCCAAACGGGATGTTAAGAGAATTTAAACAATAATAAGAACATTGAGGAGGGTTTCCAACGTGCTTTAATGAGCTGCTTTCGCTGGTGTCACGTGGTCTTCATCAGTAGACACTCAGAAGATACTAAACGTGTGAAATGTTTGTGTTGATCTAATCACACAGAAACCAATAGATCTCAGAGGAGCCCCTGATTCCCCCGGCCCCTCGTCAGGGGCCCCTGCTTTATGTTTCACATGGCTTTTCTGTCCGGTACTTAAACGACACACGATGGGGGAAAAAAGAGAATTCACAGCCCATGTTCTGCCCTTAGGGTCTATGTTGTCCCCACGAATAATATAATATATGTGATCTGTCATCTTTATGAAACACAAATAGGTGCATGTGGCCGCAGCTTGTTTGTACCAACAAAGTGTGCGCATCCCTCCTTGTGTACACACTTAAACATCATGACAGAGTTCCTCATCTAGACTTTAGGAGCAGTTTCACACGCGCACCAGGACGCGTTCAGGGACACAAACGAGCCGTTTAACGCAGAAAGGCCTTAAACATCCACAATGAGATCCTTGTGATATCGGACACAAATCTAAAAACGTAGATGCGTTCTTACCTGAACGCGTCGGTCTTCTTCACCTGTTTCCCGCAGAGGAGCGCGAACCATCAGAGCTTCAAACAGCCACAAACACGAGAAGTTTCCGCTCCGAAGAAAAGTCTTCAGGTGGAAAATGTCAACGTTTGAGTTCTGATTCAAAGTAAAACAAACGACGTCTAGGAATCCTTTAAGAGTGTGTACGAGTCGACTGCTGCGAAGGTCTCTCTCTCTCTCTCTCCCTCTCTCTCTCTCTCTCTCTCTCTCTCCCTCCCTCCCTCTCTCTCTCTCTCTCTCTCTCTCTCTCTCCCTCTCTCTCTCTCTGTCCCTCTCTCTCTCTCTCTCTCTCTCTCTCTCCCTCACTCTCTCTCACACGCACACGCACACGCACTTAACGCGTGTCCACGTTTCCCAGAACGTCCCGCCGATGAGGAGACGACGCGGTGCGCAGCGACACCTGCTGGTGAGAAGCTCTTTAATCGAGATTATTTGGGAGTTTTGGTCACATGAGGTGGCAGCAAGGCACATATATATATAGATATAGATAAATACATGTATGTATATACTGTAAATATATAAACATATGTATGTATGATATCTAAAGAGTCAGAGAACAAGTGATGGCTTCAGTGAGGCCTCTGGTCAATAAGTTGCTCTCTGCTTGTTGACTTGTTGCTCAGGAGCTGATTGTTGCCGCTTCACGTCCCTGATGTCTCGCTGGCTCCAGAAAAGCAACATGGCGACGGCCGGGATCCAAGATGGTGGCGGAGAGACCACCCCGCTCTTCAGAACATCAGTCCCCCGGATCGACGCGTGTCGTCACCATGACGACGTCCACTGATTACAGTCTGTGGGACCAACTACTGCATCTAGATGTTTACATGTTTGCTGTCGCCTCCTCTGTGACGCTGTGACGCTGTCAGTGCTTCCAGACGGGATCGTTGGGCTCCGCAGCATGTGAACACGTCTGGACTTTGATAACATGTCTTCTACAAAACGAGGATGACAGTTTAAAACAGTTTGATGCCGTCGATTTAGGCAAAATAAAATGGGAAAAAGCGTCCTCAGTTCACTCAGACGGCTCCGCCCCTCCTCTGCCCCCCCACAACCCCCACCCCACACTGCATCAGTGACTGTTAGAAGTACAGTTATTATTATAATAATTATCTTTATTTATTTCACAACAAAGATACAACAAGCAAACTGTTATGTGTGTGCGTGTGCTTGTGCATGCATGAGTGTGTCTGTGCGTGTGTGTGTGTGTGTGTGTGCTGGTACATGCATGAGTGTGTCTGTGCGTGTGTGTGTGTGTGTGTGTGTGTGTGTGTGTGTGCAGACTGAGAGCTGTCCGGGTTTGTGCATCCGGGCCGTGCTGCTGTTTGAAGAGCAGCTCTCCTCCGGCCTCCATTCGAGGTTCCAGTTGCAGTTGATGTAGAATAAACAGAGGCGCGAGCGGCCGGCGGCTCCTGTGCGCTCGCCGTGGAGACGGAGTGCCATTTGTTTTGCTCTGTTGGCGATGCTCAGCGAGGCGCGCCCTCTTTTTGGGGGCATTGTGCACCTTTACACACAGCTCATGTTTAAACTGTCCCTCTGTGGATGACGAGCTGAGGGCCACGATGAAGGTGAGATGATTTGATGACACTCATGGAACTCGTCTCATTGTCCTGACTAACAGGCTGTTACTCTTTATTCTTTTCCGCAGCAATATAAAACATATTTCGGCACTTTGCTACTAAACGTGGACGGGAAGAAAAGCTTAATTGTGAATTGTTAAAGTCTCCTCGAGGAGAAATAAATATGTCGCTCGTGTGCTTTAAGGGACGAACAGCAGCCGGTTTTAATGAAAAACATTCCGCCGGCCTCCGGCTGACTGGCAGCCTGGTAGCTGGAATGCAGCGAGCTCCTCTGGCGTCCCAAGAGCTGCAGGACGATGGGACGATGGGGGGGGGCTTTGGATTAAGAGGAATTGGGGTCACGGGGGTCACAAGGGCTTTCTGGCCCCGGGAGGTGACAAGGGGGTGGAGTCCCGCTGCGAGCGCTTGTTGTTCCCACTGTACAGAGAGGAGATGGAGGCGTTGGTGGGCGCCTGCGGGTGTGGCGCGGCCCGGCGGGGGTCCGGCGCCCCCCCCCTCAGCAGCACCACGTCCCGCACGGCGCCGCGGAAGGGCTTGCTGACGAAGCAGTAGAGGAAGAAGTTGACGGCCGTGTTGAGCATGGCCAGCATGTTGGACAGGTCGTAGGCCAGGTGGACGCGCCAGTCCCGGTGGACCGAGGACACGTACAGGTGGTAGATGACCACGGCGGTGCGCGGGGCCCACAGCACCGAGAACACGGAGGTGATGGCCAGCAGCATGGCGGTGGTTTTGCCCAGCGGCGGCGGCGGCGGGGCGGCGGCGGCTCCTCCCCGCAGCGCGGGCGCCGCGGCCTCGCCCTCAGCGTGCGGATGATCAGCGAGTTCAGCACCAGGAAGATGCCGCAGGGCAGGAAGTAGATGATGGTCACGTGCGTCCAGATGAGCACGGCGTCCAGGCCCGTGGGCGGCCGGCTGTTCCTCCACATGTCCGACCACCAGAAGAAGGGCACGCCGGACAGCAGGGACAGCGCCAGCACCGCCGCGATGGTCCTCCGGGCGCGCGCCGGGTAGCTGATCTGCCGGTGGAGGAGGGGGTGGCACAGCGCCACGTAGCGGTCCACGGTGAGGGGCACGGTGGCCCAGATGGACGCGTGGTTGGCGGCGAACTCGGCGGCGCTGACGGAGTGCAGCAGCAGCGCAGGGACGTCGCGGTGGAAGACCGCCGTCTCCAGCAGGAAGCCCACGAAGATGATGAAGAGCTGCGAGAGGATGTCCGAGCCCGTCACCGCCAGCAGGTAGTAGTACAGGGCCTTCTTGGTGCGGCACGCCAGTCGGGACAGAGCCACGGCCGTGAGGACGTTCACTGGCGGGAACAAAGACACACGTGAAGAAGAAAACTGATCCTTATGTCCCGACACGCACAACTCAGGTCCATCGGCCTCCTTTCAGAGCTTCTCATTTACAACCAACCAGAGTTGAGGATTCACAGCTGTCAATCACTTCTCATGAACTTTGCACGATACTGAAATACAGCAACGCTTCTGTTTTCACAATCACCGCTCGGTGGGCGGGGCTTGATTTTGACAGCACGTGACATCACAGGTTCGTCCGACACAAACAAAGTGTTGAAGTAGCTTCAAATTCTGTGTTGAAAGATAATCTAAAGAGCTATTTCAGCATTATAGCATAATTAATATTAATTACTATTATATTAATGTTGATAAAACATGATACGTCTTCAAAGGTTAAAGAAATCCTTAAGAAGTAGATTCTGGTTGTTTGATGGATCCAGTTTTCCCACCTTGCGTTCGTAAAACGCATCCATGCAGTTTAAGTTACAAAGCATTGATTTTGTTTGTCCCCGTGTATCACATGTCCCTTCGGTCCACTTCCTGCATCTGTTTCTCACATCAGCAGCAGGATGTTCTCACTGGAGCATCGCGGCGGCACCAAGTCCTTCATTACGTGACGCATCTGAGCGCCACGCGCCTAAATATCAATAGCAGATCACCGCCGTCGATTGGTCGTGATGAGAACACGCGGCCCGTCACAGACGACAGCTTTCCACTGTATAAATTATTGATGGAGGGACTGATTATCAGGCCATTGGATTATTGTAGCCTGTGAAAGGTTCAGACCTCTAACTCACGAGGTATTGATTACTCTTATAATTAGACATCAATACTAACTGTGCTGTGATGGGCGAGCTGACTTTGTGTACCTGGTACTCCCACACAGAGCAGGACGCTGTAGTAGATGACCGGGATGAAGCCCAGGACACATTTGGACCTCTGCAGCTCCTCGGGTTTCGGGCCCAGCTCCTGGTAGCCGGACGCCGTCACATTGGACCAGTCGATCATGACCACGGCGCGTCCCCTGGGAGACAGAGACCTTCCTGTGACTCCGGGCGAGTGTTTGCATCTCACATACAAACAAAACAAAAGGGGAATGAAGCCGTGCGCTAGTTTTATAATTGTCCCAATAAATCCCATGAAAAGCCCCAAAGTGCAGATAGATGCGTTGATACAGAAAGATGTTTGTTTAAGATAAACTGTGGAAAACAACAAGTCGGTTTGGATTCAGTCAATTAAACTGCAGGTCGACAACAGCAGATGGGCTCCACCCTCCACCCTCCAGCCTCCACCCTCCCCCGAGTCATTATCCTCCCGTCTCCACATCTTCACCTGGAGTCCGTCCTGTTTCCCCCGATTGTCCTTACTCATCCATGCTGTTATCTGTCCAGCCTTCAGCGAGGGACCATTTAGATGCTTAACCAGAGTAAAGGTCATCGAGGGGCCGCGATGGCCCGATCTGGGAGGCCGACCTGGCGAGGTGACGCCTCCTAACAGCCGGTCGCATTTAATCACCGCGATTGTGAAGCGCGTTGGGACAACCGGCGTATTTTATGACTCGTGGGAGGAATGCGATCGTAAAGCGTGGAGACGTCCGAGGGCTTCTTTGAGTCCGCTCAGCACAATAAACCCGCAGAAGAGCAACCGGCGAGGTCAATGGCGTCTTAGCCGCTCTCACTGGTCTGCTCATCTAGATGATTAGTCCGCATCCTCGATAGACCTCCATCAGTAGACGAGACCATCAGAGAGAAGAAGGTCTATTCTTAAAGCATGGCCTCCAGCAGGGACCAGTCCACCGTGGAACGGAACCACATCCGGTCTCGTACCGGCAGGCGGAGCCCCGTAGGGGGGAGAGCTCAGCCCCTCGGGACCCGTTGAAGGGGGGGGAGGGGGGACCAGAACCAGAACCAGGGATGAGTGTCTGAGACTAAAGGACGTCCTTTCAATCTGAAAGTAGGATTTTTTACATTTATGTTCTGAATTAAAGACAAAACAGATTACAAAGGTGGAAAAAGGCTTCAGTAAAAGCCTTTTTTGTAGAGTGATAAAATAAAGTGACCAATAACGTTACTTCAGGACCGTGGATGTCGGCATCATCCGAGCACTTTGAGGAGCCTTCATCCTTCTCGGCTTACAGCCAAGTTTAAAAGTTCCACGAGGAGCAAAGACACAAGAACGTCCTCCATTTCACCGGGAGACTTCCATCTTCTGAAGAGGCTCCGTTCCATGTGACTGAAGGCGACGGATCATTTGTTCGTCTCTTTTAGTGCAGTGTGAAGAACGCCTCCACACGCTGGTGATAACAGGACAGAACGCCGCTTTCATTCCTCCTCTGTGATTGAATCTGTTCTTCCCTCCACTGATCTCTTCGTCAGCAAACATGACATGCGGGTTCTAAACCAGGCCGTAAAAACCACACGTTGCTTTGTTTATGAAACGTTCTCATATTTGTCTGTCAGGAAGAGGAGCTGCTGCAGGAGGCGTTGGGTTCATCCCCCCTCTGACCTCAGAGGAGAACTTTTCTGCAGCGTCGTATAAACGGGTTAAAGTACAAGTACATCTTCAATCTGAACTCTTTACACGAGAAGTATGAGAATCGTAAACACTGTATTCATAAGACGGGATCCACATTTTGAACCGGATCAGAGTGATTGAGTTTAAACTAAGTTTAGACAAAGAAATGTTCCAACAAACGCGGAACAGAGATGATGTATAATAGTGTATCAAATAAGTGAATTTATGGAATAGTTTGGGAAACTAGTAAAAGTGTGTAATAAGATAATTCATGTTGGTTAGATATAATATTACATCTTCACTGAATACATTCACGAGAAATCTTTTTAAAAAGTAATTTTTTATTATGTTCTGTATATAAACTGTCACACTGTTATAAATGAAAGTCATAAATCTCCTTTGTGCTGGCTGGAAAAAGATAATTAAAAAATATTCTCAGTTAATAAATCTTTTCATCATAAAGTTCTCAATCCAAAGACAGAAGTAAAGCAGCAATACTGACGATTGAAAAGCTGAAATTTGTGAATTATTGTTCTAATAAAGAAATGAAAGAAACGCTTTCTTGTTCATGTTGTGCAGGAAGTGCACAAGAAACCCGGAGCCCAAAACAACAAACACCATCCGCAGCAAACAGAAGGAGCGCTGGATGCTTTCAGTGGCGGCTCGTCTCCTCTCAGAGACACATGGAGACGGTCGCTGTGTAGGACAAGAAATCACACTGACCGATCAGTGTCCCCGTGGACGCTTCTGTGATCCTCGCAGGAACTCCGGAAGCGCCGAGCGTCCTCCCGCCTCCTCTACTCGCCTCCTCTACTCGCCTCCTCTACTCGCCTCCTCTACTCGCCCTCCATCCCGCTCCGTCCTCAGAGGTCTCGGGGGGGCCACAGATCTCGCTCTCGCTTCAGGCCCGACCGATTGGTCAGCGGACGGTTCTGCTGACGTTAGCGCTCCTCCCCGGCAACACGGAGCAGCTGAGGGTCGGACGTGTGCGGATCGGAGGCCTGTTTCTGGTTAAGGTTCCCGGGGTCCGAGGCGCTCGGTGCCCAGGAAGCCGAGCTGAACTTCATCCGCGCTCCACTGAGCCCTCTTAATAATTCATAGTGAGACGAGGCACCTGGAACAACACTGCCGGAGACAACGAGGCCCGCCAGCACAACTGAGCTCCATGCGCTTCCTCGAGGGAGACTCTTGTCTCGTTGTAGACTATAGAAGCTGCCGCCAAAAGAAAACACGCTCTCACTTCAGACGGCGCTGCTCCACGCTACCGACTCGCTATCGCGAGTTAGTTTTGTTTGCAAAAGCTAAATATGACGTGTTGATTAAATTATTCTCCAAAACAGAAGAGGCAGCAGAAACAAAAGGAACCAAGAAACAAGGTGCAAAACAACACATGAATGAACCTCCATGACAACGTAACCTCATGTCCGTGGGCTACGTTGTCATTACCAGACTAAAAGGTCTCAGACATTTTCACGGAACAATTCAACTGTTTGGGACACTTAAGCTCCTTAAGAAGCCTCCAAGCACGACTTGCTCACCCAACCCGGAATTCCCACTCTTAACATCACAGACTGTATCCCTGATAGTCTGTAGTCATGGTGACGCAGTCATTGGTTTGCGGACTGATGCTGACCATTTTGTCATCTTTCATTACGGACATCACCTTCTTATTTATTTTGCAACCAGGGAGCAGGAAGTGACCACATCTGAACTAAGGAGGTCATACACCAGAGACCTGTCAATCGGCATGTAGCCCCGCCCTAAAGCATCCCCTGCTTTATGGTCTACATGGACCATAATTCACTACATGAACATCATGCTGTGTTCAACTAGAGACTGAGACCATAAACTCATGTTACAATGTTTACTGAGGGAATAAATCAAGAGAGAAGTAGAGTCATTTCCTCATAGACGTCTATGGGAGCAGAGGAGTCGCCCCCTGCTGGTCACTACAGAGAAGTAGAGTCATTTCCTCATAGACGTCTATGGGAGCAGAGGAGTCGCCCCCTGCTGGTCACTGCAGAGAAGTAGAGTCATTTCCTCATAGACGTCTATGGGAGCAGAGGAGTCGCCCCCTGCTGGTCACTACAGAGAAGTAGAGTCATTTCCTCATAGACGTCTATGGGAGCAGAGGAGTCGCCCCCTGCTGGTCACTACAGAGAAGTAGAGTCATTTCCTCATAGACGTCTATGGGAGCAGAGGAGTCGCCCCCTGCTGGTCACTACAGAGAAGTAGAGTCATTTCCTCATAGACGTCTATGGGAGCAGAGGAGTCGCCCCCTGCTGGTCACTACAGAGAAGTAGAGTCATTTCCTCATAGACGTCTATGGGAGCAGAGGAGTCGCCCCCTGCTGGTCACTACAGAGAAGTAGAGTCATTTCCTCATAGACGTCTATGGGAGCAGAGGAGTCGCCCCCTGCTGGTCACTACAGAGAAGTAGAGTCATTTCCTCATAGACGTCTATGGGAGCAGAGGAGTCGCCCCCTGCTGGTCACTGCAGAGAAGTAGAGTCATTTCCTCATAGACGTCTATGAGAGCAGAGGAGTCGCCCCCTGCTGGTCTTAAACACTTGTTGGCTTCACTGACCAACTGCCGGTATTTGGCAAGTTGTCAGTGGTAAAGAAGTTTCATCCTCATGCTGTTTGTGATGTTGCTAAAAGTTCATCCAAGAGGCCAAAATCCTGAAGGTGCTTAATAAGAACAAATCCAGGAGCCCATCTTGGCAGAAGCGGCTTGTTTCTTAGAGGATTCAGGGAAGGGAAATAAGAAGAAAAACCTTCAAGTCCAGACAGAAGAGGAGTTCAAGACGACGTGGATTTTGAAAAAACTGTGAGACAGCCCAGACTCGCTACCGTCTTCCCTAAATAACTTTTATAACGAGACTGCAGACAATAGTGTGTGACAGCCCTGATGCACAAGAAACAGAAGCATTTCATGTTTACAGCAGAGGTTCTCGCTCATAAAGCGAGTTCTCGCCGGCTTCCTTTGCCCTTGTATGGTCGGTCGGTCTCGGTCTTACCTTCACATCCAGTTCTCACAGCGACCCTCCACTCGGTTCACAGCCGGTCCTCCCACCCGATGCTCCTACAGAGTCCCCGACATCGCTGCTGGACACCCAATGAGGAGAAGTGGAGGAAGAGGACGAGGAGGAGGAAGAGGAGTCCATGCAGCCGGTTCATCACAGCAGCGAGTGAGCAGAGGACGAGTGGAGAGATGAGGCAGAGGGGAGTATCAATGTGGGGAGGGTGAGGAAGGAGGGAGGGGGAGGGAGGTGAGGATTGATCTGTGGACCATGAGATATCTGGACCATTAGGTGTTGAAATATTTCACTGGACAGGTGAAATGTAAGTCTGTTTGCCCCCACAAGTGTGTCCCCAAATGTGACCGTGTGGACAGATGTCCCTGCAACGTGTCAAATATAATCACACACAGACGGGTTCCAGATAAAAACACCAGCCGGCAGCTTCCTGTATTCCTGACAGCAGACGAAACGAGGAAAATAACAAGCAACATGCGAACCGTTGACGATAGCGATACTCAAACAGCGTGTTAGTCGCAGCCCACTCGAAGAACCAATCCATCAATTTGTGGGCTTAGTGGACCAGAACCTGCGGGCCTGCGTACCACAGCTTGCTGTGATGTGGCTGCTCATCGTTTGACTCGTTTACCAGGCGTACAGGGGTCAGTCGAGAAAATGTGGAAAATGAAGTCTGTTTGGTTCACAAATACTCGTTGCTTTTACCGTTTATTTAACTGCAGTGCAACTTGTATTCTATGTTGAGCTTGTTCATTGCCTTAATGTCTGTTTTTAATGTTTCAATTAATACCCCTAGTGATTTTTCAACTCAACATGGCTGTAGTTATATGTTGCAGAGATGCAGCCGCTGCGCCCTCTGGTGGCCACGACGTGTAAATACAAATAGTGTCTACAGTGAGTGGGAGGTGAACACTGGTAGACAAACACACACACGCACACACACACACACATAAATTGTAAAGGAGGAAATAGGACTTTTGTTGTAATCTGAACTAACCTTAAAAGAGAATAGAAGTTGTTTGATGACTTTTATTTATTGTATTTTATCTGTAACTGATTTGAAGCTTCCCTCAGTTTCCCCCAGAAAGAGATTCAAACCTCAAGTGACCTCCTGAATTAAAAAAAGGTTAACGATGTGTAGAACATTGAGAGCATTAAAACCAGGCGTCAAAATCCAGTCCTGCAGAGCAAAGTCAGTGCTACATGTGTGAGAGCTGCATTCTCTCCGGTGACCACCAGGGGGCGACTCGTCTGGTCCCAAATAGAAAATGACTTCTCTCTTGATTTATTCCCTCAGTAAACATGAGTGTATCGTCTTAAATGTGGTTTCAATTCTTCTTTAACACAGCATGATGTTCATTTAGTAAATGATGGTCCGTTTAGTCACACCCACTTTAGGGGGCGGGGCCTATATTATCACCTGTTCGGGTGTATCATGATTAACATGCTGTGGTGGTTTAATGCAGGCCGCTGGGAGCGAGCACATTAGGAGATCCGCCCCAAAGCTTCTTTAAATCAACACAGATGACGGATGATGTAATTTATTGTTACAACACACGTGTTTGTTTGGGTGAATAACTCTTGATTCACCGTGAACAAATATATTAATACATAATTGTTTTTTTTTACCTAAGTTATCTTTAACAACAGATCAAAATGGTGTGAAACGTCAGGCTTCTGTGTGATCAGGCAAGTTCTCTCTATGATGTAAGCTGTGGTCTTTAAAGCCATGTGTTTAAAGTGTAACGTAAGTCGCTTTGGATTAAAGCGTCTGCTAAATGACCTGTAATGTAATGTAATGTAATAAAATGGTCTGAAGCTAAAGTTGAAGCGCTGCGTCTCCACAGAAGGACCAAAGGGGTCGAACCGCGTGGCCACGTTGACCTCTTTCTATCCAGTCAAACTGGAACCCCTAGAACCCCCCCAAACACACACAGGACCCGCCCACCGGGCCGAGGTCACCGGCCGGATCCGACAAGGCACAACTATCAGACACGTCTCTCTTTTTAGTTTGTGATTAAACACATAAAAAGCAACGAGGGTTTTAATGAAAATCATTAGATGGGGATATTGATTGCGTAACTTGGCGCCCCCTAATGAAGCCGCCTGTGGCCTGAAGCTGTGAATAAATTGCATGTGCTGCTGTGTCACGCACATGCACCGAGTGGGCTTCATCGGGGTCTCTCATCACAGGGCCGGACCTGAGACCGAGACGGATCGGTTCTGTCCAGACCTGCTGGTGGATCAAACCCCCCCCCGCTGCCTCCTCATCCAATCGATAGCACGCAGTGAGCGTCACCCAAGGACAGGAAAGTCAGGATCAAAGTGGCAGCCAACCCAGGCCTGATTCCACACACCGATCGATGAGCTTCTCAGTGTGTGCGTGTGCGTGTGCGTGTGTGTGTGTGTGTGTGTGTGGTGGGCCGGATGTGGCCGGGAGGACTCCTGTCCCACATTCAGACACAGAGCCCCCTGGTCCCCCGGACAGAGAGGACAGAAGTGCAGACAGACGGCGTGAGGACGGCTGAGAGAAAGATGGAGAAACAAGTGGCTCCGATGGGCGTCGGGGTGCTGGTCCTGGTCCTCGCTCTGCTCCGGGGGGCCGATGCTGCAGGTCAGTCGTGACATCACTACATCTGCTGAATAATTCACACTTCACACTGCGAATGAACGTCCTGTAGATCACTCAGCCAGTTTGCTGATGAGTTCGGGTTTCTAAGGCCGGAGGTGATTTTGTTGCAATCCTGTCAATTATATATAAATATGTTCTATGAAACGTGACGTTTTTTAAATCTCCTCTTTTAATTTACAGTTTTCCATTTTGTGAAAATAATATAAAAATAACAACACTCAAAAATAACAATGAAAGTCTAAAAGTTGTTAGATGGTTTTAGATAATTTTTTCTTGGGTCAGGAGACCAAACCTTAAGTGTCTCCTATTAACTAAAGCGACACAGATGTTATAATGACAACTGATATCGTTGCATGTAACATGTAAATGAGGAAAGGGAATATTTTTTTCTGCTGATCTTTCTGCTGAAGAAACTTGTTTCACGTGATTTACATTTCAAGGGAACATATTGGTCATGGATGAGGTTTGGCGTGTTTTGGGGTAGTAAACGAGGGAGGAGTTGTCGGTGGATGGATGGACCCGTCACACACGGGACCTTCACCCAGCAGGCCTGTGGCAGAGGTTTCCAGACCTTTATTCTGCAACCGGAACGGAGAAGGTTTTATTATGCTCATAGTATCACCAGACAAAAGGACCTAAAGGTGTATTTAACTGATGTTTCTATTTGCTGGCGGTGGGTGGAGGAGGTGGAGGAGGGGTGGTGGGCTACAAACGCCTCATCTGAGGCAAAGCTTTAATTAAACATGACCCACAAAGCCTCAAACAGAGAGAGCAGACGATCGATGGGGGGGAATCGGCCGACCGGCGTCCATCGATCGGCCCGCTGATGAACAACTCGTCCGCCGGTCCGATGAAGAGTCCAATTGGATCTTCAACGGGTCCCATGTGGCGAAAGCAACAGTCCCAGCGAGTGACCCACTTTCTGATATCCATAAAGACGATTATTTGCGCGGGGGGGGGGGGGGGGGGCGGAGAGAGTCCAACAGACTTTCAACCAATAGCACGCAGCGGTTTGATTCTTTTATCTCCTAAACGCTGCTTTTCCTGCGTTGAGCCAGCCGCTACGTAAACCTCTTCAACGTACATATCCCTCTGTCTTATCAACTCCACACCTCCCCCGTCCTCCCACAGGCTCGCTGAAGGTCGACGCGCCCCAGGACGGCGGTGGAGGCCGCGGCTCGGACACCATCAGCCACTCCCTGAGCGTGGTGCAGCGCCTGGAGGCCCTGCTGCTGCAGGGGAACGGCAGCGACGTGGCCTGCGGGTGGAGACGCCCAGCGCCGACGAGGTGAAGGTGATCGCGGCGCACGCGCTGGTGCTCTCGCTGCAGAGCGCCGTTTTCGAGGAGATCCTCCTGAATCGCAACGGCAGCACGGTGGTCCTGAAGGAGAGCTCCGACTGCGCCGCCGTGTTCGACAAGTTCATCAGGTGGGGGAGCGTGTTCGCGTGACGCACGGCGGACCTCCGCCTGTCTGTGTTCATCGTGTGATCATGTCGCATCAAAAAGCCATTTCAATCTTAGTAGGAAGCTGCTGGACTTACTGATTAGATAAAATACAGCGTGCCGTCGTCGACTCGGCCCACCAGGGGTGTCAGATGATTGCAATCTGACACCTCGCCACTAGGTGTCCCCAGATCCCCTGAGCTGGAGCTTTAGAGGCCGAATCAAATGAGATACCCTATGAGAGCGTTCTGTGTGTTATCCATATAATCTTGAACAAGGATGTATGAAGATCTCATTTCACTGAGCCTCTCCTTCCTCTCTCTGAGCAGGTATCTGTACTGCGGAGAGATTTCTCTGCGACTGGACCAGGCCACACCTCTACACAAGCTGGCCGCCAAGTACCAGGTCCTGGGCCTCCAGCAGGGCATCACCCAGTACATGACCCAGAACCTGGCGCGGGAGTCCTCCTCGGGCCACGTGGCGGGCTGGTATGAGTACGCCCAGCAGGCCGGCGACGGCGCCCTGCGGGACAGCTGTCTGCAGTACATGGCGTGGAACCTGTCGTCGGTGCTGCAGGGCGGGGAGTGGGCCGCCATCAGCAGCCAGCTGCTCATGACGCTGCTGCAGCGCTCCGACCTGGTGCTGCAGAGCGAGATGGAGCTCTTCGCGGCGCTGGAGGCCTGGATCGTCCACAACGAGCCGGACGGGCTGACGGCGGAGAACGCGCTGAGAGCCGTGCGCTACGCCATGATGCCGCCGCGCGAGCTCTTCCGCCTGCAGACCCACTCGCCGGTCCTGGCCCGCTACCAGGAGTCGGTGCGCGACCTGCTGTACTTGTCCTACCAGTTCCACTCGGCGTCGCCCATGCACATGGCCAAGTTCTTCGACGTGAACTGCAGCCTCTTCATGCCGAGGAACTACCTGTCGCCGCTGTGGGGCTCGCCGTGGATCATCAGCAACCCCTCGCGAGACGACCGCAGCACCAGCTTCCAGACCCAGCTGGGGCCCAGCGGCCACGACTCCAGCAAGCGGGTGACCTGGAACGCCATGTTCTCGCCGCGCTGGCTGCCCATCGGCATGCGGCCCATGTACACGGAGGCGGGCGCCATGCAGCCCACGCGCGTGGACGGAGGGCGGCCCCGCATCATCATCACGCCGGCCACGTCCAGCGCGGACTTTGCCGGGGTGAACTTCCAGAAGACGGTGCTGGTGATGGCGCAGCAGCAGGGGAAGGTGGTGGTGAAACACGTCTACAACTTCCACCAGAGCACCGAGGAGAGCGGGGACTTCCTGGCGGAGGCCGACCTGCACCGCCGGACCTCGGAGTACCTCGTCGACGGCTCCCTCTTCCTCCACGTCGTGGTGAAACCGCTGTACCAAACCCTCATCACCATCAAGAATTAAGAACACAACCCACCCTTGTGAAGCCCCCTCTCACTCATATCACCGCGCGGGGGAGTGAAGCCCCCCGTGTGTGATGTTTGGATCGTGGTCTCTTTTCATCGGGCAACTAAAGAAAGTGGTGACCGTCTGAGGGCGTTTGGTGACGTCACCGTGAAGCGGGGCGGAGCCGTCTGGTGCTATTCTACATTTTCCTTCATGTCAACAGACGCAACAGAAACATCTTCTGCCATTGAACAACTCATACAGAATTCTGTGGTTTCCACGCATCAATAGTTCATGATGCACATGATATGTTCCTTCATCACCTGGAACACACACAGACACACACAGACACACACATAGTTGTTTATTTTGACTCACACAGCAAATGTGGATTTCTTCCACCGCAGAAAATAGTTCCCAACGTACAATTTGCTTCCATTTGAGTAACTGATGTTAACTATGTATAACTAGGTATTAGGAAATGACTGAACATTTGTTTTCAATAAAACAAAATATTGCGCTTAATCTATTAATGTTTCAGCAGGAACAGATGTTCTTTGCGGTTTGATCGGATTCGTTGACAATAAGTCCAATATTGGATTTCGCCCGCCTCATCTTATATGCTTGCAGTTCTGTTCCTTCTATGTTTTCTCTGTATTTGGTGCTGTGTGACCCGTTCACGTTTAGGGGCCTCGGTGAGTTTGATGGTTTCCAGCTCAAACAACATCTAGATGTCGACAAGTTGTTTGGAAGCAAAACGTAAAATAAACAGAAGTAACTTGGAGTTAAGAAATAAAACACTTCACAGCTTATGCTAATAATCTTACTGGGAACCAAACGTTGAACTTGAGTCATAACGTATTTATTAAACCTCTTATAAGCTCTGTAGATGTCGTGTACCTTCATTAGCTCACCAATGTGATTAAAGTCATCACTTAGATCCTCGCTGCATTAATCACTGTTACCTCAATAATAAAGATTTTTACTGAAAGTTTGAATGTGTATTTTGATTTCATCAGCAGTTTTATTTGAATCAAGTCACAGCTGAAAGGTGCAGCACGTGACCCTGTGTACAGGTGAGGGAAAATAAAACCAGTCAGTTTATCAATGATTCAACGTGAAAGCAACAAGCTGCAGATGAACTAACTGAAGTCACTAAAACAAACCAAATTGCTTCAGTATCAACGTCACAATATCTGTGATAAACCTAAAATCACGAGTGTTACTTTAGCAAACGTCGAAGGCCGCGGACTCCGTTTCCCGTGAGCCTTTGCGCGCCGAGCAGGAAGGGGCTCACACTGATCCCAGGCTCGGCCCGTCATGTAGCTGCTGCGGACGCATTCTTTGCGCTGCATTTGCAGAATTACGCGATTCCCGCTCCGGGGGGGGGGGCCCGTGCACCGACCCGCGCGCTCCGCACGCAGGAAGCCTGCGCGTGCATGAAGGATCGCGGCTCGTCCAATTGTTTGGCGCATCTTCTGTTTGCAAAGCTCGAGCTGCTCCGCGGCGATGGAGGGAGGGAGCGAGAGAGACGGCAAAGTCTTCTGTGCAGCCCCTCCCCCCCCCCACCCGAGCAAAGGGGAAATGTCTCAGCCGAATCGAGGTAAGCACGCGCGCCGACCCGTGCACCGACCACCGACATGCAATCACGGCTGCACGGTCTGCAACGTGCACGCGCTGCACTCCCGCGGGTCACGACGGGTCAGTTGCGTTTCCGGTTTCACGTGCTCCCCGGTGCACAGTTCCTGCTGACACGGTGCTGCGTGTGCTCGCTCCCGTTGACGTTATTAGCCGCGCACAGGCGGGGATGTCAGTTTCTAAACTGAACTGTGCACGGACTGACGCACGGCCCGTGCACATCGCTCAAGGTAGATCATGACATGGGTACGTGTGCGCGCGCCGCCTGCAGCTGTCGGGCTCAACTTTGGAGTGTTGATCCGCTTCTGCTAATGAGGCACAACATAGAAAGCTAATAATAGAATTTGTTTATGAGCATCCAAGTGGTGGTGCGTTCAATAACGGGCCCCCCCTCTTGGCTTCCGTGCACGCTACTGGACATGTCCACAGCCCCGGATGTCCCGCCTGCATCTCCCCAGCGTGCACAGAAAACGCGTCACACTTTGACCCCCCCCCCCCCCCAAAACTTTATCAGCAGCACTGCGCTCGTGGAGCAACGTCCTGCAGCCCTGAAGGATCCTCAAGCAGCTGCAGTGAAACAACAGCCTTTTCTCTTCTCTCTGTGTGTGAAATGCCAAGTGGGGCGGCTCGTTGCACAACGTGCTGCACGCGCGCGCGCGCACGCGCAGGTGGCAGAGAGGAATATGCATAATGGTCACACGTTTATGCTGTTTGTCTCTGTACGGGAATGAGTCGGTCCGGGACTTTCCTGTTGAGCAGAAGTAGGTTTCTGTTGTAATTCATTGATGATGTGCGCTGCAGGAAGCATCCACACACACACACACACACACACACACACACACAGAGCTGAAAGCAGCAACGATCAATTGTTCACCACAAGGTTTATTTTTATGTCTTTGACCTGGCAGAGAGAACAAAATGGCACAAGGGACTTTGGAGGAACGCTGTGTGATGAGAAGATTACAGAAAATACAACTATGTCGAAAAATGAGTCTGTATTGATAATAATTCTTTCTGTTGCAATTCCTCCAACTCATGAAAATAAGACACTTTTCTGTTGTTTAAAGCGCTCAAATGTTAAATCTTTTACCATATTCGGAGAGTGTTGGTGTGACATAGAGACCTGTCAATCAGCGTGTAGCCCCGCCCTAAAGCGTCCCCTGCTGCTAGTCTGTTTGACTCTAAATGGACCATCATTCACTAAATAAACATCATGCTGGATGAAGAAGACTTGAAACTAGAGACTGAGACCATGAACTCATGTTTACAACGTTTACTGAGGGAATAAATCCAGAGAGAAGTAGAGTCATTTCCTCATAGACGTCTATGGGAGCAGAGGAGTCGCCCCCTGCTGGTCACTACAGAGAAGTAGAGTCATTTCCTCATAGACGTCTATGGGAGCAGAGGAGTCGCCCCCTGCTGGTCACTACAGAGAAGTAGAGTCATTTCCTCATAGACGTCTATGGGAGCAGAGGAGTCGCCCCCTGCTGGTCACTACAGAGAAGTAGAGTCATTTCCTCATAGACGTCTATGGGAGCAGAGGAGTCGCCCCCTGCTGGTCACTACAGAGAAGTAGAGTCATTTCCTCATAGACGTCTATGGGAGCAGAGGAGTCGCCCCCTGCTGGTCACTACAGAGAAGTAGAGTCATTTCCTCATAGACGTCTATGGGAGCAGAGGAGTCGCCCCCTGCTGGTCACTACAGAGAATGCAGCTTTAACACTTTTCAGAATTGGAGGCTGCCGAAACACGATTACAAGTCTGATGGACACATCTGTGATGCTCTGAGTGAAGAACACTGCTCCGGTGAAATAAGCATCCCGGTTCTGTCCTCGTCGCTCTGATCGTTGGTCTGATGTGCTGCATTAGCAGTGAGTTGTTCACATGATCCACTTACCGTACTTCTCTTGTCCTGGGGGGGGGTGTTACTGACAACGCATGCACACATTCCGACGGCAGCAGTGTTCCCAACCACCTGCGACAGGTGTGACCCTGGAGCGGCCATCTTTAGAGGTCTTTAGATCACCAGCACACTGCCCCCCCCCACCGGACTCCCTCCCCCGCTCTGTGATTGACCCGTCTTCCTCCGTCTCTGCGGAATTCCATTCAGGGAGCTCTTGGGATTGTTGGAATTCCATTCATTGCGTGTGTGCGCGTGTGTGTCTGTGTGTGTCTGTGTGTGTGTGTGTGTGTGCGCGCAGCAGGCGCCATGTGATCCAGCGGCTCGTTATCACACAGGCCAGCTGTCATCTGCCCACACGAACACGCACGCACACGCACACGCCACCCTTCCCTGTATGTAGCTCTATTACTTTGCAGGCCGTCTCTCGGGCGTGGCGACCCGTCTCCCCCCTCCCTGTGGATGGCGCTCTGCACTCAGGATGTCGTGTGCTGCTTCTAACCAGCCCGCCGCGCCTCGGCGCGCTGCGTAGGTTTGAGGCCGAGCACGGCGGGAATAAACAAGGGAATCGTGTGTTTGAGTTATGCAACGAAATCTGGAGACCGGAACGGCCGCACGGATTACGTAACAGGAAAAGATCCAACATCCCTGCAGCAAGTCGGCTGTGTTGTCTCCCGCCTCCATTAAACATCAGCAACGATCCTTCTGTCAGTGAAGAACCGCTGTGTGTGTGTGTGTGTGTTTGTGTTTGTGTGCGTGCGTGTGCGTGTGCGTGTGTGTGTGTGTGTGTGTGTGTGCGTGTGTGAGCAGAGACCGTTGGTTTCCACTGACTATTGTGGTCTGAGTGAATGCACGTAGGAGGGGCTCAGACCGGCATTCTTGGTGCAACAAAGCTGCTTTGCAGAGTGGAGCGAGGAGGAGGTCCACGGTGGACCGGGACGCACACACTGTGTGTGTGTGTGTGTGTGTGTGTGTGTGTGTGTGTGTGTGTGTGTGTGTGTGTGTGCGTGCTGACGGATCCACAGCAAAGTGAAAGTTTCCAGTTCCTCTTGTGGAGCCGTCCATTGTCATTTGAAGGCGACACACCTTCAGTTCGCCATGACATCAGAAGGGCGGCGGTCTTAAGTATCACCTCCAGCTTTGGTGCGTCAGCTGCTCAGAGCGTCACACACACACACACACACACACACACACACACACACACACACACACACCCCAGCAACCTGTGACGCTCTGTCAACACGGTTGTTATTCCAGTGCAGCACCTCCAGATGAAGCAAGCACACCTGACCTGCCAGACCTCCTCCTCGCCGCCGCCTTCTTCTTCTTCTTCTAGCGTTGCATGCAGTGCGGATCTGGAGCCGCTCTCCTCCTCCGAACGTGAGTGAGCGATCGCACGGGAAGCGTTGGACTCGCGCGCGAGGCGGCTGCAGGAAGCACTTGTTCTAGTTCCCTGTGGAGAGGCACACGCGTGTCACTCAAACGGAAGTCCACGTGAAGTTCTGTTTTGGCGCTGGGGGGGGACGACCCACTGGCGCTGACGTGGAGAAACTCGGCGTGCTTCCATCTCGCTCCTCAGCCTGTTTGTGGCACACGGGACCAGCGGAGACGCTCAGCGCCGATCCCGTTAATGTGTCGCCCCCTGTGGACCAGAGCGCTGGCGTGTTAGAAGAAGTCTCCTTGTACCGCGGCGGGGGCCCCTCGCAGCCCCCTCCCCCAGGCTGGTTCTGGTTCTGGACCAGCATGGACTCTGCTTCTCCACCATTGCCTGAACAAGTGATTTCTAACGATGTGCTTTGCGTTTCCAGGTAAGAAGAAGCTGAAGCTGCCCAAGGAGGCGTTTGAGCAGCCCCCCCCCGCCGCCGTGTAAGACTCCGCCCCCTGTGGGCCGGATGCTGATACCATAATAATGATAATCTAATTTCATAATAATAATCCAACACAATAAGAGCATTTTTCAATTTGATGTCTTAATTTGTCATCTCCCCCCCGGAGGTTGATCCGGTTTAACAGCAACGTTCCGTGTGTTTCAGACCCCCCAGGGATTTGGATTCCAAAGCCTGTGTGACCATCGGAGAAAAGGTCATTTTATTCCTCGTTCCTCTCCACGCTTTCTCCCCTCTTGCATCGCACTCTCTGCTGACGGTAGCGTAAAGAAGCATCGTGGATGGCGGGAAGCTTTTTATCGCTCAGTAAAAATATCTGCTTCATACTCGTATAGTAATAATAACACGAGTAGGTGTTCGCTGATCCAGACTTCAGGCGGTTGATGACACGTCGTCCCGTCATCATAAAGTCACTTCTCAGGAATAAGTTTCAAGTCTTTTTTTGCTTCGGGTTAGAAATCCACCAATTTTACAAAGTCTATTTAAAACAGAAAAAACACCGTTAAACAGACACTTAACATTTTTCGCCTAACCTCTGACCTCTGACCTCTTACCCTCCGGATCAGAATTTCGAGGTGAAGGCCGATGACCTGGAGCAGATCTGCGAGCTGGGCCGAGGGGCGTACGGCGTGGTGGACAAGATGAGGCACGTGCCCAGCGGCCTCATCATGGCCGTGAAGGTCCGTCCGATTCCTAAAACCACTCATTTCATTCTTATTACGTTCGGTTCGTCTATTTATTCAAACACAACGTCTTTCTATTCACTTCCTGTCGCCCTCCAGCGGATCCGGGCCACCGTGAACACGCAGGAGCAGAAGAGGCTGCTCATGGACCTGGACATCTCCATGAGGACGGTGGACTGCTTCTACACGGTCACCTTCTACGGGGCGCTCTTCAGAGAGGTAGCCTGGGCCGCGAGACCGCCTGCCGACCCACAATGCATTGCGGTTTCTTGACTGCAGAGGAAAGCCTTTGGCGCCTGTTCGTGGCTGTGAAGTCGTTTGGATGAACTTCCTGTTCAGGGTTTCCTCGTTTTGACGTTAAACACACACAGACAAAAAAAAATCAGTCGCTTCCCATCTGCCCGCCTGCAACGTGTCCCCCCCCCTCCTCCTCCCTGCCCCCTTCATCGCCCTCCTCGTCTGTTGCCAGGGCGACGTGTGGATCTGCATGGAGCTGATGGACACCTCCCTCGACAAGTTCTACAAGCAGGTGATCGAGAAGGGCAGGAGCATCCCCGAGGACATCCTGGGGAAGATCGCCGTCTCGGTGGGTTTGGCCCCTAGACGCCGGCGTCGCGCCGCCCTGCAGCTCCCGCCGGCTAACTGCCGTCTTTGTCCTTGCAGATCGTAAAAGCTCTGGAGCACCTGCACAGCAACCTGCAAGTCATCCACCGAGGTGAGAGCGGCCGCCGTCGGGGGGGGGGTTGGTGGTTACCGGCAGGTGGTGCCGTAGTTCTGTGAGGAGCCGCTAAAGCTGCCGCTCTCTCCGCTCGCAGACGTGAAGCCCTCCAACGTGCTGATCAACACGCAGGGCCAGGTGAAGATGTGCGACTTCGGCATCAGCGGCTACCTGGTCGACTCCGTGGCCAAAACCATGGACGCCCGGCTGCAAACCCTACATGGCGGTGTGTGTGTGTGTGTGTGTGTGTGTGTGTGTGTGTGTGAGAGAACAAGGAGTTAAACATGACACCCAAAGGTGCAGGTCGCCCCCGATGACCGCTGCCATGAGTGACACCCTGTCTGTCTCTTTACCGCAGCCGGAGAGGATCAACCCCGAGACCAACCAGAAGGGCTACAGCGTCAAGTCGGACATCTGGAGTTTGGGAATCACGATGGTAAATGTGCTTTGGTGCCTTCTGGCGAGAGGAACCTGCGGTCGCGTGATGCTCGGCTGGCGGCGTTAAATATTCATAGCGTCCTCGTTTGCAAATGTCCAACTCCCGACTAGAGAAGATTTTTGGCGTGACGGATTGAGTCGTCTGTGAACGGGATCCGTCATCCTGCTTCTTCTGCGTTCGTAGCGAGGAGAGTTCAGCTCGTCATCACACGGCGAGACATAAAAAGCCACTTTGTGCGGATTTAAAGCCTTTGTTCCTCCTGAGAGCGAATCCTTCCTTATTATTTCTATCGACTGCGTTTGAATGCACGTTTGTCTGTTTCAGATCGAGCTGGCCATCCTGCGCTTCCCCTACGACTCGTGGGGAACGCCGTTCCAGCAGCTGAAGCAGGTGGTGGAGGAACCGTCGCCACAACTTCCCGCCGAGCAGTTCTCCCCCGAGTTCGTGGACTTCTCCTCTCTGTGGTGACTCCTTTTTGTCTTAATTGGCCAGAACGTTTGTAATCGTTCAGCGGCGCTTTATTCTGAAAAGCAGTTGAGATCCGTTGTACCAAACACCAGACGCCAAAGTTGAAGGTGCGGTTTAATTTCCCCCTCGGCCTGCTCACCTGCAGCGACGCCGAGAGGAAGCGAGAGTGAGAATAAGTGGATCTGGTCTGAGGTCAGTACGCGACTCGACGTCACGTCTCCCTCAATTCGTCTTTCTTCTTCTTCTCCTGCAGCTTAAAGAAGGTTTCCAACGAACGGCCGACGTACACAGAACTCATGGTGAGTGTTTGACGGCGCAACGCGTCGGCCGCACACTAGAGGGCGCACAGCGGCAGTGACACTCGCCACTGCGTCCCTCTGGTCTGAACATGAAACAAACCAATCAGGGCCCAGCCCCTGCACGCTGCGTAGCGGGTTAGCTTAGCCTGCGTCCCCCCCCCCCCCCCTCCCCTCTGGGAGCACGGTGTGTGTTGTCGTGTTTGTGTACTAAATGCGCGTCGTCTCCTCCTCAGCAACATCCCTTCTTCAGCTCCCACGAGGCCAAAGAGACGGACGTGGCGAGCTTCGTGAAGGTCATCTTAAGGGACTGAGGCCAGAAGGGAAAATACAACCGAGGAAAAGCACCGATCGCAGCCCCCCCCCCCCCCCCCCCCCCCCCCGCAGGAGGGTCCTTAAAGCTGCGCTTTGGTCCCATGTTTCCCGCCTTCTACTCCAACGATGTCGGCGAGTCGGCCGTCCAGAGTCCAGGTCGTCGTGGTCAAACTCCGGGTTTTATTTTCTTTCTTTTTCTTTTGGCTGAAAAAAGCCGGAGAGAAAAGACGCAGATTATATATATAAATATAAATATATGTATGTGTAATCTAAATGGTTGTATTCTCAAAGTGTTGCATTGGTTTAATTTTTGACTGCATGTACAGAATTTATCTCTCAGAACTGAACTTCGCTTAATGACAGCAGGTGTGTGTGTGTGTGTGTGTGTGTGTGTGTGTGTGTGTGTGTGTGTGTGTGTGTGGTGGTTTTTGGTCGCACACATTGATTTCTTTCTGACTCTTTGATGAATCCGGGAGCCCAATCTGCTGGACTCTGTCGGTTGTCATGGTGACCGCGGTACTTCTCGTGTTTCAGATGCCTGTTTATTTGCGTGATGATAACGGTTGGGTTCAGAAGCGTATTTGTCACTAATCATGAAACAAAAAGGTCCCGATAAAAGCCCAGCGGGATTGTGGGTAAGAAACCAACCCGGAGTCCGGATCCTTTTACGATCCGGCTTGTGTTTTACTCGTTGTACTAATCTGCAACTCCAAACACCGGAGTGGAGGTCGACTGCCCAGGCGGGTGAAATAGTGTGTGTGTGTGTGTGTGTGTGTGTGTGTGTGTGTGTGTGTCCACGCTGGTCAGACCCCCCCTTGTTTTTACTGAGCCATCAACGTTCTCCACATGAGAAGAACTGGATGTTATTACTATTACTGTTATTACTATTCTATTACTGGTGGTATTTATTACTGCCGGTCAGCGCTTTGACTGTAACGTCTGTGCCTATCAGTAGGAAAGCCGGGATGACCTCATCACAACAGCCCCCCCTCCACACTCTGCATCACAATCCCACTTCCTGTTTGTGTTCCTCGTTGTGGGCGGAGCCTAGCGACGTGCGGCGAGAAAGCGCCTCGGCGTTTAGTTTTTCCCTGATGAAATCGCCGCCGTGGTCGTCGTTAGTCACCACCATTGTTACGCTTAAAGCTCCAGGTGTGATTTAAAAGACTTAAACATGAAGCGTGTGTGTGTGTTTCAGACAGCGAGGCCCCCTTAGGGGGGGTCACTGACGTCACGCCTGTAGAAACGACTCTCTGTCCCCTTCAGTGCGTCTCCGTCCTCCGGTGTCTCTCTCCGGGGCGCCGCGTGCCGCCGTGATGACATCATCACACACTTTAAAGGTGGAATGTGGCGATCGAGTTCCACTTTTCAATGAAATGTCACAACTGTAAATGGTCAAATAGTCCCGCCCACAGTTTATTTACCCCCTAACGTCTACGGACGGCTTCGCTAAAAGGGCGACGCGGGTTGGAGTTAGGGTTAGTGGTGACCTTTCACCCCGAGGCCGAGACCAGATGTTTGTTTGGTTTTCTGAGGTTGTGAAATCTGCCGAGTCGTCGATGTGTGAGGTCACAAACTATTACAGCTAGAAAGTAAACGCATCCATATTCTAGTGATGAGTCGTGTCGTGGTTCCATGGGGCCCTTCACGGTCTTCAGAATCCTCCCTCCGACCCCTCCGACCCCTCTGACCCCTCTGACCCCCCCTCGCTGCGCCCTGCTAACCGCTGACTCGCATTCGCGTTCTAAAGCGTCCGATGAGCCGCCGAGCTGCGCGAGGAGCCTTTAGTTTTCTCTCTGCGAGCGTCCGTGTGCGACTTCCTGTCTGCGATGTCGGGTTCACCTGCTGAGTGACCCCTCCGTTACTGGGGAGGGGGGGGTGGAGGGGGGTCACTTCCCATCTGGAGACGTGTTGCTGGCGTGTGAATCCCGATGTCTTTTCTTTCACCGCCAGCGCTTCTCTCCACCCTTGAGCCATGACCTTTGAACCCACGGAGCTTTGTGTGTTGTGTTTGTTTTTATTCACAACGAGACCCGATAGGCTCCTGCAGGTTGGGGGGGGCGGGGTTACCATGGCGACGGCTCCTGGGCCCACGGAGGCTTCTCACTATATTTACACATCTGTAAAGCCTCTGCTAAAGACGGATGACTGTTCATTTACAGCTAAATGAATTTCTATGAATATTTTAGATGCTCAAACTGATGTGCAACTGTAACGATGGAAATTCAATAAAGAAAAGAGGTATTTTTACACTTTAAGGTCCTCGTTCGCTCTGTCGTCTCCGTTTGTTCTTTATGCTTCAAAAGCATTTAAAACAGGTTTGTTTGAACTTTAAACCGAAATATTAAAATTTAATTAAGTAGAAACCCTCCCGGGGGGGCGGACCTACCTGGTCCTGCTGCTTTCTCACACCCCACCTGCTCCCACGCGCTGTGACGCACGTCCCACAAGTGGACCGGCCGGGCCGGCGAGGCGTCTTCCTTCCTTCAGGGGTCAAAGTTCAGTTTGATAGAAAGTCAAACGGCGTCACAGAACAAAAACACGTTTGTGTTTATCGTTTTCACGTTGGGTGGGTCAACCCACCTCGGGGTCAAAGGTCACGGCAGAGCTGCTCCCCTTTAGTCTCCTCTGCTCCTCTTTAGTCTCCTCTCTGCTCCCCTTTGGTCTCCTCTGCTCCCCTTTAGTCTCCTCTCTGCTCCCCTTTAGTCTCCTCTCTGCTCCCCTTTGGTCTCCTCTGCTCCCCTTTAGTCTCCTCTCTGCTCCCCTCTCTGCTCCCCTTTAGTCTCCTCTCTGCTCCCCTTTAGTCTCCTCCGCTCCCCTTTAGTCTCCTCTGCTCCCCTTTAGTCTCTTCTGCTCCCCTTTAGTCTCCTCTGCTCCCCTTTAGTCTCTTCTGCTCCCCTTTAGTCTCCTCTGCTCCCCTTTAGTCTCCTCTGCTCCCCTTTAGTCTCCTCTCCGCTCCCCTTTAGTCTCCTCTGCTCCCCTTTAGTCTCCTCTGCTCCCCTTTAGTCTCCTCTCTGCTCCCCTTTAGTCTTCCCTCTGCTCCCCTTTAGTCTTCCCTCTGCTCCCCTTTAGTCTCCTCTCTGCTCCCCTTTAGTCTCTCCTCTGCTCCCCTTTAGTCTCCTCTGCTCCCCTTTAGTCTCCTCTCTGCTCCCCTTTAGTCTCCTCTCTGCTCCCCTTTAGTCTCCTCTCTGCTCCCCTTTAGTCTCCTCTCTGCTCCCCTTTAGTCTTCCCTCTGCTCCCCTTTAGTCTCCTCTCTGCTCCTCTTTAGTCTCTTCTGCTCCCCTTTAGTCTCCTCTCTGCTCCCCTTTAGTCTCTCCTCTGCTCCTCTTTAGTCTCCTCTGCTCCCCTTTAGTCTCTCTCTGCTCCCCTTTAGTCTCCTCTCTGCTCCCCTTTAGTCTCCTCTCTGCTCCCCTTTAGTCTCCTCTCTGCTCCCCTTTAGTCTCCTCCTCTGCTCCCCTTTAGTCTTCCCTCTGCTCCCCTTTAGTCTCCTCTCTGCTCCTCTTTAGTCTCTTCTGCTCCCCTTTAGTCTCCTCTCTGCTCCCCTTTAGTCTCTCCTCTGCTCCTCTTTAGTCTCCTCTGCTCCCCTTTAGTCTCTCCTCTGCTCCCCTTTAGTCTCCTCTCTGCTCCCCTTTAGTCTCCTCTCTGCTCCCCTTTAGTCTCCTCTCTGCTCCCCTTTAGTCTCCTCTCTGCTCCCCTTTAGTCTCCTCTCTGCTCCCCTTTAGTCTTCCCTCTGCTCCCCTTTAGTCTCCTCTCTGCTCCTCTTTAGTCTCTTCTGCTCCCCTTTAGTCTCCTCTCTGCTCCCCTTTAGTCTCCTCTCTGCTCCCCTTTAGTCTCCTCTCTGCTCCCCTTTAGTCTCTCCTCTGCTCCCCTTTAGTCTCCTCTGCTCCCCTTTAGTCTCCTCTGCTCCCCTTTAGTCTCCTCTTCTATTTTGATGTATTTTTCTTTGACATTGAGACTAAATGAAGCGGCGCGTATCGATGGTTTAAACCTTTGATGATTGAGTCCACGTCTCCTAGGAGCTCGTGGTTCCTCAGGCTGACAGCTGATGATCTCATGGAAACTCTTCTGAGCGCCTCACAAACTGCAGCTTGGTTGTAATGAGGTGCAGCCCTGGTGGGGGGGGGGGGGGGGGGAGGTGGGGAGGTGGGGGGGGCAGAGAGGTTCATTAAACCTTTGACTTGTAACCAAAAGCAGCCGTTTCATCCCGTTGTTTGTTATAGAAACATAAATGCGCCTACAGACAATAATCCACGTTTTACTCCAGAATATCTACAAACTAACTGACGCTTTATTCTCAGACGGATGAATTTACCAACATACAGAATTCACCTTGAAACTTACATTTGTACATCGTACATACACACATTCACACATTCTTCTCAAGCGTAAATGTGAAAATCTATAAAAAATAAATTAAACATAAAATGTTTCTGCAAAATAAATCCATGTTTCTATTAGTAAACGTATTACGAGAACAATGATGTCTGAACAAACCCGAATATGAACAACAACAATGTAATAATATTTATACATAAATACATTACGCTTAAATACAAAATGACGTCGTCGGAACTTCTGGTGGATTTAAGGGAAATCTGAAGACACAAACAGACAAAGTAAAATAAATATAAGAAGAAAATATACCAGATTATCTGAATGTGTGAGTCGCTTCCTCTTCTGTCCGTCACCAGAACGCAGGAAGAGCACTTATGGGGGGGGGGGGGGCACCTGCATTAGCTTGGGATTGGCTGCTTGGGAAAAAGGATGAAAACAGGATCTACAAGTCAAACAACATCCCGTGACCCCCCCTCCCTCCCTGAAGTGTTTTCCTCTGTGCAGAAAGCAGGAGGATCTCTTTCATTCGACGGTCGCCATGGGAACGAGAGCTTATCAGACCCTCGGTGACACATCGGATTCCTTCTAACCTTCTAACGCCGTAGAAATTCCCAGATTCCCGTTCGTCTGTTGTTCCTTCATCAAATGTGTAAACGTCATGACGGTTATGGACACAAATAAAAGAAATGCAGCTTATTGAAGGCACCTACTGCAACAAGCAAACCAATATGTATTTATTTATTTATTACACCACAAATAAGACAAACTAATAAATATGATGTATTAATGAACTGAAAAGTCAACACAGAAAAGAAATTTTCCACAGAATATTTAACTTCTAATCATCTTTATTTTAAATTTAAGAAATGGAACTTTATGGCAATCGATTACATGAAAACAATTCCCTCCTCAGAGTTAAACATAAATGCTTTGGAACAATTGATCACGTGGAAAGAGACAAATAAAACCAGGAAACGCATCAGCCAGTGTTGCTTTACTTTACCACACGCAGACACACGCACACGCACACACACACACACATACACACACATACACACACACATACACACACACACGCGCGCACGCGGAGCGCCGTCCTCAGAGGAAGAGGAAGTGAGCGCGTGTGAAGGGAAGAAGAAGTGTTAAAGTTATCAGCCTGCGTTTGGGGCCTTCCTGTGCACAACAAGTGCTTCCTGCTCCCGATCGCCAAACAACCCCCGAGGGGGGGGGGGGGGGGGCAGGGGGGCACGTGACACGAGAACCTGCCCTCCACTAAAACACAGGTGGAAACTATACGGCCTCTCTATCTAACAGAGGGTCCTACAGAGGCCCCCCCTCCCCCATGGAACATTCATGTCTTTCATTTAAGCACATTCCTGCACACACACACACGCACACGCACACGCACACGCACACACAGCTCATCATCTGCATGTTACGTTGGTCCAATGATCCTCTCGCTCTGATCGCTGCTGAGCTCCTCTGTCATCACTGCAGATTTACACACGACTTCCCCTCTGTGACACAACAAAGCCGATCCGGCTGGTTGTTCGTCACGTGACGCCGTCGTGTCGTCGGAGGGACACTCGGGGTCGTCACTCTGATCAGACATTTTCATCTAAAGGAAGAGACCAAATAAACAGACGATTAGCTTTCGTCTTGTTGTAACTGTCGTCTCCATGATGGATTCAGCTGATTTGAGTTGATTAGAGTGTAGGAACCTTATTACATACAACATACATGTATACGAACATGTATACATCACATACTCCACAGGTCACGCTGAACGACCCGGCAGGGGCTTCCGCGGTGTCGGCGCAGGAAGAGAGACCCCCCCCCCCGGCTCTACAATGTAAACAGCATGTGACCTACAGAGCGTGTTCACACCCACTACACGGGTTATATGAATACATACATGTGAGTGTCTCATTCAGATAGAAGCATGACGCCGGGGGACACCAACCAACCCGGGGGACACCGATCAACCCGGGGGACACCAACCAACCCGGGGGACACCGACCAACCCGGGGGACACCCAACCAACCTGGGGGACACCTGACCAACCCGGGGGACACCAGACCAAACCCGGGGGACACCAACCAACCCGGGGGACACCAGACCAAACCCGGGGGACACCCGACCAACCTGGGGGACACCCAACCAACCCGGGGGACACCCGACCAACCTGGGGGACACCCAACCAACCCGGGGGACACCAGACCAAACCTGGGGGACACCCGACAAACCCGGGGACACCCGACCAACCTGGGGGACACCCGTCAAACCCCGGGGACACCCGACCAACCTGGGGGACACCCAACCAACTCGGGGGACACCAGACCAAACCTGGGGGACACCCGACAAACCCGGGGGACACCCGACCAACCTGGGGGACACCCGACCAACCCGGGGGACTCGACTCGCTATAACACAAACTTCCTTTTCATTTCACCGCATCTCCTAAAGAAACGTTATTACGACGAAGGGCCAGCAGGAAGGGGAGAGGAAAGGAGGCAAGGAGGCAAGGAGGGCAGGTCCATCTTGAAGCCCAGCTTTATTGTGAATGGATGGGAGCAGTGAAACTTCCACAGAGGGGAGCAGGAATGTTCTTGGGGGGGGAGGGGGGAGGGGGTGGGGGGGCGTTGGTCGCCTCGCACAGTTTCTCCCCTCGTGGCTCGTTTCTGAATCGAGTGTCTCGATCCTTCTTTCTTTCCACTCGCGCTTCCTCTGTGTAACTCGAGACCACACAACTGGCAGCAGCTCGGGTGAAATGGTAAAATGAAAGCGGGGTTGGGGGGGCGGGAGGGGGAGGGGGGGGGGGGCTGAATGGATATAAAAATACTTTTTTTGACCGGTCACGTGTTTCTCTTCGTCTGAGAAGCCCACGCGATCACGTTCCTTGATATGTTTCCCCTTGTTAAAGGGAAACAGACACATGAGGGGCTCTATTTCAATTCTGTGAAGATGTGTTGGAGAGCAGCTGTCTGTCTGGGGGGGGGGGGGGGGGGGCATCTGTCCCCCCGACATTACTGTTGTTGTCCCTACGGACAGTAGTGTGTGTAATCCACCATTAAGACCAGTAGCTATGAGCTAGATATCATGTTGCCGTTGCTACATGGATGGAATCGTGTCGATTGCAAAGGTTCTTGGCGAGTTTGTGCAAACTTTTCCGACGAAGATGAAGTGCGTGAATTTTCCCACAGCCAATCGCCTCCGTTTAAAAGCAACATCGCAGCGAGCTCAGTGCACGGACGTGTGCGCGGCTGCTAGCAGCTAACGGTGCTAGCGGAGCTAAGAGTCAAAGAGTCGGCCATCTTTAAGGGAAAATCACATGGCCCCGTATTGTGTTTCCTGTTTGGTGCTAAAATCTTGAAAACGATGAAAAAGGGAATCTGTCACAAATATGATATGTGATGAATTGATGTCAGTTATTACTGATTACTTAAAGAATGCACGTTTAACACACGAAGCGCTGACTTCATTCCTCAGACCGGAGCTGTTTCCTGCATTTTACAGCAAAGGTTCTGATATTTGTCAATCCGGTGACCTTCTTCTGTGACTCAGCGTTCTTTGTGTCGAGCTCAAGGTCATAATCAGACTCCCACAGTTACAGACAAATAATCTCTGAGTGGAAACTAAATATGATCCGGGTTGATTCCCAGCATTATAACAGAAGTGGAAAACATTTCCTGATTCCCGTGTGATATTTTTATGTGGCGGCCGTCCTTTGATCAGTGAGCTGAGCCAAGAGATAAAAGCACGCAACTTGGTTGTTGTTGTTGTTGTTTACGCTTTTAACCCACCACCCTCCCAGTGGAAGGTAAACGGGGAGTATCGGTCTCCTTCCAGGTAGGCAGGTACCCTCTTTGTAGCGTGTCACACACAGGCAAACGCACACAGACGCACACACACAACCGCGCCCTCGGCCCTGCTGCTCCACGCTGGGAGAGCTGACGTAGGCCGGCGTCCGTAAACAGAGTAACACCGACTCTCCTGCAGCAGCTGGTTCCACCTATTGTTCCTCGCTGCCGGAGGGAGCGCGTCACGGCGAGGAGCGACCGGGAGCACCGCCTTCACACCGCCTTCACGCCGCCTTCACACCGCCTTCACGCCGCCTACACGCCGCCTACACGCCGGCTACACACCACCTACACATCGCCTTCACACCACCTTCACACCTCCTACACACCGCCTTCACACCGCCTACACACCGCCTACACGCCGCCTTCACGCCGCCTACACGCCGCCTACACGCCGGCTACACGCCGCCTACACGCCGCCTACACGCCGCATTCACGCCGCCTACACGCCGCCTACACACCTCCTACACGCCGCCTACACACCGCCTACACACCGCCTTCACACCGCCTACACGCCTCCTACACGCCGCCTTCACGCCGCCTACACACCGGCTTCACACCGCCTACACACCTCCTACACACCGCCTTCACACCGCCTACACGCCGCCTACACACCGGCTTCACACCGCCTACACACCTCCTACACACCGCCTTCACACCGCCTACACACCGCCTTCACACCGCCTTCACACCGCCTACACACCGCCTTCACACCTCCTTCACGCCGCCTACACGCCGCCTTCACACCGCCTACACGCCGCCTACACGCCGCCTTCACGCCGCCTTCACGCCACCTTCACGCCACCTTCACACCACCTTCACACCTCCTACACACCGCCTACACGCCGCCTACACGCCGCCTACACACCGCCTACACACCGCCTTCACACCGCCTTCACACCTCCTACACACCGCCTTCACACCGCCTTCACACCGCCTACACACCTCCTACACACCTCCTACACACCTCCTACACACCGCCTTCACACCGCCTTCACACCGCCTACACACCGCCTTCACACCTCCTACACACCTCCTACACACCTCCTACACACCGCCTTCACACCGCCTTCACACCGCCTACACGCCGCCTACACGCCGCCTTCACGCCGCCTACACGCCGCCTACACGCCGGCTACACGCCGCCTACACGCCGCCTACACGCCGCATTCACGCCGCCTACACACCTCCTACACGCCGCCTACACGCCGCCTACACGCCGCATTCACGCCGCCTACACGCCGCCTACACACCTCCTACACACCGCCTACACACCGCCTTCACACCGCCTACACACCGCCTTCACACCGCCTACACGCCTCCTACACACCGCCTACACACCGCCTTCACACCGCCTTCACACCGCCTACACACCGCCTTCACACCTCCTTCACGCCGCCTACACGCCGCCTTCACACCGCCTACACGCCGCCTACACGCCGCCTTCACGCCGCCTTCACGCCACCTTCACGCCACCTTCACACCACCTTCACACCTCCTACACACCGCCTTCACACCGCCTTCACACCGCCTACACACCGCCTTCACACCTCCTACACACCGCCTTCACACCGCCTTCACACCGCCTACACACCGCCTACACACCGCCTACACACCGCCTACACACCGCCTACACCACCGCCTACACACCGCTACACACCGCCTACACACCGCCTACACACCGGCTACACACCGCCTACACACCGCCTACACACCGCCTACACACCGGCTACACACCGCCTACACACCGCCTACACACCGCTACACACCACCTGACTGGTCTTCAGAGACAGAAGGCTGTCTTCATTCTGCACAACGTGACTTGTTGAGAATGGAGAGATTCTTCTCTCAAGGTTCGACAGTAAAAAATAAACTTTTATTCCTGTTTGCAACCAAATAGCTTTGTTTGTTGTTGTGTTTGTTGTCGTTGTGCAGAGCCTCGACAAGTCTACAGACCACTGCTGGCCAGCTCATCAATAACAACTCAAACGTGACCTGTGACCTCTGCCGTCTGCACGTTGCCACTGTTTTTCCTGTGGGTTTTCCCTTTTATTCGCTGTGGGATGCGGTTACAGGAAATCTTTTTTTCTGTTCTTTCCCTGAAGTTAGGAAGTCGTTGCGTATATTTAGAGCACAGCTGTCCACATGGACGCGTCCAAGGCCTTCGAGTGGCTCATTTAAGGTGAAGGCGACCAAACTAAAACACGAGCTGGGGGCCAAGCGGGTACATCAACCCGACGTCCCTACGGCGCTGCGGCAGAAACACGTTTCCTCACACTTGAACCCGGGAGGAGGAGCGCTAGTTAGCATTAGCTGTTTTATGTGTACGTTTCATCATTTTAATTAAATATTGGGGTTTTATGTCATCGTCAATTGCGAATGAGTTTCAGTTTTAGAGTCACTTTGAGAACTATCGAGGGCATTATTCTCTATTTACTGACAATGTAATCAATCCATTCTTCATGAAATTATAATAGGAATATATATGTAATACAATACAAGTGGACCAATAGAAGCAGAGACTGAAGAAATGGACGATCAGTAACAAATGTCCCAAAGTCTCCTCACGGGAACCAGAGAGACGGCCGTGAATCTTCTTCACTGTTCACTGGACGCTCCGCCGGGTTTCCCCCCCACCGTGCACGTTCCCCCCACCGTGCACGTTCCCCCCCACCGTGCACGTTCCCCACAGCCAGCTGCCCCCCCCCTGCTTAGAAACAGCTGTGCGTGTGTGTGGAAAAAGGGTGTGACGGACAGGGGACAATAACGGACAGGGCCGAGGTCCAATTTTAGATTCGGCTGACCGGTTTCCAGAGATTCCAGAGGAGTGTTTCAGGAAGAGCGAGAACAACTGCTGCGCAACACGAAACTCCCTCCCGACAGCGGCTTCGTCCCCTCGTGGTGCAAGAATTTCATTTATTTCCACGTGCAGGAGGGTGAGGCTGCGCTCGCCTCCCGTCACCGGGACCCTGCAGGACTTCACAGTAGCAACCGGCTTATTTACAGCTGGTGAGTGAAATGTAGACCTCTAACTACGGTGAGACCGGTTCACATAGAGGATCAGGACTGACGTGAGACTGGTTCACATAGAGGATCAAGACTACAGTGAGACTGGTTCACATAGAGGATCAGGACTACAGTGAGACTGGTTCACATAGAGGATCAGGACTACAGTGAGACCGGTTCACATAGAGGATCAGGACTAACGTGAGACTGGTTCACATAGAGGATCAGGACTACAGTGAGACTGGTTCACATAGAGGACCAGGACTACAGTGAGACTGGTTCACATAGAGGACCAGGACTACAGTGAGACTGGTTCACATAGAGCATCGAACTACAGTGAGACTGGTTCACATAGAGGATCAGGACTACAGTGAGGCTGGTTCACATAGAGGATCAGGACTACAGTGAGACCGGTTCACATAGAGGATCAGGACTACGGTGAGGCTGGTTCACATAGAGGATCAGGACTATGGTGATACTGGTTCACATAGAGGATCAGGACTGACCCGACTCCCCTCGGCCTTCTGCTTGTGAGGAGGAAACAGCTGTTAAACGCCGGGCGGATGCAGACAATGAATCAGATCAGTATCACACACCTGGGGGGTCGAAGCAGGTGAAGCAGCACAAGGTCAAAGGTCGCCCTTTGATTAAAGATGACAGATTATGGGTGGAATGAAGTCTTTACTTGTACTTGAGGTAATTCATCCGTTTCTGTTTCCCAAAGCTGCTTTTGCCCGTTTGCCGTTTCACTGTGACGAGACGGGAAGAGGAAGAAGCGTCGGAAAGGATCTCGCATCCACAACAACATGCCGATCACACGAAGACGGCCTTCAGGGGGTTCGAAGGTCAAAGCCGTGAGGCTGCAGGCGAGAACATCACTTTCCTCCATTTACTGTGACCAACACGCACAAGTTCATCACTGCAAAATGTGGATTCACTGCATTTCGATGCATTTCTTTGAACATGCTCGTATTTTGTTGTGTTTAGCAGACGGTCACTCGGTGTGTCGAGTCTTCCTGCATCCAGCTGTGACGCCTCCACCTGACGGGTGCCGCTGGCCTCCTCTCGATCGCGCGCTACTACATGATTCCTCGCCGGTTTAAAGCCCTAAAGCCGACTTGTGCTTCTTTGTTTCAGTGGAAAGATACAGGACCGGAGGAGGGGCTGCTGGGTAATTCCCATAAACCTGAAATGATATCAGCTACAGACACCAAAGGCCCGCTGACGGCTTTATTATTCACTACGTTCATGAACGCGTCTGTCTGTTATCTCGGGGAAGAGAAACTCTTTCCCTTAAACGTTTATTACATCAAGCATGAAGAAGAGGTAGAAAAGGTCGTGGGAAATGAAAGCTCTGCGGTGGTCTGACACCGATGGCTTCGGATTAATCAGTTATCAATTATTAAAATAGCAGGAGGCTCAATATTTGTTTCCCACGGGAAGCTGAAACGAGGTTCACTTGAAGCCTGTGAGTCCTTTTTCAGCTCAGTCAACAACAGTCACCTACTTCTTATAAAAGGTTCACGGTCTCCTTCCCACATCGACCGTAAAATGAACCCTCGCCAAGTCCACCAGATTATGGGTCATAAGTCTTGTTCCCTTTCGCTTTCGTTTCCGCTCCCACTCAGTCACGTCGTCTCAATATAATTATGCTTTTCTTCCTTTAGCGTTTCTAACGTCTCTTCCTGTTCACGCGACGAGGTCACCCTGAAGTTTGGGCTTCCCCCCCCCCAGCGTCACAGTTCCTGAACCCTCTCTTTTCTCTTGGTTGACGGACTGCAGGGGGGTTTCTCTGCCTCAAAAACCCCCCCCCCTCGATGGAGGAAGGAAAAGTTTTCCCAGGGAACATCTAAGGACTCTCTACCTCTGCTATGGGTGAAAAACCCTCCACCGTGGGCTGAGCCTGGTTGTTCCTCAAAGCCTTTTCATTTAGATCCTTCAGCTTTGTGCCCCCACGTCAAGACCTGAGGACATCAAGGTCTGCTGTGCTCTGCGATGAGCTCCTCAGCCTCCGGGAGACTTCTGAGTCCTGTCGACATTGATGAACAGCGCCCTGTTTTCACAGGGAATACAAACATCGTGTTCTCCGTCGGGGCGACCCCTCGGGACATGGATGGTCCTCCGCGTCAGAGGACCCAGAAGCCATCAAAGGATTCCCTGGTTCCTCACGCTGGAGAAGACCTGCGTGAGGAACCAGGGACCAGAACCAACGACCCTCGGCGGGGTGGATCCCCTTGTGAGGACCCTGAAGGCATCCGTTATGTCAGCAACAACCACATACACATATATATATGTGTGTGTGTGTGTGTGTGTGTGTGTGTGTGTGTGTGTGTGTGTGTGTGTGTGTGTGAGTGTGTGTGTGTGTGTGTGTGTGTGTGTCGCACAGTAGAGGTAATGTGGTTAAAGTCTAACCGTCGGTAAACGATCCCGACACCGTGAGCCGTGTTTACCCGACGCCACACGCCCCGGTTGCCATGACGCGGCAAATGCAGCGAAGCGACGACTCTGACTGAGGACACACACACACACACACACACACTCTCACACACACACACACACACACACACACACACACACGCACACACACACACACAGCTCCATTAGCACCCATAAAAAGCCGAGCCTTGTCAGCATCAATCAGCCTGTTATTGTGAACTCTTAGTGGAGGTGTACAGGCGCCCCCCCCCCCCACCACCACCTCCATCCGTCCCCCCATGATGTGTGCACACCCCATGTGATCCCGTCCTCCACGCGGTGACCATAAGAGGCATCTGACTCCGTGACGCCAGCTTGTCTCCTCTTTCAGAATAGACAAACGCTTCATTTGTTCCGTTGAAAATGATGCCTCAATTATGCCCAAAATGTTTTCATCCAACCGGGACTGTGTGAAGCCAACCGGATGATGCATGTTGACTAAGGGTTTATAAATATGTCACTTCACATGTAGATATTCTCGTGAAGTGTAATCACACGGGTGGAGGAAGCCCCCCGTCCCTTCCTGTGCACCACCTGTTTGAATGGTTCCACGGCGACAGGATTCTTCCTCAATTTAAAAGGTAGCGAGCGAAGAGTCTCAGCCTGTCGGAGCGTTGAGGGAGACATTTCTCTATTCTTCTCTGCGTTATTCTCCTAAACAACAGGGGGCGCACAAACTAAAGTCATCGAGCAAATGACAGAAGTGACAAAGCAGGACGTTCTGGATTTGATCTTTTTAAAATGAGGCAAAGCGAAGGGACACAAGTCTTTGGTGTTCTAAAGACACCTTTTGTTTTCTTGTATTAAAAGCTCAGACACGCTTTGCATGAACGCTGATCCCCAACCAGCCGTTGGGTGAATTATTTCATTATGTTCCCTCCTTGCTGCTGCGCCGTGCTCGTCTCCAGGGAGCACAGAGCTGACGTGGTTGGTTGTTAGCGTCCTCACACTTTAAGCCGTGTCCATGGCAGCGGCTGGAATGTCTTCCTGAGGACTTCACAAGATGTGACTGACACATTTTGTGCTTTTACTTCCTGTTGGGATGTTTAAACAACGTGATGATTCTTTCAGATTTAGTTCTGGCTCAACGAGTCACTCATTTGCTCTCTTAAACCCAGCAGTTCTTTATGGACAGATTCACTTTCACAGGGCCAGACTTTTACATTGCTGTGTCACTGGGGATGCATTCAATTCAATTATATCCATTTAAAAACCTGAAAGTAGCCCTGGCTCAAGTGCAAAATCTTCCCAAAAGCTGTTTACTTCTAACAGCTGGTTTGTCCACCACAGGTTCATGAGCTAAAGCTGCATTCTCTGTAGTGACCAGCAGGGGGCGACTCCTCTGCTCCCATAGACGTCTATGAGGAAATGACTCTACTTCTCTGTAGTGACCGGCAGGGGGCGACTCCTCTGCTCCCATAGACGTCTACGAGGAAATGACTCTACTTCTCTGTAGTGACCAGCAGGGGGCGACTCCTCTGCTCCCATAGACGTCTATGAGGAAATGACTCTACTTCTCTGTAGTGACCAGCAGAGAGCGACTCCTCTGCTCCCATAGAAGTCTATCTAACATAAGTTTAAGTCTTCTTCAATGCAGCATGATGTTCATTTAGTGAATTATGGCCCATTCAGAGTCAAACAGACCATAAAGCAGGAGACACTTTAAGACGGGGCTACACTGTGATTGACATTTCTCTACCAGAGACGTCTACGGCGTCTCTATGTCCTCCTCAGTCCTGATACGGTCACTTCCTTAGTGAAACCAGGAGCAGTGTTTCTGGTTTCCTTCACCTCCTTCGCGTTGCGTTGGATGTCTGTAAAGGAAACACAACAACGTTGTTTTATGACTTGGGTTGAACTCTGCGTTTTTTTAAAGCCTGTGATTGGCTGGCTGGTCGTGAGCGCCGGGTTCTCCGGGTCAGCGGTATAACAATCCCATCCCGTCCACAGCTGCTGTTTTCCGTCACCACACTGACCAGTGAATACCCCGTCCCCGAGCAGTTAATCCCTCTCTCTGTTTGCATGTACATATCTGGCACACGCAGCATTGAGGCCTTATCCAGAGCTTCTGTGGTGTCCATTTAATCATTGACAATGTCTTTGTGTATCCTGCGCGATAAAACGCGCCCGGCCGCTACGCGTCACACGTGGAGCGTTTAAACACGCTTTACTGTGACTATTAACCCCCCCGAGGTTTATCTGCCTGTACCAGGTTGAGGTCGAACCCAAAGAGATTCAAATCTAAAGACATATAAATCATCCAAACGCATTAAAATCTTTGTTTGACAAAATTGTTTTTGCATTTTACTCACTTTATTTCATCAATAACCACAATCGTTCTGTGGATCGACTAATCCAATACACAATCTGCAAAATTCTTCCTCTTCCTGTTTTGACCTGCAGCTCTAATCTGGTGGTTATTTATAATAGAAATCATCAGGAGTGGTCGCGGCATATTTTTCCACATTTTTTATTTATTGTCCCGGCACGGATGTTCAATGTGCATCAACCACGTGGACCACAAAAGAGCAGCGATATCACAGCGCCGCTCACATCGTTCAAATTCTTTGGCCTTTTTTTGCCCAGCGGGGACATTGTGGTGGCGGTTCCCGGGCGGATAATAGGAGGATCACGGCGCTTTGACTCGGAAACCTTTTATTGTCCCTGGTGCTGCATTCTTCACCCAGGTGAGGCAGATGGATCCCTGCGCTTTCTGACCCTGTTGGTTCTCCTCTGTTCACGAGATGTGAAAGGTCCTTTAGAGGGGCTTTTATTTTGTTAAAGGTGTCAGTATTCAGCGTGGAGACGATTGAGCACAGGCGCTCGTTCTGACCTTTGAGGAGGTGTCTTCCCTTCCTCCTCGTCTCCTGGGGCTTCAGTCAGCCACCATCAGCACCACCAGGGGAGGTCAGGCTGGACGCACGAGTCGCCTGTACGTCTAATCCTGTGACACCACCTGCGGGGCTCGACCTCTGACCTCTGTGTTCGCCGTCGCTTCACAAGGGACGCCATCTTGGACCTTTTCCAAACATTTTATAGCCCAAACAAGCGATCGGCTAATTGTCTAATGGCTGCGCCTCCTCAGCTTAAGAACAACCCACAAGGAGATAGTTTCCAACGTCTGAGGAGATGAGAGGGAGTCTGGGGTCTCTGGGTTTAGTCTGGCCCGGCGGGGGTCCGTGTGAAGCAGGAAGGGGATCCCAGGTGAGCCCGTTTGAAGCCTCGATGAAAGCCGTGTTCCTTCCACGCCACTGGAGCACACAAAGCCATAAAAGCCACGGTGGACACGGGAGATCCGGGCGGTTTACACGGGAACGCGGGCCCAACGTTTACCTCTCAGATGTTTACTCCGCTCATAAACACAGTTATTGTTTTCATGAACAGGGAGTGAGCAGCGCTGCACAATAGAGCCGTTCACCTACAGAGCTGCACGGCCCCCGACAATGTGCCACTACACAGGAAGTCACTTCAATGTGCCTTTCCTGGTCGCAACTTTAAATTGATAATTCAATAAATAAATGCCATATTAAATGGTGAGACCGGAAACCAACTCCTTGCTTTCCCACCAGCGTCGCCCCTCAGAGACAAACGCTTTTGTTTACAGCAAAATAAATAACCGAGGTTACTTGTCAAAGGTTATTTTATTATATTTCCCATTCAATCTTACGCTGAGTCGTCTGTTGTGGTTCAAAGTATGAAACGTGATTAAATTGTGTCCAATGGAGGAAACATAATGAAGGTCCACAGACCCCGATGCTCGTAATAAGCAGCTGAAACAACCGACTGCTTTTCTCTCTCTTTCCGTTTCAGAAATGATGATGAGACTGTAACTGCTTTATGTCCGATAAATGGAACACACACACACACACACACACACACACACACACACACACACACACACACATGCTGAGGCATCGTGTTCAAAGCTGCAGTGGCTCCATGAGTTGACATTACTGTCAGTCTTCCTTAATGGTAAATTGAGGGGATTTCCTATTGAGTTTGGTCCCGTCCAGCATGCAGAGTAAAGTTTAAGGCTTTATGGAGTTGATCTATGGGATTCGTTCTCCACGTTCAAATGCTCTAAATTCATTTGTCTGCACGATTTTAGCACAGCCATCAGAAAATGTGTCTTGTTTCTTCCCACGTTTGTTAAGAATATTTGCAAAATCCACTGAATATCATTTCAATCACCAAAGTCAGCAAAAGTCGGTTCAAACCAACGTGACCCGGGGACGTCTGTTGGATCAGCACCACGGAGAGCACCACACTTCTTCTTCTTCTTCTTCTCTGGAGGATCACTGGTCTACTCGATGACTTTGTGTTCCCGGGTGAATTCGCAGTACAAATATCCTACAATAAATCACCAACCAATAGCTGTTCATATGTGTGTTTCACCTTTAAATCGATCACAAGACACACAGCGAGATTCCGGTTGTCGACGGACATTTTATTGAAAAAAGGACAATATAATATCATGTAAAATCATAATAAAATTAATATCAATACAAAAATCTGTACATTCCTTGGTTTTTGCAGTACATTTGGAAGACTGATACAAACAGGGAGGGAGGTATTTACACGTGCACGGCCTTCGGTCACACACACACACACACACAATAAAGATACAGGGTAGAACTCTTGTGCGTCTCTGTTAAACTTGGGGTTACAGTACATTTCTCATACCTTCCATCCGCGGGTAAAACAAGCGCCGTCTAACAAGTAGGAAGAGACAAAGCAGAGGGAACGTGGCATTTAAAATAGTTTAGATTTGATATTTTAGCAGGAAAATATTTCCTACAATCAATGTCATCGTCTGCTTCCTGTGGATTTATACACATTCAGGCTTGATGAAGTGGCTCAACACAAAGACATAACAACTGTACACACAATCGTGGAAAACTCAACCTAATCGCTCTACTTCTCTGTACCAAATCCAAGCAGGCGTTGTTTTTAACTGTGATAATAATACTCTTTGGTATTCCTCTATCCATTGTAAAAAAAAAAGAAGTAAAATAAAGAAGCAACATCATAGCAGCACTTTTAAGAACATTCAGATTCTCTTTCAAATGAATGACCAGCAATAAACAGCCTCTCAGATCAATCGCCAAGAAGTCGGCGGGAATCCAACGCGTCGTCTCTGCCTACGGAGATGTTTCTTCTGTGAGACCAGCTCGTGAACAAAATACTCTACGTGTACCTTCTTTGCTCCAGACGCCGTCTCTCAGGTTCTCTGAAGGCACAAAGTTCAACTCGTCTTTCTAGCAGCACTTGAGGACATTTTCGAGAACAAAACACGCCTTGGTGACGGTGTCTGGTTCCTGCTGGACAGACGGACTGAGACAAGCTCCTCCCCCTCCTCCGGGCGCCTTCGTGATTCACAGCGCCGCGTAGCGCAGCCAGACAGACCCTTGCATACCCCCCCCCCGTCCCCCACCCCCCACCCACCCACAGCAGTACCGTTCAGCTTGTCCTCCACCCTAAAGGCCCGCCTTGGCTCGGCCCCCCCCGGAGCAGAGGGGTGATTTTTACTTGACTTTTTCTCAGAAATCCCCCGCGTGAGGTCTGAGCTCCAAACGGTCATATTTCTGACTCCCTCCTCAGGGGGCGGGGCTCCAGCGGCACCGCCACCTGGCCGTGTTCCGTCTCCGAGATGTTGTCTGTCTGGGTGCCGTCGGGCCCAACGCTGCCCCCGTTCCCCTCGTCCATGTCCTCCTTGCTCTCCAGCGCCATCTCGTTCTCGTAGCAGAAGGAGTTGGAGTTGGAGAGGATGTACTTCTTCTCGGCGAGGTCCCTCGCGCTGCACAGCGGGGTGCTCGCCACCTCGTAGGTCTTGTGGAAGCGGGAGTAGTCCACTTTATAGTAGTTCTTCTCCTCGAAGAGGACAGGGTCGAAGCGCTGGCCCCAGAGGATCTCGCTGGCCACGTAGGAGCTGCGGCACTGCGTGGTCATGGCGGTCGCCTCCACCATGCCCTCCAGGATGACCACGATCTCAAACTCTGAGGTCTCCAGGTCCTGTTTGGTCATGTCGTAGAAAGGGCTGTCCTCGTTGATCTCGTGGACAATGGTGATGGGGGACACCAGGAAGATGCGGTCCACTCCGCTGTCGAAGCCCACGCCTATGTCCATCTGGTCCAGGGGGATGTACTCCCCCTCCGCCGTCGTCCGCGATTTCAGGAGCTGCGCTCGCACGTGCGCTTCCACCAGGTGGCTCTTCCTCAGGTTGCCCACGCGCCACATCAGGCACAACTTGTTGTCCCTCATGGCCACCGTGGCGTTGTGGCTGAAAACCAAGGTCTCGTTCCTCTTCTTGGGTTTAGCCATCTTCGCCATGACCGCGCCGATGATGAAGGCGTCGATGATGCAGCCCACGATGCTCTGAAAGACCACCATGAAGACGGCGACGGGGCACTCGTCCGTCACGTATCTGTAGCCGTAGCCGATGGTGGTCTGGGTCTCGATGGAGAACAGGAAGGCGGCGGTGAAGCTGGTCACGTTGGAGACGCACTTCTGTCCGTCGCTCTTCAAGTCCCCGTGGAGGATGGCCACCAGCCAGAAGACGCAGCCGAAGAAGAGCCAGGACAGGAGGAAGGCCAGGCAGAAGATGATGAACATCCACCTCCAGCGGATGTCCACGCACGTGGTGAAGATGTCGGCCAAGTACCGCTGGCCCTTCTGGCTCACGTTGACAAAGTGCACGTTGCAGTGGCCGTCCTTCTCGACGAAGCGGCTCTGCGGCCGGTGCCTCGTGTGCACCTTGCGCTTGGCGCTCCCGAAGCCGTTGGGCGCCGCCATCGCGGCGAGCTTCATGCCGTCCTCCTCTGATGACACAATGCTGTAGCGGCTGGCTCGCACGCTTCCCATCACCTCAGTCTGGGAGGGCTGTGCTGCTTCTGCTTTGGAAAACAGTCCTAGTTTCTGGAAGAAGCGTTGGAGAAACAGCTTTGAAACACTCCTGGGGGGCCGACGCAGAGAGGAAATGGTGACGGGGGGAGGCGGGCCGAAGGGGAGCCTCCTCGGCCTCACTGGCCCGTGGATGGAGAGCGACGGGGTCACTTCTCTTTCATCAGCTGATTGGGCCTCGTCGGGTTCATCTGCAACAAGCAAACAGAAACAAATGGATCAACTCCTCGACAACAGATCAGAACCTCGTGTCATATTTCAGAACTGAGAACGCTCATCAAAAACGCCACGAGTGCTCGGCCCGCCCACGAGATTTGACACAGTTATGATAAAGCACAACGGAGGTATTTTTGGCGTGGCGCTCCACTGACGGGGGCCCGCCATGTATTTGCCGTGTGTCCACTTGTGTGGCTCGGCTGCACCGCATCGCTTTTCCTATCTGCTGAATCATCAACGCTTATACGACTTCTAGCTTATTAATGCACCTTTTCGCACCTGCATCCTTCAACTTGAATTATCCAAATCACATATAGCTGCATTGGTCTCTGCGTGGGAACTCGTGGGCCTCGTGTGTCTCCGGGGTTGGGAGCAGCTTCAGGGGGGGGGGGGGGGGGTGTTGACAGGGGGAGCGTCCTCAGAGGTTTCTCTGCTCCCTGCAGGCCGTCCTGAGAGGATTCTGCCGGCTCCACTCATACACCTCATTAGTTCGGGTTGTCCTGGCAACGGCGTCCGCCTCACCGTGTTGTCCTCTTTGGATGTCTCAACGATACAAGGGCTCGAAAGCCCCAAAACCGCTTAGAAGCTACATCAATGTTTTATATTCATGACTGGCTCATACTGTCGCTTCACAACTTCAGGAAGTCTAACAGGCAGATGCAACTGGTCTGCAAGGCTGTTACACACACACACACACACACACACACACCCACACACACACACACACACACACACACTTTTGTTTACAAGCTCTATCTTCAAAGGCTACTGAGGATGTTGGTTGCTAAGCAATCTGTCTTTGAGGTGTAAACTTCTCAATTAAGGTTTAAAGAGTCATTCCAAGCATCCGAATCTTTATTTGTTTTTCCTACACGAGCAAACAGAAGCAGGTGAAAGACGATGGACGAGACCACGTGATAAACACACCTTCATTATTCTACTTGGTCCAAAGAGTATAAATAGAAGGATTTGCTGCTCTCAGAATGCGACGAACGTTAACAGGTGCGGGTCAGAAATCCTCCGCGCGCACGCGCACACGCCCACTCGCACACACACGCGCGCGCGCCCGTTTTTAAACGTTTACAAAAGAAGCCAGAAAGAAAAAAACAAGTGATGAAGAGGAACTTTTGACGTCATCAATTTAAAAAAGAGTGAATGTCTGTCAAAGGGGCGCGCGGCTCTCACCTGGATGCGTCCCGCGCGCTCGGATAGAATCCAGAAGGCGTTATTTCTTTGGGGGGGTCGAGGGGGGGACGATCCTCCGCGTCGTCGTTCCCGCGCGCTCCTGCTGTGTTTGGGGCGCCTCGCGTCTCCGTCGGACCGTCTGGTTAATGTGCTCCGCGATCGGGTCCTCCAAAGCGTTTTTAACCGGCACGCACCGCCCCCCCCCCCCCTCTCTCTCTCTCCCTCTCGCTCTCTCTCTCGCTCTCTCCCCCCCCTCCCCCCCTCCCCCCCCCCCCCCCCCCCCCCCCCACGCACCGGCCAATGGAGAGGAGGAGCGCGCGCTCTTGTTTTTAGAACACAACACTAATTGAGCGACGCCACTTTAACAAATTCTTGGTAACTTTTCTGATGCTTTCGATCTGATTAACGTCACTTCTGATAACAGAATAAAACGTGGAACTTTATCCAACTTACCACCTGCTGCCGACTAGACGTGCTCTTTAATGTGGACGTGTAAGACGTGTTGTGTCGGAAAGAATGAGTCAGTGAATCATGAGATGAGCGGAGATGGAGATGTTTGGACTGTGCATCTGCTGCTTTATGATTTCAGCCTGGTGACCAAAGCCTCCTTCCTGCATGAAGCAGAGAGAAGATCCTTCCTGCATGAAGCAGAGAGAAGATCCTTCCTGCATGAAGCAGAGAGAAGATCCTTCCTGCATGAAGCAGAGAGAAGATCCCTCCAACTGCTTTGTTCTCCTTTCTGTCCTACAGGACAACTTTACTTTTAGCTGTAGTTATTTATAGCAACACATATATTTAGCCGGAACCACTAAGGTCACTTAACCGTTCCCGTTGTGTACGTGTGTGTGTGCGTGTGTACGTGTGTGTGTGTGTGTGTGTGTGTGTGTGTGTGTGTGTGTGTGTGTGTGTGTGTGTGTGTTTCCATGCCCAATTTCCAGCAGTAAAGAGAGATGCAGGAGTCAGTGCTGCATGTGCACCACAAGGTGGAGAGATGGACACATCTCACACACACACACACACACACACACACACACACACACACACACACACACACACACACACACACACACTTACATAAATACATTCTCATCTTCTCTCTCACAAATACAGAATACACATAGATTATTATTCCACAGTGAAGTTTGCCAATTATTTTTGTTCAGGTTTTAATAAATTACTTACTTACTATAAATTTATAGAACAGCAAAATATGCACCACGTATTTTTAAAACATATTTGTTACATTAATGATATTTATATGCAGACTATCTGTAAAATAGATCTTAACTTGACAGCAATTATCATGAAATGAAGAACCGACGCACACGGTGCTGTTCACTATATTCAACCTTTGATGCTGCATGGAGACATTATCATTCATGACCTGATGTTTCAATATGCTCATAACAGATATGGGTGACAGGGAATTGATGTCAGACTAGTACACATTCTAGAGTTCTAAGCGTATATTGATGATTTATAGCGGGTCAGAACACTGTCCTGGTCTCGTGCCTGAATGACATCACAAGTTTGTAATTGATCTATTTTGGAGGTTTTAACTCGATTACACAAGTTCTAAAGAAGCATCTGGTGACTTCAACCCGCCTGGTGACATGACATCAAAGCCACCGTCCTGATCCGGGCTTCTTGTTCTCTCCTCCGCTGGGAGGCGCGACCTTCACAGGAAGTGAGGATGCAAACCAGACACTCACTTCAATGCTGTTCCATCACATCTGCTAAATGGGACACATTTGAAAATCATTTGGTCAATTTGTCACAACAGATCTGAATATTCTTGTGTTCAGAAGAGAAAGTAAAATCATATTTGTCCAAAGTCAATAAGTTGTCTTAGTGTGAACCTCCCTCAAATGAGACCCGTCTACCACAAACTTCAATAAATCAATATCAATAAATAGATATACTGCCCGGACATTTTTTTACTTTAAACTTTATTTATTTAATGAAAATAACGTAACATGAAGGATAAGACGTAGAAACCAGTAAAAAAGTTTTTACCTTTCCATTCACACAACCCTAAAAAAATAATATCAACAATTTACAAGAAAATCCCACCACAAAGTCCATTTTAGTAACCGTTCTGGAGCCACGCTGGCTTGTAGATTAAGATTTAAAGTTCATTTTACAATTTGAACTCAGTTAATAAACAGTTAATAGAACAATTACCCCACAAGCACTACTTAAAGTAAAAAGCAACTTTTCTTTCAGCCTCTACACTATAAACTATTTACCCTCAAATCCACAACCACCTCATTCTGAGTATTCTACCAAGACTCATTTAACTGTGTCTATATTTCATAGTATGTTGTATTCATGTTGACACAAACAACCATTTATATCCTGTGTAGCAACTACAGAGTCCCTGTGGGCTTGAAAGGTGGCAGAACATCTGAACAAACTTCTCACACACTCCTGTAACTTCATGACATGATCTGTTCGTATCCTCGCACATGACGTTCCATCGCATTCTGAAGCTGAGCTGAAGTTGGATTTCTATGGAGAACCGCACCGCCCTAGTGATGGATACCAAGTTGCGTAATCATGACTCAACTTCGGGTTTCTGACTAAATACCTGCGAATGAATTCGCATCAGCCTCAGCTACACTTTGTTTTTAATGTTGGTTAATGTTTGCAAGCCATACTAAGGTGGTAAACAACACATCCGCTAAACGCCAACATGCTAGCATGTTAAGAGCTTGCGGTGTCACGGATGGTCTAATATGTTAAAATGTGTTACTGTGTTAATATGGTAATGTATAATATGTTATGGAGTCGTTGTGGTGCAGGGGTAGAGGGGGTGTGATGGGAACACCAAGGTTGGTGGTTGGAGTCCTGGCTGCCCCATGTTCCATGTCGAAGAGTCCCTGAGCAAGACACCTAACCCCTAATTTCTCCCCGGGCAAAATGTAAAAAAAGCCATTGGTTAAAAATGTAATGTAAGTCGCTTTGGATAAAAGCGGCAGCTAAATGACCTGTAATGTGATGTAAAAATATTAAAGTGTTTTCCGTCTTTTGCACAAGAAGGTGGAGCTTTTAAATGCAGACATACAAGGTGCGTCTATGGTCTGTAAGGCGATGATCACAAGTTCATGTAGGTCATTGGTCGGCTACTTCTTTGGTAGCGTTCTTGCTAGCCGGCTACACATTGTGAACAATCCCCGGGCTACGGCTAGCCTATGTATTCTACGTGCTGGACGAGCAGCTCTCGTTGGAATGAATGAAGACGCCATTATTCAAGCCCACAAAGGTTCAGTCTTTGATACTCAGAAGACAGATTATAGGAGAAGTGTCACTTCAAAAAGATCACATGCTAACCAACAAAAACCAGAACCCTTATCTTTTTCATTCCGTAAATGAGATTCAGTAGCATCGTCAATATTTCTCTTCAGCAGTCAGAACTTCTTAATGAATGTTGGCCTCAAACTTCATGGTTCTGCTTCTCATATTACTAGATTTGTGAGGTCATTTGGCAGAGTCAACCTGTCTTGATGTTGAGGGTCTCCCGAGGAGGTCGATTCGGGTGGTTTATGGCTGTCGTTGACAAGTTCCACAGTTACCATTGGGGGTTTCAGGAGATTTTCATAATGGTTCCGCTGCTGTGACTTTGGAGATTGGCGTGTAGAAGATGTGGGTGAATTCCGCTGGGAAGATCTGGGAGAAGGTCGCGGGGAAGATCTGGGTGAATGTCGCGGCGTATGCCGGGGCGAGGGCCGCCACTGCTTCTTGTGCTCGTACTCCTCGGCGCTGACCTCGGGCACCAGTACCTTGGCAGTGTGATTGAACAAGGTGTAGTCCACCCTGTAGTGCCTCCTGCTCACCCTGATCATTTCCTGGAACAGCTGACCCCAGAGGATCTCGGCTGGGGTGTACGAGGTGCGGGACTGATGCAACATACCGGAGGAGTCGTCTGTGTAGGTGAAGGACACCACTAACTCGAAGTCCGCTTTCCGCAGATCTACCAAGCTCATGTTGTACAGCGGGCTGCCAGTCTCGATCCTGTGGAACACGGTGGTAGGCGTGACCAGGATGACGTCCCTCTGCTGGATCACCAGGTCTTCGTAGGTCACATCCATTTTCCCTGTCGCGTGCACCGTGGAGTGGACGATCTGGGCGCGGGCCGTGCCCTCCACCAGGTGGTGCCTGCGGAAGTCCCCGACCCTCCAGGAAAGACACAGGTAGCTATCGCGAAGATTGATAACGGCGCAGTTGCTGAAGCCTACGGTCTGCGCCCTCTTCCGGGCCGAGGCCATTTTGGCGACGACGATGCCGATGACGAAGGTGTCAATGAAGCAGCTGATGACGTCTTGTATGGTGACGATGATGATGGCGATCATGCAGTTCTCGGACATCCCTCTGTAACCGTAGCCGATGGTCGTCTGGGTCTCCAGCGAGAAGAGGAAAGCGGCCGTGAAGCTGCGCACCTCGTACATGCAGGGCTCACTCGTGACGTTCCTGGTGTCACCGTGAGCAAGAGCCATGACCCAGTACAGGATGCCAAAGAAAAGCCAAGACAGGATGTAAGACAGGGCGAAGATAAGGAACATCACCCTCCACCGGATCTCCACCAAGGTGGTGAAGATGTCCGTCACAAACAGCAACCACTCCTCAGGAACGTGGCGAAACACCACGTTACAGCTGCCCTCTTTGCGCACATAGCGGTATTTCTTGGGCTGAGGTCCATCGTGGGCCTTCACAGGGAAGTTGTCGGTGGGTCTCACTGGTATGAGTTGTTTATGCATCTCATAGAGTCTGTAGGGAAGACAAGGGAGAACATTTAGAAGTTTTATTCGCCAGTGCAGTAAATACATATCGATATATGAGAAAACAAGTGAGTAGAATACATCATCATGGCCCAGTATTTAGTATATTTAGTACTTTCCTGTTGCCCTGCAACACAAAACAGACTTCCACCTAAACCACTTAGAGACCATTTTCCGATTATCTTTTTTCTGGACACCATTTACGCAGCAGAGTTTTCCATGTGTCACAAACATTGGCTGATCACTGAAAATCTCCAACCTCCAACAATTCTTGTTGTGTTACTTCTTATAAGTCCGACAAGTCCCCCCCTCGCACCTGTAACAGTCTCAGAACTATCTCAACTTTGCATTTAATGCAAGTCTTCTGACTTTTACAAAATTCCATTTTGATATTTAAAAGTAGGGTTAGTAGTTGTATCGTGAGGCTAAACAGGGCCGGCAGAGACGGATGTCCCACTATAATTGTATTTAAACAAAGACTCTGTTACCGTGCCACAGTTGGATAAGTGATGCTACGCTTCCTGTAAACACACACAGGTTTGCTGATGTCCGAAGCAACGGCCTGAGACCTTTTTTTTGTTCTGGGTGGAGGTCGGGAAACTGTCAGAGGGCCAGCAGAGGACATACCACAGGACTCAACTGGTCTCCGTTAGCCAGGGGAAAGAAAATGTGGAAACTGGAGTGGTGTGATGGTTCGATCGCGGGCGGAGGAAAGATCAATCACAGCCAAACCGCTGAGAGCATCCTCTCCACCCAAAACAAATGGGCTCTGAATCGGCGCTATCTGACTGAGTGAACTCAGACCACTTTCTCCTGGCCACAACCTGCCTCCTCTCTGCCAGACTGTGGAGCTCTCTCCATGAGGTCATAGGCACAACGTCCTATTAGCTTCCCATGATCCTTCCTGTTGCCCCGACACGGACGACGGGAGGAACAAGGCAGTGGCCTTCTGGAAAGCCAAGAGATGCTGAGTGTAGCTTTCAAATCTTCCTTCTGACCTGCAGAAGGTCAATACGTTGTATCTTTACTTCCTCACTGGCACAAAAGAGATCCTGCTTTGAGGTCTCTACTAATTACCCAAATCTTTGGCATTCTACTGGGATCCGAGGGAATCTCTTGTCGGTCCTGCTGAGCATCAAACAGCCGATGAAACAGTGTGTGTTTTGGCCCCGATGGGTCCTTGTGTCGTGTTGAGCTGTTTTCTCCACAACCACTTATGACCTGAAACAAGCAGCTCTGTGTACAAAACAACCTCCTGCAACCACAGCACTCTCCGACCTCTGGCGTTAACTTTCCACTCGCCACGAGACCAGACTCAATATTTTTGAGGTATTATTTTTTGTTTTTTCATGAAAAAAGGAAAATCTCAAGTCTTACTGAATGACAATCGATGGATGAACTCTGGGAGCAACTTGGCGTGATCCCTCTCCGGCCCGGGGCACTTACAACTCCATTACATGCTCACTTACTGCAAATGACATTGTGCCACCCATCTGTGGTTTACTGGGACAGAACCGTGTGCATGGGTGGCTTGTCTCAGCTCTGCCCTGGAGCTCTCTGCCACCTCCGGTGACCTTCAGAACCTCCACGCTGCAGACATGTTTCCGTCCTGTGGAGTCACTTAACCTTGTGAATGCGTGTTGAGACCTCTCCACTTGTTTGAGGAATATTTCTACAAACTAGTAGTTGGATCTGTAGACGTTCATCTGCACTGGACGTCGTTCGAAGGCCAGAGGGCACGTTTCTATGTGATTTAGTAACGATTTGTATCTGAAGGTTAATGGTTTATCCAAACTTCAAAGAGCCAAGTGGACCACAGCGCCGGTGTTTGGTTTTAGTTTGCTGCATCAGAAATAGCTCAATGTTTCTTTTAAGGAGGAAGAACTTGAAACCAGATGCAGGATTTAACCTCCCAGAGATAGATCTCTACTGTGCATTTAGTACAGTAAGTGAAGCCAACACTTCAAGTGTTAAAGCTGCATCTTCTGTAGTAACCAATAGGGGGCGACTCCTCTGGTCCCATAGACGACTATGAGAAAATAACCCTCAAGCCTACTCTTTATTCCCTCAGTAAACATTGTAAACATAGGTTTATGGTCTTAATGTCTAGTTTCGGGTCTTCTTCAGTACAGCACGATGTTCATTTAGTAAATTATGGTCCAAATAGAACATAAAGAGGGGGGTTTTTAGGGCGGGCCACAGTGATTGACCAGGGAATTGTCTGGTGGCCTAAAAATGTCTTTTTCATTGTTTTCCTTCCGGACATCAGTCCACAAACTAATGGGAGACGTCTTCTTCTTATACAGTCCGTACTTGCCAATCGGCAACCCTTTTGAGGAATTGGCTTCTAATTTTGGGCCTTTACTTTCCATTGCTGGCAAACAGAAAATTCAATATATTTTAAATAGTTATTATATTAGAGGCTTGTTACAGTAATTACTCAAAATATGAGGCAACTTAAAGTGTCTGTTAACTAAAACTAAGAACTATATTTTAAATGTCATTAAAGAAATTCCGATGGCTACTTCCAAAGTACCGTGTTGTGTTCTTCTGTCTGCATGGTTAATTGTTGATTTTAAACAGTGTGCCGCTGTAGTAGAATTTCCTTCAAGACCAACGTGCATGATTGCGTCATTTACTGTTCAAGATTAATAGTGTTGTATTTATGAAACAGAATCTGTTGATGTTGAGTCTTCTTTACCCAACAGACATTCATAAACACAATAATATTGCACATAGTTTTCTGTCTGCTGAAAACGGCCTGTGGTAGTTTTCTTGAGAGGCAGTTTTCATGATTTTCACATTGCTTATCACTCGGGCTGCATCTTGTTTTGTTTTTCTGGTGTTGAATTACTGCTGAGATTACAAATTGTAACTTTTACTTTTACTCCCATTGGTTTCAGCTCAGCGTGAGCAAAGAGCAACTAATCCTCTGAATGGACAGTTTGCTTTTGGTTTATTTTTAAGAACACAATTATATTCCAGTGCATTTAAACTAGTATACAAATCCTTAAAAAAGGCCACCATGCCTCATACAATATATATTACACAAATGTTTTAGATATATATCATATATCCACGTATACATGTTGACATTGAATTCAACAGACTGATATTACGTAACAAACAATAGATGTCACAGGTGGATTCCTACCTTCCTGTTTGTGTGTGTCAGAAGGAAACGCTGGACCAGTCACAGGAATGTGTGCACCTGAGGGGAAGAGCTCTCCGAGGAGCCGGCGGTAGCTGGACAGGCGGCTGCTGGAATGAGCCGCCCAGCTGTCTCTGCATAACTAAAGATTAACACCTCCCTCCAGCATCACATGGTGTCACACGGACAGGTGAGCGCAGGTCGGACTGTGTGTGTGTGTGTGTACATACATGCAGGTGGTTTATTGGGCTCTGGTGCATGATGGCACTCTAATCGAATATCTTGGTAATAAATGACTACTAATGTCTACTACATAATATTGGAGATCCAATAGAAGTTCAAAACTAGTTTGACATTTGGTCATCTCTGAATTGTCTTACTGCTTTTCTTTCTCTGATGTGACGCCGCAACCAAATATCTGTGGGATGCAGACTGTTGATCTGCTTCGAGAGATGACGGGCCTTTTCCTTTTCCTACTATTTCCTGAAATTTTAAAAAACCAAACCGATCATCATTCAACTGTCCAAAAAACTGGCAGATTAATCAACAACAAAGAATAGTTGTTTGTGGCATCAGCACTGGTAGTGACGGCCTGTCGGTTGTTGAAAAGCTGGTTTCAGAAGGAAGGAAACGATTCTTGGAACTCTGAGTTCAGTTATATAGATTAATAGGATCTCCTTCTAACAACAAATCCCAACACTCTCCCTCCTTTGTGCCTCTTTCAAAGAGGTGACCAGAAATCCCTTATTCCCACCCTCGCACTCTTTAGAGAGTTCTCACTTAATAACTGCTTCTATGCTCCATTCATGGGTCTCGGGTTTCGGACGTGGACTTCCATCGACCGTCCACCTGTGCTGCTGTGGAGAAAAGGCTCTTACAGGCTGTGTCTTTCTCCTGGAGCCACAATTAGATCTGGGCCGATGGAAACGGGACCCGGGCTTCGGGCCTTCGGGCTTCAAGTCTGCTTGACTCCTCGGTCCTGCTGGTGTTTTGTTGTGTGCCGGGTCAGGAGGGTGTTGACCCACCCTGAAGGTACGAAGAAGGAGAGTGGACCGGTCAGAGCCAATGCACCTTTAGAAAGTCTGATTGTTGGGTATAATCAGTACTGAAGGAAGGTTGTAATAAACATCACGCATCACAAAACCCAACGCGGTCTGAAGAAAACAACTACAGACCTTTTCTCCAAAACGCTTAAATGTGCAATCTTTAACAAACTCCTGTCTCCGCCTTGACCCCCACCAGTCAGGCTGACCCGACTAATTCTCTCCTTCCCTCACTCGGACACTCAGGTGGCGGCACTCTGGGCTCTTGTCATCTCCACCTGGACTACTGCAACTCTCTCCTGCAGGTCTCCTGCTACCTCCATTCCACCTCTGCAGCTCATCCAGAATGCAGCAGCTCCACTGGTCTTTAACCTTCCTAAGTTCTCCCTCACTCCTCCACTCCTCTGCTCTCTTCACTGGTACCGGCGGCTCATCCAGTTCTAACCACTGGTGCTCAGGTACCATGCTGTGAATGGATGGGGTCCAGCTTACATCCAGGACCTGGTCCAACCCGACATCCCGACCCGCACTCTCCGCTCTGCATGTGATAAACTGCTTGTTCCTCCTCACTGAGAGCAAAACACTCGACTAGATCTCCACTCTTTGCTGTCCTGCTCCTAAATGGTGGAAGGAGGTCTCTGAAGACATCAGGACCACAGAGAGCCTTCACATCTTCAGACTAAAGACACACCTCTTCAGACTCTACCTCCACTAACACACTAACTAACTGCAGCACTTACATTGGACTTATAATGGTTCTTATCTACAGCAAGTTGTACATCGGCTTATTTGATGAAATTGCACTTTCTTGTTTCTTGTTCTTCTGAGTTTGTACCCGATGGTTGAAATGTAATATAATGTAATATAATGTATGCTCTGAACATGAACGCGAAGAGTCGGCACATAAGTAGCTATGTTGTTATCACAATGAAAAGGGTTTATTGATGTACAACAAGTACATGTTGGAATGCAATACAATGTTTAATCTCTGGGCACCATAAAAGTCAGATCCAAACGTGCTGGCAGTGGTTCTCGGGAGACCAAGATGTCCTAGAGTCACATGTCCTCGCAGCTTAACGAGATTGTAACTAAAAAAAACAGACATTTATGTCACTTTAGTTTTCAGTCAGGTTTCTCCGGGTCGCTCCGTCATGAAACTGCTCCTTCGGTTGTTCTGGTGTGACTGCAGGAAACCAAGCAATGTGAGCCATTTGACACCTTTGCAAAATCTGCAGTGTCAGAGGGCGACGGGTACGAAATGACTGGATGGTTTTACTCTTCTGGTTGGAGCACAGAGGGGGTCCGCACAGTAAATTCCTCTGGGTGTCTAAGAGCACGTTTTTATGTTTATGAACCTGACTGCATTTTTTAAAAGTGAACAAATGTGAGTCCGCTCGTGTTCCGTGTGGTGGGTTAACGGGGGTCTCGGCAAAAAAAGGTGCACCCAAAACGAATGGACTTGTTTCCAGGAAAAATAAAATGATTTGTTCCCAATAAAAATGATCCCAAAAAAATCCATGAGCACAATGTTCAGCTCTGATCAAACGATCCGACACAGAGCCAACATGAAAGGGGCCAGAAAGATTTTGGGGTGTGAAATGCGGACAGAATTTAAAAAAAAAAAGAAGGACATTATCTAATTATAAAACTTGGTCATGGTCAGCGTCTCAGAAAAGGTGAACTGAGGTAGCCAATTATATTCCAAGTATGTCTTTGCAGGGTGAGGGGCCTCTTTCTAAAACACATTCACGTGTATATATTTGTATATACATGTCTGGTATCTGGACTACAACCCTGAACCTGAATTCAAATACGTACGGTGCAAATAAATAATGTGATTGTGATTGAAACTGGCCGAGGGAAACGACCCCGCTCACGTGTAGACACCCAGCATGGCTCTCTTTAACGTGTGATGTAATGAGTGAACTAAATACACACATTGTGGTGCCGTGTTCTAGTCACCACTGTGACCGGGGCCCCCGAGGGCCCCTCAGGAAGCCCTGGTGGTAAATCCGGCCGTGTCCCTTTCCCACATTTGTTTCCTGTGCGTGCATGAGCATGTTTGTGTGCGTTGCCATCTGCGCAGCGTGTGTGTGTGTTTGAGTGTGTACATGTATGTGTACATGTTTGTGTGTGTCTATGAGCAGTTGCATGCATGTTGTGCGTCTTTTTCCCGTGTTGGGAGTTTTTTTTCCTAAAAAGCAAGCAAACAAGCAGCTCTGCAGTACGAAACCGGTCGGCTGCTCAGCAGCTGCTGGGTTCGCTTCACCGCGGTTCAGCTGCCAGATAGCGACTTCAGGTCCACCGTGCTGCCTTCAGGGTCACTGTGATGGCTTCAGGTCCACCGTGCTGCCTTCAGGTTCACTGTGATGGCTTAAGGTCCACCGTGCTGCCTTCAGGTTCACTGTGATGGCTTCAGGTCCACCGTGCTGCCTTCAGGATCTGGTTCTGTCCACAGTGGACTGGTCTCTGCTGAAGGATCTGGTCTGTCCTTAGTGGACTGGTCCCTGCTGGAGGACTTGGGTCTGTCCACAGTGGACTGGTCTCTGCTGGTGGCCCCACTGGAGTCCGAGCTGAATAGTGAACCTTCGTGATGTCATGTGGTTTCTTCTGGTTTCCCTAGAATCCCACCCTGTGGCACTAATGGTGAGCTTTAGGAGGAACTATGTAGAAATAGACCACATTCTATGATACGGAGGTCTTTAGAGGATAGGGACTAATCTGAGACTGGTTCCCATGAACTAGACTAGACTGGTGTCCTCACAGGTTCTTTAGCTGATGATATCTGGAACCAGATGTACAATTGTCTCTCTTGTCTTTGTTCTTTTTGTTTCTGTGGATTACAGAGGATTAGACCCTTGTTACCTGATTTTTATGAGAATAAGCTTCATTCAAGATGTTATTGTTTAAATCTCAATACTTGAGTGAGAGAGAAGGATTGAGCATTAAATCGTTCATCAGCATCCATGAGGTTCCATTAATCTAACTGTGTCTCATGTTTCCTTCAGAAACAACTACTAAGTGTTGTGTGTGTTGTGTGTGTTTCTGTATGTTGTGTGTTCTGTTTACAAATAGGTAAAACCAAAGTGTGGCCGTGTTTTCAGACCACTTGGTTCCGTGGTCACAGCAGTGAAACCCCCGTGTGTCACTTCGTTCTTCAGCTTCAGCCGGGTTTCATCCACCAAACTTCAGCCTCTCAGAAACTCTTGGAAATATTTCTGCTTCAACAAATCTGGTTCCAGCAGAACTATAAATATCGGCGGCGTCCAGCTCGGGTTTGGTCTCTGAATGTCAAACACAAAGTTTCCGATTCCCGCTGGCGGCGTTCTGAGGGGCGAGAGTTCAGGTCTCAGCACGAGGTGGAGAACTCCATGATCTGACTACGACGTGCTCATTTCCTCCACTATCATCAGCGAGGACGTCCGGGCTTCGCGCTCCCTCTCTGCCGAGTTTCAGACATGGTCCTCCTACACGGGCAGGAGAAGCTGCTCCTCTTAGGGTTCACTAAAAGGAGCAGCAGCTCTTTCCTGCATTCATGCAACCAAATTCTAATGAGGTCCTTCTGTACCGACGAATGACTGACCGATGGCGCCGGGGACAAAGTCCCATCTCAACGCAGCCTCCTGTAATCATTGGAGGTTTCACCCGAACGCAATCAGCCAGCAGGTGTTATGATTTACATCCCTATTGATTTAAGGCTGTATTAATAGTCTATGAAGGGGAGACATTATCCTCGGTGATTCTCCAGTTTCCCACCAAATAATACATTTTGCCAGATTACATCCAACACATGACGTTAACGTTATTTTTTTGTCTTCACACAATATTTATTTATGTGCTGCACAGCGCTGAAATGTCTGACATGTAACTGTGTGTAACTCCCACATCGTTAACGCCATCACTTAGTAGCACTGAGCTGCTAACGTTAACTGGCTAACGTTAACTAGCTAACGTTACTTACTTACTAATAGAACAAGTTGATGTTGTCTACCATTGTGCTGTGTTTGATTCCCGTCCACGGCAGTGCAGAAAAACAATTCTTCTCCCTGAATGTCCAATGCATTGTACAGGCGTTTGGGTGGCGTCCCCACAAAACACTCAAATCCAATCAT